GGCTATCTATGATCTGATGCTTAACCTTGGTTATGCAATACTCTGGACTATACTGAGTCTAGCATTGTGTTATCGAGCAAACGATATGTATTTACCATTAGGATCAAAGGGATGGTTGCTAGGCATCGTTATCGTTATAGTCCTTATGACTGGGAATGAAATCAAGAAGCAAATTTCTGGTAAATTGCTAAACTTTTAAACATAAATTTACTTATCACTTTTGTTATAACTTGTATTTACTTGTGTCCTAGCCGATTCTTGATTTATTCATTTCATGAAGATACACTCCGCGTACGGCGACAAGAGAAAGATTGGATTAACTGGAGAGCTCGCAGTCTTGAAGAAGACCTAGGATATTGTCATCCCAGATCCACAGTAGAAATGGAAATATTTAGCGAAAGAAGTGAAGTCTGTTCGAAATCACTCGACGTATTTCAACGATGGAGATGGATGGATGTACTATTTTGATTGGTTGGCTTTACTTCTTGTGTTAACAGCAATAATAACGCATATTATCTTCCTGAAAACTGACAGCATCATAGCCTATAAAATCCACCGATGCGTACTGATCAAAGTTGTTATTGGTACTTTGGATCCGTATTGCAAAACGTCAGACCTTTTAAATCCACCGGAACAATTGTGATTATTTCCATATCAAAGATATTATCAAGTGTTCCTTTCTATTTGCGATATTGTTCATTCCTTACGCATGCGCTGGCTTACGTTTGGTCCCTTTTCTCCAGCAGCCAGTTCCTGAATACAGTAACTTTGGTGGTCTTCTGTACTGCATGCTCTGTATGGTTGTTGGCGTAGATTTTCCTATTGATGATATACTCTCAGAAGATCCACTCATGGCTCGAATCTTGTGCAGTTCATTTATTATTAGCACAGCTGTAATCGTGGTAAATCTTCTCATTGCGTTGCTCTCGACACTTTACGCGCCTTATGGCAATGCTGTGGCGAATGCAGTGATGCAAAAGGCAAATAGTATTTTGCGAATGGAGAAAACGATGTGCAGGAAACGAAAGCAAAATTATTACAAGTTTGTGAGAGAGAACTGTAGTCCTCAGGTGGTTCCAATGGCCCTTAAACGCTCAAGCCAACGTCAAAGTGAAAAGGGAAATGCAATGAATCGACTAGTAAACGAAGTTAAAACGATGAAGATTAACTTGGTACAAGGAAAATGGTACTGTTTTTTTAATTATTGAGAGTTTGGTTAACTTTAAAATATAGTATATCCCAAATAACTGCTATAGTGTTGCTATATAGCAATCATTATCCACGACCTATAGTGATAACATTGGCTATATCTATCTCATTCATTACAATATTAGACGTTTGGAAATATAGTTTTATGGAAATCATGATTATTTCTCTCAAATCTGTTTTTAGCCAGCTTCCAGCGCAAGTTGATGGACCTACAAAAGCAACGATCAGCGAACTTCTGAGACTAAACAAAGAAAACACCATTAAAATAAATAAAATATTGGGTATTTTAGCAGCACAGAAACAGATGGATTCCAAATTGAATTATCCACAAGAAGAGGCTGCGATCGATGGTGAAGAACGTGATGGCAGAAAACCCGAACAAAGACAAATTCGAAAAGTATTTCAATCCTCTAACTGTAGTTTATCAAGCATACAGAATATCAATAAAAGACGACGGTTTTCCAGTCTTGGTGAAATAAATCGTGGTTTTGAAGATATCCAGTTGTCAGAACTAGATGCATCAGGCAGGAACGACACGATTGGTGATCTCATACGACGAAGAAGATCAACACTGCGCCGTAGTAGCAGTGTAGCGTCAATCCAAGCATTCAAATTCTTAGCACCTGGGCGTAGTTCTGGGTTCCTTTCACAACGTGTTAATCAACGTGGCAGTGTTGGTAGTATCACATTATAAATTGAATGCTTCAAATTCGTTATACAGCTGAGAACATTTTGGGAGGATTGGATGTGAATTAATTTAGTCTATAGCTTTATGAATTTCAATACAGAGTCATAGCTTCTAAAACTCGTGCAACGAACATGGACATACTTGTTGGTACTATAACACCTTACGTGTAATTGGTTTTCACTTTCTTGCATGCAGGCAAATTAATTCAAATCATCAAGATGAGCATATAACACCTAATCTTTAGAGAAAGTTAATTTTATACCGGCAACTTATATTATATATATATATATATATATATATATATATATATATATATATATATATATATATATATATATATATATATAAATATATATACATGATTTTTGTCAGATTTGTGATACAAAAGCGTGCGAGTGTACTGAAATATATACTGAAATCTAAAGTCTGTATAATATGTAAAATATATATTTAGGTTTTTGAAATTTACACCTTGCCACTGTGATTTACTTTACTCTGTACAAGCCAGGGTGCAATATTTGCATGAAAAAAAGAATCTGCCAAACAGTGCATTGGGTTGAGTCGGAAACTTACCAGACTGATAACGATTTTTCAGTTCGTCGTGATTTCCCATAATGCTCTTCGTTTTTTATAACGCAGATTAAACTTGTTAGTGTGATAAAAGTTCTCGTCGTTAATTGTTGGGTTCATAAATCAAGCTTTCAGAAATTTAAGTTTATACTCTGTTGTATACACTTAATCCAACCGCGATATAATAACCGCGAGCTAAATTCTTTTCTATATATAGTCATATTTCTGACAAGATATAAAATATTTTGGAAAGTGTCATTTGCATATTTTCGTTTATTAAACCAGGATCGAAGGCTAAACTAATCGGATATATATATGGTGCTATCCAGTATTAATTCGTATATCCGGATCCATACAGATGATAAACACAATCGGAGACACGCTGGATAATATATATAACCGATTAGGATTAATGATTATCAATTATCCTTTTTATCAATCACCTTTAAATTGTATTGTTGACTACCGTCTTTACAAAAATTGATTTGTAGGTCGGGTTTTGCTGTCACGTGTTCGCGTGCAAGCATTCAGGAATACGACGCCAAAATATTTTTTGAAGTACCTTTCTATTATATCGCTCTTATAGAGCAATAAGATTTACTCTTTTTCTACCGATTATATATAAGGGGCAGCTGTAATTGCGACTTTACTTTTTTTTTGAAATGCTATATAAAGGGTTATAAATGCTGCAATCCGGGAATATTTTGCTACCGTCTTAATTAACGGCTTGCTGAAAGATCCTGGGTACGAGTTAGATAATGACATGTTGGTGCTCGTTGCATGCATGGACCTGCATGTATCTCTGTTGCATGCACCACATGCACAGAATTCCAGCAGACAAAGCATTTATGTGACCACGCACAGAAACTGATAACCAAGCTAAGCAATGCATGTCTGGCTGAAGTCTCTCGTCTCACTATTTGGACGGATAAGCCGTTGACGGTAAATTTCGAACCGGATTCACATTTCACAAGTCACATTAATATACTAATGACACGAGTTTGTCTCCTGGATAAACTCCTTACCGTTGCTGACGTCCATACTTTTAGATATTACTCTCAGCAGTTTTATGCCATTTTTCATTAAATCGGTCTGCTACAGCTGGCGTAGCACGATTGCGCGTAATGATCAAAACCAGAGCCGAATGAAGAACGAAATAAAACCCTGGTTATGAGGTTGCGTACTTATCTAGTGAGCATCTAGCAGTGGTAAGAATTTATTCCCATTCCCCTGCAAATTGAAGCTTCATATCAAATTTATTCGGCGACAGTTTTTATTTACTCAATTATCGTCTATCAACAACACTATCTCTTACATTTTACCATAGAGAGAAAAGTTATTTCTGATTTCGGGTAGGTATGTCACAATGTCATTAATACGCTTGCTAAGATAAAGATATCTACAGTTATTCAAATTCTGTAAATTTTTTCCCTGTAGACAGATGTCTGACTGAACCGCGTGAGTTATCCTCGTTACTGCCACCGGGCATTCATTTCAAACATTCTTTCTAGAATGATTTACAGACACAATCATTTTATTTGCAATATTGTAATGAAAATAATAATTGGTAATATAATTGAAGTGAAATAATAATTGTAATATCTTTGGCAGTTAATACCTTTCTCAGTGAAGGTTACTTCATGAAATATTCCAGTATTGCTCAAATAAATCACGGCAAATGGACTCGCCCGATGCCATTGAAAATCATTGATTGAAAATGTCCCTCAGATCCGTCAGTTTGGTCCGATGAAGTGTCCGTGACGGATCTTAAATCACGTGACCATCCTATGCGCTAATCCAGTTACTTGATCGTGATAAACAGATCAAAATTTTTGGCAACCACACATACAAAATAGTGAAATTCCGAGTGACGAAATTGCCATTAAAATCTCGATACTCGCATTAATTAAAAGGGATTTATTTGCAGTTTTATTTTTTCCCGAACTTCAGTATAGAATTGCCCCGGCAGAAATCTAACCGAAAATTAAGTTTCCACGATAGTTTGTCTACATAAGCATATGCGTAGAAAACTATCACGAAATGGAATTTATAACCCATTAAACTTGATTCCGCAGACAAAAAATATACAAGTTACTTATGACATACTTATGACTTATACTTTTTATCCCGTTCAAGTTGTTTGTTATAACAAGTACCGGGTTTGTTGAATATTACTGGGTCTAGGACATTGAATTCGAATTTTTCTATGCTGTTCTGAAAAGCTTTACAATTAAGTTCTGTAATTAATGTAATAATGTGCGTGTTTTCTTTCATTTTACTATGTTATTCACATATCTTATAAACATTTGACACGTCGCGAAAAACGGAAATGAAACGTCAACACTTGCATGTAAAGTAATTTTGAATTTGATACACATTCGAGACGGCGCATTGATATAAAGGCGTACTTAACTAACATATCCTTCATTCTCTTTGGCTGGCGTCCATTCGTGGAGTGACAGCTCTTCTACACCACCGTGTTTTGAAGTAACTGCTTGTGATTAATCCATTCGTAGACGGACATAGAATTAAATATGTTATTTAACAACATTTATGTCTTTCTGGTCATTTATATTTTTGCGGTATTTGGTATCGGGAATGCCAGAAAGTCCACAAACGACGGTAAGGTTATGCTGCATTAATATGTAATAAAACATTGTTTTGCCTCGCTGTGGATTAAGAACGCGCAATTTCTGTGTTACTGTTTTGAATGCGCACATCCTGTTTTACCATGTTGTACGAACGACACATTGCATTTATTTTGAACATAAATATGAAAATGTGCATTTATCAGTTAACTGTATTCGTGACACGCGGAGGTTGCATAATCTGCATGCACAAAGTCAGCAATTTCTGGTTGTAAATTTTACAACGCACAAAGTTTTACAAGCTTTTGCGCATTATTCTAAATACGCGTTTTATGCAAAATGTGCGCAATATTATTGAATTGACGAAAGACAAATATGGTAATGTTCAAAAGCGGAATAACCTTGGTGCCAAATATGTCATCAATAGTTGCTATAGTAGTGTCATCTATATTACTGACACTTTATTACTGCCAAGCACATTAAGCACATTCCTTAAATTTACTGATATATATTGTAACACCTATTTTTGTAACGATGTCTGAACATTTCATCATTTATTTGGTACTGACAAAATATTTACTGAAAGTGCAATCTTATTTGCTTAGAATTGACTCCAAAGGTGAAGAAAAGTTAATCCAATTTAAATTGTTATTGCAGTCACCTTTAGAGGGAAATATTTTCTAGGCCTTATGATTTTTCAACAGGTTGTTGGTTTAAATAACAGTTTGAGTAAATGCTCTTCACTATATCTCATCTGAAACATCTGAGATATGTTTGCATGGTTTTGATCGAAACTAGCTACCTTAAAAGTATAAAATAACATTTTGCGAGACGATCAGGAGGTATATTTCGGTAATTTGTAAGAAAATCTTGTATTATCAACTGCTTAATTCACATTTGTTTCATGTATGCAGTTTGTTTTTGTTTTTTGGTATAGACTTTCGAAGCTCTTTTATATAATACCTTTTTTTTAGGTGATTGATTTTATTTAACGACCAGGAATTTTGCACTCGGAGGATCATCTCTGTTTGTGTTCGGGTTCTCACCGACTGACAAATAAGAATAAGGCAGGGAACAATTTCGCTGCGTGCACATGAACGCTAAATTACACCTGATGGAAAACATAAAGCTTAATTAAATTAATTTTAGAAGTGTCATTAAAGATTGGAAATCCAGAGCATTAAAGATTATTAAATTTAATTCAACGTTATTGGTTAGCGAAAATCTATAACTATACTTTTTTGCTGACCAATCATGTTGAAGGATGTCGGTTTAGGATGTCTATTGTGCTAAAGTGAGGCTGGATATTCAAATAGACATGAGATTATTCAAAGAAAATTTCATTAATAACTCGGAAAGAGCGCAGTTTTTTTATATAAGCAGTTTTTTATTGAGATATATATAAACAAACATATGTTTGTTTGAGATGTGGCAGTATATATGCATGCTATTTAGTTTAAAAGCGTTTTGAAAGCTCTTTTTCATTTGGTCCATAGTAATGGCAGATTTTTCCGCCTGTCAATGCAATGTAAGAATTGTTAAATCTTTGAGCATTCGTATAATCAATGCATGGGACAATGTATTAACTAGTATGACTTTCTAAATATACCACCTGGGGAAACTTTTACTTTAAATTGTATTCTCCACCCACTTGCAGCATACAGACACAAAGTATTTCCCCGAAACCTTTTGAAAATGAAGGTTTCTAATTATTGCACTATAACAAATTGTAAGAAAGATTTGGATTTGCCATAAAATTAAAATTTTGTCTTTTTTTCCCGCAAGTAACATATACAAGAATTGAAACTTACGCATGCATGTTACGAAATCGAATAATAAACATTTGGTCTCGATTTTCCTGCGGGACATCAGACAGTTTAGGTCAAGGGTCTTGGGGCTTAATTTTTCAAGCAAACGCAACTATAATAAATATGCATGATAATCTAATGTGATAAAACATGGAACGTATTCCAAATACGGTAACTTAGTGGGAAAAGCTTTTAAGCTGGTTAAAAAGCTTCATTGGCATTTGGTAATTCACACCAATATCACGAAACATAACTATATAGGCTACAGCTAGTATTGCTGTATAATGATACCATATAATGTAACTATAAAGGTTGCTTTGTGGCAACAACTTCAAATAACAGCAGAACAATCGTTTCTTCATACATCTGCCCATGCAAACATCTGTCTCCATGTTTAGACCGAGGGTCTACACAATGGCCTTGTCTTTAGGCAGTTGAAAACCGATTATTTTCTGGATTTGTATGCCTAGTTTCGTGAACATGTCAAGATGGCTGATGTGATTTATACAAAAACTTGCAAACTAATATTAGTATCATTGCTGAGATATTTCGCTTACGTCTGCGCATCAAAGGTGATGACCCTGAATATTTCCTATTGTCCAAAACTATTTTACCTCAGTCCATTATATTAAGACATCAATACATATCTTGGCACACGAAGATCACAGAAAGATATGAAATCATTAACAGGAAAGAATCTATTAGAACAACGAAAGAAGCGCGGGGGGAAATGGGATGAAATTTTTCGAGGTGAAAAACTATGTTGGAGAGGAGTGCTTGTAACTTTGTTTCGCATATTAAAAAAATGCTTTGTTTAAATAGCCGTAAAATTTGTAATCATACCGGGAAAATTATGCGCCTTGGTGAATGTCATTAAATAAAAACTTAGCTAATTTCGAATTATTGGGGGTAATTACGGTAGTACATATGTCTTCATGATTAACTCTATTATAATGATCGACGTATGAGCAATTAAAAAATAGCCATTCACGGCCTTTCTTAATGAAGAACTAAAAAATCTAATCAGTTTTTTAGCCAGTTGGTTTTGCCAGCGCCTATATATAAGGCGATTCTCCATTACACGTCCTTTGACTGAAGCGCGCTTTATTTTTCAAGGTCGCTAGCTTGAGCAGATTTTCAAAGCGAAGCAAATGTAATGGAAAACGGCCTTTAAACTGTGCTCAATTTCGTGCTCAATTTTAGTCATCTTTCCAATGCTGCTGCATGGCACCTTTACAAAGATTTTTCTTATTTTGCAATTCTAACAACAGTCTAACATCATGAATAAAAGAGCGAAGCTTTTTTCGGTTTCATTTCAATGCCTAGCTGAGAATGGTTACACACCATGCACCTAGCTGTTTTCGCCTTTTTACCGTGTGTGTTAAAATAACGATTTTCTTATTGTTGCTTTTATATAATAAAGCCTTTCTGACTAAAGTATCGGCTTGTTGTCAATCGGCAATTCTGGCGGTGAAGACACAAAGGAATCCAAATTGTAAAGCAATTGGTCGACGTGCATCTTCTGGACTTATTTGTCGTACATCTGCTGAATTGTGTTGTGTAAAGCAGTTGCAAGAATCTTTATGCAGAAAGGGAAGATCGGTCGCAATGTATGTATGTTTTATCAGCCTGTTTGTTGCCAATGGATACGAGTTACGACTTACGATAGTACTATACAGAGCATATCAGTATACGTTCCCGTGACAGATTCGTATTTCTTTTATCCAGAACCGATTCCACCTAATTCTAAAAACAGGACAGTGTTAAAGAATCCAAAACTCGATTCGTCCTATACACACCCAATAGGCCCCACAGGTCATTTTTAAGGGGGCTGGGCAAAACTCTCGTTTGGAGCCTTAATCCCTCAGCAGTAACGTATAAAAATAACATACTTAAAAGGCTGTTTACATACTTAGAAGCGATTTCCTCTTGTTTTGGTGTAAGATAATTTACAAAGAGATGACAAACTTCATTATATCTATAATCTCTTGTTCAGTGAATTGCATTCGACGCAAATATTGCCCTGCTGCATTTGTTCTGTTGCATGCCTGGTTTTTGCGAGTTAAAACTTCGAAAATGAAACCTTTATATTCAACCAGAAGAGATTTTTAAAAGAAATTTATTAACAAGCTGTTAAAAAAAATATTAAGAATCCTCCTTAACACGTACGAGGTTTGGCTATAAAACGGCTTTTGGACAAGCAGCCTCAAGTAAAGATTCGTATCATTCGTATTCGATTCGTTTATAGTAATGGCGGTTCCTGTGATTTGGACTCTACGCGTTATTATGGTAGAGAAGATCACCAAGAGTGCTGTTATTGTTGTTATCTTGGAATTGAGGCCAAACGGAAAGGAATTGGTTGTCAAACTTCCGCGGTTCTTGGTTTCCCTTGTCAAAACGCATTTTTCAAGATGTTGTTTAATGGATGGTACGTATATGTAATAAACGAAGCCCACATAGACTATACAACTACGGGAGTTTGCGGTCTTGGGCATAAATAGTTTAATAATAAGGACGCGCCACCCGCAAAGAGGTGAAATGAGTATGAGAATTCTACGGCGCTAGTTATACAAACATGCACATTCTCAAGTAATTAAGCTTGTTGGTACACCACGTAAGTATATAATACTCACGTGGTGTACCTACAAGCTCAATTACTTATCGATTATCACCATGCAAACGTACAAGAATAAAAAAGAATTTGCATATTCTTCCCCACAGGAATAAGCGAGACAATCAACCTCTGTACAATGGACGAAAAATTAAACATTTCGCTCTGCTCGCAATGCATATTATATATAGATGATTTTGTTGTTAAAAGTTTGGCAATGGACGACTTGCGCTTTAGACTAATTTCTTACCTCGGCGATAAAAAGGACATTTTCTGAAAGAGCTTACTAAAATAAGTAATACTGTCAAGTTTGACTGCGAATTGTTGTAAAATACGGAAAATATACCCATGCGAAGTTGTCGATTTTTGTATACTTTTGTATTACGACCGGAAGTTTGTAACTAATTTAGTTACACATTTCCGCACGTAATACAAACGTATACAAAATTTGCCAACTTCGCATGGCTATATTTTCCGTATTTTACAAAATTTCGCAGCCAAACTTGGCAGTTTTACTAATTTAAGTAAGATCTTTCTAGCTGGGGTGATTTATTTTCCTCTAGTTACTTCGATCAAAAGTTTGTCTAAAGCGCAAGTCGTCCATTAAACACTAATGCGCAACCAATTTTTGTTCTTTATTCCGCGTTGTTTAGATCCACATCCTTCAGGTTTTCCAACAGGAGTGTTTGGACCAGTAGTAGCAACAACTGCACCAAGAACATGCTCTAATTTAGGATGTTCTCAAAGTTGTGTTCTCCTCAGCGGTGTTCCTACTTGTGTTTGTAGGAACGGATTTGAACTAAATGTGAATGGTCGTACGTGCAACGGTAAGTATATACGCTTGGCTTTGTTCTCAATGTCTTCAAGAAATTAGCAAAAAAGAGAAGCAGTTAATTTATATTCATTCATCCTTATCACAAGATATAATGTTCCCGTAGCGATGTAAAATTTAATCTAGATGTTGTTCTATAAAGTTAGTTATTACAAGCAGTATAGGTATGTCACACACGCCGGTTGAAATATCTTGGATGGTATTAGGTTCAAACAGGTGAGAGTATATTTTTCTACTCACATGTAACAATTAACTTTTAGATGTGAATGAATGCGCCAGAGGTGTAGTGTGCAATCAAGGTCAAGCGTGCAGAAACACGTACGGGTCATACGAGTGCGTTAAAGGCGCACAAGTTGTCACCGTTGCCCCTACTATCACGTGTCCAATAGGTCTCGAAGTTGATCCCGGTAGAAGACAATGTCGAGGTAAAATTATATATCATTTATGTGCATAATGTACTTAACAACATATGATTTAAGATTACTGCCTCTCAATCGCCTTTTGCTGGTTCCACAACGCGACGTTCCTTGTTACCTTAACTTCCACTTTTAGCAATAAATTACAACACATGCACAATTAAAATTGTGGCTACAGATAACTGAGCAACCTCGTACCCAGGGTCTTTTCTCTGTGCTCACTCTGGCGCGGGGAGGGGGGGGGTGTGTGTGAAACCCAAATACTCCCCGCCTCTAAAATGTTCCCCACCGCTAGCTTTAGGGCATCGTCCCCCTTAATCCCACCAATAATTGCTAGTTCAATCCTGGGTAATGCAAGTCTTCGAATCAAACTTTCCAACAGTTTATTTATAAACTTGAATAGGTTATTTTAGAAATCTTCCCATGGTTTAATAAAAGCTTTATTTTCCAAAGTTTTGTGCAAAACAGCTATCCATAAATGCATAAACAAAAACAGCATTTTGTCACGACAGTTTGTAAAGAATTTAACTGATGGTTAGTACTAATCGGACTTTTGGCAATCGAGCCTTGCGTCATAATATATACCATGCCCAGCAATAATTCTGGTCTACGTAGAGAACACCGTGCCAATTATGTATTTAGAAGCGTCGTGCTCTGTTAGTCTAAACTTTATTCTTCATTTTTTCCTATACATGCATGTGTCATGTAAAAATATTTATCAATTATTGGACGAGGTCGAGCAAAATATCGTGATTTGTCGGTGGCGAGCAGATCAATTATTTGCCGATGCCGAAGGCAGAGGCAAATAATTGATCTGCGAGCCACCGACAAATCACGATATTTTGCGAGAACCGAGTTCAATAATTGTTTTATCATTCACCACTTAATTTTCAATTCATTCACCACTCAATTTTCAATTTTGAGTTCGTTTTATCGGACAGTTCGGCAAAGCGAGTCGCCATTGTTTATAAAATTGACATTAATGCGCATGCTCAGAGTATTATTTGCAGCTGAGTATTATTTGCACGCAGTTATTTGCAGGTAAATTAACCAATCAAAATTGAGAATACTATAAAGTGAATGATAAAAATTCATCTATATATATACTGTGTGTATGTCATGTTATGTATTCATACTATTCATGTATGTATATATAATTTGAATTTTTCACATTCTTTGGTGCATGGAGATATGCATGTCGTCTATGAAACTTAATCGTTCACACTAGTTCAAAATTTAAACTTAAATTTCCACAGATATAAACGAGTGTGAACGATCTCCTTGTCAACCCGAGGAACAGTGTCAAAATTCGATAGGAAGTTATACATGCAACCCAAGATGCCCAAGTACATATGTATTCAGGAATGGTCAATGTGAAAGTGAGTTTTAAAATAAAAATCCTGTTAATTGTTATATAAAAGATCTTTGAACATTCGAATATTCATTATTTGTTATAATTATTAGATAATTAATAAAAATTAATTAATTTATTAATATATATCGAACACTCGTTCCAGAAAATGTCGTTCAGGATTGAGGTGGGACGGTCGACGATGCACGGGTAAGCGAAGGCAAACCTAAAACATCTCCAATATTAAACAAAAATAATGCGTAGATAGCATGCACCAGGGACCACAAATTTGGAACTTGATTACCTGAAATTCTGAGTGAAGGTTATAAATTTCTGTTTGAAAACACTGACCTTAAACTGGAATATGTAAAACTCAATGGACGACTTCCGCTTTAGACTAATTTCTTATCTCAGCGATAAAATGGAAATTTTCTGAAAGAGCTTACTAAAATTAATAAAACTGTCAAGTTTGACCATGCACGTTTTATTGACGTTAGATATAGACGAGTGTAATACAGTAAGGAATGCCTGCCCAAGTGGACAATCATGTGAAAATGTTCAAGGCAGTTATCGCTGTCGTTGTCCAAGTGGATATACACTTCGCAACTCAAGATGTTATGGTAAGTTTTAAAATATTTATGTTCAGCAAAGGTCAAAAACAAATCTAAATACTTTATAGCTAAAAATTCTTGCAACAATTCTTTCCCTTTAGTGCGTACACCAATAGCCTGCTGGCCCTGCTGCATGGCTTTGTGTGTTGAATGTCCTTGACGGATTTCGATCAGATTTGAATAAAAAAATTGTAATTGTTTGCTCAAACAAATGCTTCAATTCTTTAAAAAAGTAACCTAGAATTTGAACAATAAACTATACGTAATTATAATTAACAGAATTTACTTAATACAATATGCGTGCATGTACCTCAAACACACCAAATACAAAGTTACGACACATCTGCAGAGCTACAAAACAAATGCTTTTAAACCAGGCACTTACTCTTCAACAAAATTAATAATTTGCATGGTTATCAGTTTTTGCACTAAAATGGCCATTTTGGATTATAGTGTAAAAAGCCTATTCGTGTGAAATTTTTTGAAAGCGCTTATACTAAAATTAGTAAAACTGCCAAGTTTGGCTACGGATTGTTGTTAAAGTATTGTTTGTACACTTTTGTATTACGGCCGGACTAAATTATAGTCACACATTTCCGCGCGTATATATATTCATACATATTCGTATGTTTTGTGTCTTGACTCCTGCATTTTGATTACATTGTTTTTTTTTGTTCTCCTAAACAAATCATAAATGTACAAATTCATTTTGTCTAGATATAAATGAATGTCAGAGACCTGGTATTTGTCAATCAAACGAACGATGTCGTAATACAGCTGGATCATACAAATGTGTGACAAAAGTCAATGATTGCAGTCGAGGATATGAACGGGTTGGGGGGGAATGCGTAGGTAAATATAACCACAGTGGATTTTTGCAGGGGTTGTTTTTATGCACCTTTCGAGTTTCGACTCTGTTTGACATCACTAGAGGCTCGTCGGGAGTGATTTCAAACAGGTTTCATAGAGCTATGGAGAACAAATAATCATGCAATTATTATATACTTCGATGTACACGCGTAGCAGATAGAAAATGTTGGCAAATGTATAAAGTATTATTCATATAAAACAGAAATTTACGAACAATTAACTACAGCGAGCAGTTACATACGTTCTAACAAAACTAAAACGACATCTCTTGGAACAATTATTAGGATTTGTTTTGTTTTTGTTTTTTTTATTTTTCGTCGTCGCAAGGGTGTTTTGGCGCGAATTATACTAGTATTTGAAATGTGTATGTAACCTTTGCCATTTTAATTAATAATAAAATGTCTCATCTCTAATCTGTCATCGATTAATATATGTACATTAGATTACTATTAAAGTAAGTTAGTTTTTTTCGACGGGTACTTTTAATTCATAGTAAACTATTCCAAAGCAATAACATAAGAGCGCGGCAACGCAAAACATGCGACATAGTCATAGTTAAATGAAGTATTAATTATTACATAAAAATTCCTCAAAAGCCTTCTGCACGCCTATAAGCCCGAAAGTTAATTGGTCTCTGTAGTTAGGAGCTATACTGATTGCTTTCTTGAAGTTAATCAAATTTAATTAATAAACATTTACTGATTTAACAGCTCATAACGAAAAAAACTGTAAATGTACTTTTTTACTAACATCCCTGCCACGACTGGAAATACTGATGCATAAAACGATTCATTGCATGAAAAAGACGGTACATGAAGTTTAAATTTTGCTCATGTAGATGTCGATGAGTGTGTCAAATATCGGAAGATCCGGCCTTGCAGAACTAAATTCTGCATCAATATACCTGGCAGTTATCGATGCTCTCAATGTAAAAGGGTTATGAATTTGTCAATTCACGATGTAGAGGCAAGTTTATAAGGAATATTTCAGCTTTCCAATCGCATGCATAGTATGCTATTATATTAATTCTAAGTCGGGAAAGAAACATATTTATGGTCGCGAACATTTATAATTTTATCATAAGTCTAATAGACTGATTAACATTTTGACTTTTTGACTTTCCATGTTTTGTACATTTAAACTTGTGTTGTCACTAACAACTAAAATATAGATTAATGTTTGTTTGCGGGTTCAGTCTAACTAAAATACTGCATTAAATGTGCATCATACCTACATAGCTATCAAAATCTTCGCATCCACCATTTTGCTGGCAAGGTCTTTTCACGGTTCCAACTCATATACTATTATTTTTGTGGATAAACCATTTTTTATATTCTATATATTTTCTGCTTTAAAGCAATCAGGGTATGTGGAACATCACGAGAAGATTGCAGTGAGCATGCAAGATGTAGAAACACAGGTCCAGGACGATACCAGTGTACATGCAAGCGAGGGTATAGTGGAAATGGAAAAAATTGCCAAGGTTTGTTACATAAATGTAACAAGGGTGCGACTGACTGTCTACAGTTTATAGAATTTCGCGTTGCATTCACGTAATAGTTTGATCATTCCGTGTACGAAAAATCGCGGAACGAAAATGGTCTAAATCAGCCCTCTAATGAACGTATAATCTAATATGGCAAATCGTACATACTTGCTGTTAAAATCATGCAACCTCTCTTTATTTAACTACCATGCACATTTTATTTACGTTAGATATAGACGAGTGTAATACAGTAAGGAATGCCTGCCCAAGTGGACAATCATGTGAAAATGTTCCAGGCAGTTATCGCTGTCGTTGTCCAAGAGGATATACACTTCGCAACTCAAGATGTTATGGTAAGTTTCAAAATATTTCTGTTCAACAAAGGTCAAAAACAAATTTAAATCTAAATACTTTATAGCTAAAAATTCTTGCAACAATTCTTTCCCCTCAGTGCGTACACCAATAGCCTGCATGCTGGCGCTGCTGCATGGCTTTGTGTGTTTAATATCCTTGACAGATTTTGATCAGATTTGAATAAAAAATTGTAATTGCATGTTTGCCCAAACAAATGCTTCAATTCTTTAAAAAAGTAACCCAGAATTTGAACGATAAACTATACGTAATTATAATAACTTGTAGGTACACCACGTAAGTTACTTACGTGGTGTACCTACAAGTTATTATAATTACTAAAGTCGCCATGCAATCATACAAGAAAATTATACGTAATTAATTAACAGAATTTACTGATATGCATGCATGTGACTCAGACACACCAAATACAAAGTTACAACACATCTGCAGAGGCAGCAGAGCTACAAAACAATTGCTTTTAAACCACCAACAAATATTTCTATATGTATATTTTGCGTCACCAAAGCTAACTGTGTTCATTGATTAAAATTATTACCATTATTAAATAACATATTTAATTAAATAGGTTGACTAAGTTGACTTCTACAGGCAGAATACCGTCTGCTATCAATGAAGAACCTGTATATATCTAATCTATAAATAAGAAATAATTAAATTTATAGTACACACACTTACACAGTTACGCGGTATGGCTACTTTACAAGGAAATGCTCACGTAACACTCATAACTTTACTTTTGAAATTACTGTACGAAGTTTCATTCCTTATTTCCTCACTAAGTATAAGTTAAACAACAGTGCTCCTTAAATGGAGAGCGTCTTTCTTCCAGCCTCTGTCTTGACCAGGGGGCTTATATATTCTATATAAGCGCCGTGCTCTTGACTTTTGGCACAATGAAACGTGAGTTATTACTACGAGTGTTTATGTCATGGTTAAAACATTGAAATTTCACTTGGGGGAAATTCGTGCCAAGTGAGTGTAACGATTTGAAAACATCTATTACAACCCGTTTTTTCCGGCTAGTATAACACAATCTTCGTCTAGACGATTTTTGGACCGATTATTCGGGCTGCTTTGTCTTTTAACCTCTGTAATTTGGAACTATCAGTGATACTAAGACCCATATAAACAGGATAGCAATAGAGCATAATAGGATGTATCATTGTTCGATAATTTCTTTCCGCGACGTAGGGGCTGATGTTAGGGCGTATACGTGAAAGTTGACTTTTGACTTTTTTATAAACTTTAGACAACGCTCTTTTGCGTTGCTCCTGGCGTTTTTGTCCTGCTCAATGCATTTAACCATTACCTGTCAGCGACGCATGGAAGTTTCCATGTCCTTATATTGCATGATGCATACGTTCTCAGTTAAATCAGCATGGTGTATGCATGCACGTAACCTAATATTACAATATTACAAATCATACATGCTTGCTGTTAATATCATGCAACGAATCTTTACTGAAACCATTACGTTTTATTGACGTTAGATATAGACGAGTGTAATACACTAAGGAATGCCTGCCCAAGTGGACAATCATGTGAAAATGTTCCAGGCAGTTATCGCTGTCGTTGTCCAAGTGGATATACACTTCGCAACTCAAGATGTTATGGTAAATTTCAAAATTCTTCCCTAATTCGTCGAACATCAAAAACGTATAAAAATCTAAATCCGTTATGGCTAAAAATTCTTGATGTACATTAATTTTATTTTCTCTTTTTTAAAGATATTGATGAGTGCCGAGAAGGTTTGTGTGCTAGGCATGAAACATGTACTAATCTGCCTGGAACGTATCGTTGTGAAGACAAATCGAGGTGTGACCCTGGATATCGCCGTCAGAGTGGAGCCTGTGTTGGTACGTAAACACTATACTTAGTACAACTGACTTTTGCTGTTGAGAAGGAATCGTACAATTTAAGCGAATGCGTTGGTCAGCGAGAAGAATCGTAGCAAAATTTAACGTGAACAAATGTGGGAAACGGTAATAGAGGTTCTTATACAGACGCGAATTTTCAGGAAAAATTGTTAAAATCATTAAAGAAAATTTTGAAAACAAAACAATGCCAACCAGAAATAGTAATCTTCAAGAATATTATCGTCAGGATCAAAATATTTTTCCTGAAAAAAATGGGAAGAATTGCGTTGCATTGTTCTTTTCAACCTTTTTTATAATCACATTGCCATAGTGAAACACTAAAGAAGAAAAGAAATTCGAAGACATTTTTACACAATTAAGGGAACCTGGACGACGAGGTGAAATGGTCAAGAACTATATATATAAGGGGCACAAATGTAAATTATTTCGGAAAATTATGAGTGTTAAGAACAATTGTGGGCAAACGGCCAGTTTTTATAGTCCTATAAAATCCCCTTCACATAACTCTCTCATAGATTTGTTGACCATAATGCCTACCGAGGCGAAGCGACCTCATTTTGCTTATTACTGATCTACTTTTTGTGTCCATTGCTTCACAGATGTAAATGAGTGTTTAGATTCCAGACGGTGCTCCAGTGATCAAGTGTGTGTAAATACAGAAGGAAGCTACGAATGCAGAGTCCGATGTTCGTCCGGTTATGAGCGAGATCCATCCACTAATGATTGTAGAGGTAGTTCGTGCATATATGTTATAAAAATCTTGTAACCAGGGTCTTGAAACAAAAAGCCACATTTACAGGGTGTATAAAAAAGGCAACCTCGTAATACTTATATTGTTATTAAGCACAATAGTACTTTCTATTGCATTAATAAAGACATCGATGAGTGTGCGGTTGGTAACCGATGTGGGCCAAATAGAGATTGTCGAAATCTTCCTGGAACCTTTAGCTGTATTCGGGGATGTCAACCTGGATACGAGAGAAATAATGGAAGGTGTGAAGGTAATATAACTTTAATATTACCAAAAGTGTTTAATTCCTCCACTAGTATTGTTTCGGAACATTAAAGTCATGGGAAATTCGAGTGGAAATCGAATATATGAATATAGAACTAATAGAAATTTTAAGTTTTTACATGGGATTGAATGGTGATTTATATTAATTTTAGATAAAGACGAATGTCTTATATATAATATATGTTCTCCTCCGAGACCTGTATGTGAAAATATACCTGGTAGTTACAGATGTAATTATCGTAAATGTCCTGATGGCTTTGAAAGAAGACGAGATGGACGATGTCATGGTACGTGAGAGCAAAAATTATCAGACAAAGTTGTCTAACTTTATATATCGTCCCCAGCATTTTTCATTTGGCGGATCATGTTAATTAAAGCAACCATGTTATCATACTTTTGGGGGTTAAACTCCCTCTTACATGGCTAGTTTTAATATTGTGACCACGTGAATCCGATGTAGTGTAAGAAGGGCCAAACGTGCGGATGTTATCTTGATGATCAGTCAAGTGCAAATGGGAGTTATAGTTATGGGGAAATAACTTTTAATTATATTCCCTGAATCAGTGCATGGTGTTTAAAGGGATTTAATCAGATACAGTGGCGTCGGAAGCATGAAATAGGAAGGGGGGGGGTCACACATTCTTATATTCATGTTAACAGAAAGTAAAGACACTTTATTAGAGTTTCGTTAACATTCGGGGGAAGTGAAACGTGATATACCAGTGACATTGCAATCAAAATATTAATCGTGTTACATCTATTATTAAGTAATAAAGTCAATCTAGAAATAAACCAATACCCCTGTCTTTTCCAACAAAACAATACTAATTTTTATACAATGCAATCATACAAGAAAATTAAAACAATACTAGTCCCCAAACTACCAATATTACTGCATGTACTCCAAACTACCAATATTACTGCATGTACTTCAAACTACCAATATTACTGCATGTACTCCAAACTACCAATATTACTGCATGTATCCCAAACTATACCAATATTACTGCATGTACACCAAACTATCAACATTACTGCATGTACCCCAAACTATACCAATATTACTGCATGTACCCCAAACTATACCAATATTACTGCATGTACTCCAAACTATCAATATTACTGCATGTACCCCAAACAGGCCAAACTACCAATATTACTGCATGTACCCCAAACTATCAATATTACTGCATGTATCCCAAACTATACCAATATTATTGCATGTACCCCAAACTACCAATTATTGTACAGATACACGATGTCATGATGAAACAGACAATATAATCTGATGTTGATCAATACTATGCAAAGACTTAACGGTTAAATCGAAGTGTCCTTTATCAACCTCGGATTATTGTATAAGAAGTTTGCAGTTCTTTATTTACCCATTGTTTTGAATGTAAAGGCTCGTTTACACGATTGAATTTGCAATTTTTTGTGCGATTTTATTACTTTGATAGATGTGAACGAGTGAAATAGTTACGACTGCTCAAAATAAGAACTCTTATACATCAGAGTATTCGTAACTAGTCACTCGTTCACATCTACCAAAACAAGAAAATCGCACCAAAAATTCCAAGTGTAACAAAGATATTATTTATAATTTAGTCCAGTCACTTAGACGATAATTTGATACCTTATCAGCAGTCACTTACCAGCAATAATATTTTCTCATTTATTTCAAGACATCGATGAATGCACTACCGGAAGACACAGATGCAGAGCCAAAACTGAAATGTGTGTTAATGTCAATGGCACATACTCGTGCCGCTGCAATCCCGGCTATTACAGAAGAGCAGAAGAAGTCCATTGTCGAGGTGCGTTCCAAAAATGCATGCCATATTTGCTATATATGTATGAATATATATAGGTCAGGCGCCGAAAAGCCCAGAAAAGCCCCGTTTACACTACACTCGATTTATTGGCCGTGCCAGGCTAAAATTGGTACCCGTGCCCAGTTTTATTAGTGTTCAGGCTACCAAAATAAAGGACGAGCACAGATGAAATTGGTACGGGTACCAATTTTAGCCGTGCCGTGCCGATAAATTGAGTGTAGCTTAAACGGGGTTTTATACGAGCAGTTTTACTCCTATCGTCCGATGAACATGCTGTTTGGGATGAACTAGCTTCCACGTGCATATTGCATCAATCGTTGTTCTATCCTTCGCCTTATCTTTGTTAGATAAAGTGCAAACATGCAGTAAAGTCAGTAAAAAATAATGCATGTGAAACACGCCAGAAGAAATTTCGAAAAGCCACCTAAGGCGCTTGTTGAATCTCTTATTTTTCTTTTCCGTGCAAGGGCAAGGCCCTAAATTCAGAGTTCTCATTTGGCTGAGAAAGCTTTCCTATTCTAGATAAAGATGAGTGTTCAGAAGCAAGCCAGTATTGTCAACACAACTGCGTAAATACAGATGGTTCATTTAGGTGTGAATGCAGAAGTGGATATAAACTCGCGGATAATACAAATTGTTTTGGTCAGTATAATAACTAGTTTGGCTGCAAATATGGAAGTCGTCAGGTTTACAATGCTTATTATAGCATTATTTCCAAATATTTTAAACAGATGTGAATGAGTGCAGAGAAGGAATTTCAGGCTGTGAACAAAGATGTGTAAATAGTCAAGGTTCTTACCGTTGCGAATGTGAAATAGGATACAGATTACAAAGAGATAAAGTGTCATGTGTAGGTGAGTAATTACATGCATTATATAATGTTTTCGCGAAAAACTTGACTCGAATCTCGACTTAGTCTCGAGTCACTTTGAACAAGTTTTATATTCATTTTAGCGTACCAAACGTGCTAAAAACATAAATATATTACAATTGTTTCTCAATTCATTGTTCAAAGCAAGCAAAAACGGAGTGAAATCATATAGGCACAGCATCTTTTCATGGAAGAGTAATTTGTTCTTTATTCCTCCTTAAACAGTTTAATTAAGGGAATTTATTTATCCCCCCGAATCTTTTTTGCAGATATCGACGAATGCAAACAACCTAGAGAGTATAATACTGGCTGTAAATGGAAATGTGAAAACACTATGGGGGGTTACAGATGTTCATGTCCCAGTGGATATGAAATCTATAGTCAGAAATTCTGTGTGGGTGAGTAATTAAAATAGTAGATTAAGAAATTGAAAGAAAACCTTGTAGCCTAAAACCAGAACATCGCTTATACTGACTTATTGCACTATTTTGCAACCTATAATGTTTTCACTTATGGAAAATAAATAAACAAGCTTGAGCAGGTCTTGGCCCTCATATCGATTACACCCCCTCCTTCTCCTCCCTCCTCTCCCCCCCCGTTGCATTTATATATCATCCCTTATATAAACACACCACATCTCCTGATCTATTTTATATTTGCATGCAATTTATCGGTTCCAGATATTGATGAATGCAGCAGTCGTGATAATGACTGTGGTCGCGACTCAAACTGTGTGAACACCGCTGGTGGTCATAAATGTTTCAGAGCTATTTGTCCAAATCAACGTTATTACGTTAAAAGGTCACCAAGGTACGGTATACATATATGATTTTCACAATGCGACATGCATGTATGTATGTGTCTTCAAAGTACGATGAGTCATGAGTGATGTTGTATATTCGCGTTGTACCATATAACTCATTGTTGTAAACTCAGGAATTACTTGATTCGTACTCTCAGTGTTTTTATCAACTTTGTTATTGGTGAATGACTTGTTAAAACACACGTGTTACGGTTTAGTCGTGGATATTAGGGCTGCTTTCCACTGTTTTTGCACGTACGTAGCTAGGTGCACGTAAAAGCTTAAAACCTTTTACGTGTATGCCAGAAAAAACAGCAAATCATCAACAGAACCCAACCCTATGAATCTTATGATGATTTTAAACTTTTACGTGCGTATGTACGTACAAAAAACGCGCCAGTGGAAAACAACCTTTAATGTAATATTCAATGTAAAATGTAATGTAGTATTTTTGTTGTCTCTATACAAACATATATCATATATAAGTACTTTAATAGTAATCATTATTTTATTAGTCATTGCTCGCGGAAGATTTGCCGACGTAACGATAGGGAATGCCTGCGAGAGACACGAAAATCAATCCGTTGGTACGCACAGGCTTTTAGAAATGGAGCACCAGCTGGTGCCTTTGATTTCTCCTATAATATTACGACCACAGGTATTTGTGAATCTTAATTTCACTAAGGGAACTTTCATCTATTTTTCATCGATTGTATACAAACCCTTCTGACCATAGAGTAATAGCAGGAAAGGCGTGTTCCTGTCTATATGAAACTCGATCTTCTGTGCTAGAACGATCCAGGAATCTAGACGATCTTTATGCAAATAAAATGTATAATTGTAAAGTATTCATGCTATTGTTTTTCAGGTTATCGAACTAAACCTCGAATCAAATTCTCAATAAGCAGAGGTAATGATGGTAATGTTTTTGAGATAATAAATCACAGTTATGGCAAATCGTTTGTTCGAAATTCAAAAGTTTTAAGAGGGCCAAAGGATTTCTTTTTGGAGTACCGCGGTGAGGTAATTTACCAAGGACAAGTTACAGCAACGTTTATCACCAACCTAAATGTTTATGTGTCCCAATATGATTTTTGATTTTTAAAGACTACAATAAAAGACTTGCATAAACCAAAGATTTGTGGAAAAAAAATTGTATATCTATTGTTAAAGATGGGTAAATGTGTTCTCATAAAATTTACGTAGAGTCTACAAATGCAGCATATATTGTATACAAAATGTTGATGTTTAGTGTATTAATAACAATTAACAAACATATTAAAATAGATGTTCTTTAATTGTATACCTTTAATTGTATACCTTACGAATGCATATTTTGTGTTAAATCAGATTCACTTGCCAGCTTAGTCTTCAATAAAACAAAAAATGATATTTGTCATTGATATTTCTCGTTGAAAGTTGCAGGAGAATATATATATATATATATATATATATATATATATATATATATATATATATATTAATATATATATATATATATATATATATATATGGACTATGTGCATGGTTCACAACTATACCGTTGAATATATTGATCATATTTAAGAATACATCTATGTCGACGTAAATAAGTCACAATAGAGTGAAAACGATTGCCTTGGTTGCGACACAATAAAACGAGAGACTAATTGTGACCTGTTTTCCTTGCTGTTTGCCTTTATAGGAAACTTAGAATCTAAACATGCTTTCTAGGGTTAACCGGTTAGGTGCTTGTTAACATGCTGCAGTCAGTGCAGTGCAAATTATTTTTGTGCATTTCGGACGTTCGAACTGTTGTTCCAGAGTAAACAGAAAAACTGGTAATTTTAGTCATTATTTGTGAAAATGAAAGTGATGTAGCTATGATGTGGGAAAAGAATCAATATCCACAATGATGGCGTAAGTTTTTATAATATGCGTTTGAGTGGATGCGAAGGCAGATTTTGACTGTTGACCTTCGTCTAGTTTTCTCTTTCCACTGATAATGTCGGTGTCTTAAAGATTTTTGCCAGACGACTGTGCAATTCTTCATGCTCATTGGCGGCACTTCAACTTAATTAAGATACATAATTAAGATATAGAATGTCTGTGTCCCACGCACTACTACGTTTACATTTTAGACTGCGCCCCTGTTCTTTGTCCGCTTCCCCGTCGATGCATTGAAAATAGTTTAGGGCTGTTTTCCACTTCAACCGTACCGTAGCGACACGTAGCACACGTAGCGTATATCATTCTTCGTGGGCACTTGGATAGAACTAATGATGTTTAATTTACAATCTTCATGCATTGGCCTAAATCTACTCACGCGATTGGTCAAAATCACAGAGGCCTGGCGAAAGATCATGGGAATTATAATTTATTCGCATTAACCCATGAAAATCATGGTTTATTCTGCTCCATTTACTGTTCTGGGGCCGGTTGTATCAAGCCCGTTTAGCTTAAACGGTGGATAAGTGAAAATTAAATAACACTCTTACATCTCTCTTGAATGAGTCAACTTGAATATTATGCACTGAATATATAGTTGTAAACAGTATCTTTGTATTAAGGTTAAAAACATTTAGTTTGTTTGTTGAATAAAACGATAGACTTGCTTTCTATTTAGAACTTAACTTAACAACCGTTTAGGCTAAACGAGCTTGATACAACCGGCCCCTGGATAATTCAGAACATTGTGCGAGAGGTGTGTGTAATGGTATGAAGAGATCTTCAGGGTTGGTAAGTTACTGAATAAATAAGCCAAACATTGTTATTGGCGGCCCTTTGATTCCTTTGTTTCAAACAAAGAAAACAAATGTTATGTTAATATATTTGGCTTATTTATTCATAAAATCTACCAACCCTGGAGATCTTTAGGTTACCCTCTCTTTATACCATGACGTAAGCGCCGGGGACGAGGCTGCAAAGAACCCAAGAATAGACCTTTCTTATAATGACGTCAAACGCGGAGAGTCTGATGTTCACGAAATTTGATTGGCTCCACAAAACTATCGAGCAAATCAAACTTCGTGTAGCATCACACACTTTCCGCGCTTGACGTCATTATGAAAAAGGTCTATTGACCAATCAAAATTCACGTAGGGTTACAGCGATGTATAAAAAAAGATCATGTGAAGTCAGTGAAGAACGTGCCGTTGTAAGTGTTGATTACTGGCGGGGTGTATTACCGTGTATACCGTAGTATCTCGTACTGTAGACTCTCGAATTGCAGGAACGAAGGTTGGTTGATATTTGCATTTAATTACTTTATATTTTAGATACAGGCTAAACATCTTCACATTGCAAATTACAATATGACTTTTCTTTTTGAATTATAGAACCAAGAGTTCGAGACGAAGTTTTTACACGTCGCTTTGTGGTGAATTTAAATACCTGAGCATGGCTTTCCTTCCAACAACCTTCAATCTCACTGGTCGGGCCTTGAGGTCAACTGCATATCTTCCGAACGTAATACGTAAAGCCCTTTTCTCTCAAACACAAGTAAGTATAATTTTATAACGTTTGTGTTTGCATAATAGATTAATGCAATTCAATTGTACATTATTTGCAATGTTATTTCGTCCAGATATTGATTTATTATGACGCACTAGAATGTTACATACTTGGATCAAGTATCGTCGAGCAAATCATGATCATTTGCAGCAAATGATCAACAGAATCCATTCTCAGTCCAACCCTATGCATCTAGTCAATCATCTATTGTTCGTTTTCATTATTTACGTGCGTACACGTACGTACAAAAAACGCGATAGTGGAAAGCAGCCATAATATATTTTTCAGATAATTTGAAACAACGACTAATTAATTTATGTCAGTTTTCTGTAGTCACATGAAGAACAACTAATATGGGGAAGGCGGGTATATACCAAAAGGCGAACGCCGACATGAAAACTGCCCTTCTCTAAATCTCCATAATTAACAGAATTCATGCAATTCTTAAACGTTTTTAAATCTAAAGTATACAATTCAAGGCCTTGAAAATTTTCGAATTCATACTTAAGACTTCCTGAATTTTAATTAGAGATTCATGCAGGCTATTTTCGTGTTTGACTAGTGAATGACTGAAATTAACATCTTACAGTTCTCTGCTCTATATTCCTGCAATATATTTAGAAGTATGTGGAACAAAAACTGTGGGTTCCCAAAACTTCCCATTTGTTTGAGTTGTGTCTTATCTGTAAATAAGAAAAAGTAGTGGTGCATGTTAAATACATATAGTTCTTTATCTCAAGTGGAATTTACATTGAGATATTTATCTCAAATTATCTCTTTTCATATACAGCTTAAAGTGGATGCTAATCCAGAAGTCAAATATAACCAAGTAAGCTAATGGTTGATCCTTTTGCTGCCTCAAACCTTTTTCTTTGGTTGTTTAAGACATGCATGGCAATTCATGTCAAATAATTGTAGAAATAGTGCAACATAATGTACTAAAAAACATATTAATTTGCTTAATTAATTAAATAACCTTAATCTAAAAGCATTTCACATAATTTACACCAGCTAGAAGACAATTAATTACAAGCTTTAGTTGCAACAAAATTTAAAGGACAAAGATTGCTGTGACCAGCAAATTGAAGTCAGGTCAATTTTGGTCCTAAGAAGAGAATATAGAGTATTGGTATAGGGACAATATCATGGGAACAATAAGAACTTTATCTAAGTCTCTAGCTAGAAAATTAAAGTACGACTATTTTATACAATGAGGCTTTAATGTGTGTAATTAATCTAAACTTTTGAATACTGCCCTATCATTTGTTTCACTATCAAAATTAATAGGATTCTACCATTTCTTGTGTAGATTTTTATCAATAACCAATTTCAAGATGCTGTAAGTGGTGATACATTTCCAACCATCAATCCTGCTACAGAGGAAAAAATTTGCGATGTTGCTGAGGGTGATAAGGTAGAGTGATAGATAACTTAGTACTTTGACATTATTTAATTTATAACCACATGCAAGCCTGTAATCAAATGTTTGTGGATAGACAACTAATAAAAGGTTTTCCACACATGTTCTATACATATTTTTTCTCCACACTGCATTTCTGTGCTCCCTAAGAGTAAGTACAAGTTTGCAGCACCATATTCTTCTCTTCCCACTGTGTATATTACCTTTACTGTAGGCTGATGTTGATCTAGCAGTCAAAGCAGCTCGAGATGCATTCAAACTTGGCAGTCCATGGAGAACAATGAATGCTTCCGATCGTGGCCAACTGTTATATCGGCTTGCTGATTTAATTGAAAGAGATCGAGAATATTTAGCTGTATGATTGAAATGTTAATTTATTCTCTTTTATTAATGAATTGTTGAAGAAGTGGGAGTTCTGTAGGCTGTAAACTTTTTTTACTCAATTACAAGAATCTATTGGGACTTTGGAAAGGAGTTCTAAAAGGTCATTCCATACTCTTTTGACTTTTCTACATATATTTTGTTTAGAGTCTTGAAGCGCTTGACAATGGCAAACCATGGAAAGATGCATATTCAATTGATCTCCATCTAGCCTTGAGATGTTACAGATATTTTGCTGGTTGGGCAGACAAGATACATGGGAAAACTATTCCTTGTGGTAAAAACAAAAATGATATTGTTGAATTCTGGTTCAGTACTGCTACCTGAAGCCCTATATTTTAGTACAATTTGTTGTTTTTCAAATGTGAAAATTCACTTATGAATCTTTGTCTATTTTCCCATTATTTCACTTCATCTAACTAACAGGCAAAATAACTGACCAAATTTAGTCAAACTTCTTTTTCTACCATGTACGTTTTTTGGATTGTAATGTTTAATATACTAATTTTTACAATATTTTTCAAACTTATCTTTATATTATTCTTTCAGACGGCGATTTCTTTGCATACACACGTCATGAACCAATAGGTGTAATTGGACAAATTATTCCATGGAACTTTCCTTTGTTGATGCAAGCTTGGAAACTAGGTCCAGCTCTTGCTGCTGGAACATGTATTGTTATGAAACTTGCAGAACAGACTCCATTAACAGGACTTTACATTGCAGCATTAGCTGCTGAGGTAAATATTAGATTACATTACTTAAGTTTTCATATATATTTACTCAGCTCTGTTGCATTTCTATATTTACTTAATCTGAATGAGCTAGTGTAGCAATTATACCGGGTGTCCCAAAAAAAACTTTACCTGTTTGTCTTAATATAACTCAAAAACGATAAAAGCTATTGAGTTGAAATAAACTCCACTGTATACAAGCAGGGCTAACTTACATTTTGATATATAACATTAAATTATTGATGTGATATTTACGGAGATACAAGCATTTGATGTCGCAAGGTACTTTCAAAATCCGTGAAAAATTGACAAAAATCGGCTATTAAATTAATTCGAAAATACTTGCATGCCACTTCCCGTGGTAAGTTTTTAACTTCAGCGATTTTAACTTTAATTGTTCGCTCTTATGTAAGAGTAAGTTTGCAATGGAAAAGCGTACATTTAAAGTTAAAATCACTAAAGTTAAAAACGTAAAAGTTAAAGTATTAGTTTCGAATTAATTTAATAGCCGATTTTTGTCAATTTTGCACAGATTTTGAAAGTACCTTGCGACATCAAATGCTTGTATCTCCGTAAATATCGCATCAATAATTTAGTGTTATATATCAAAATCTAAGTTAGCCCTGCTTGCATGCAGTGGAGTTTATTTCAACTCAATAGCTTTTATCGTTTTTGAGTTATATTAAGACAAACAGGTAAAGTTTTTTTTGGGACACCCGGTATCTTTATTTGAATTGGCCTTCAGGCTTCAGTACGACCAACATACGACTCTATATTGTTGGAATCGTTTCTAACAACCCTTGCTTGGTATACTACATTGGTTGTTAGACATTTACCATTCAGTGGGCATGAGGATTTATTTCTACAATTACACTGTTTTGGTTTCGTGATAGAATCATCTGTTGACGCGGACTGAATGGTAAATGTCTTACAAGCCTTTGACAATTAATTGCAAAATTACTTCTTGTTGAGTTAGTTTTGAGACTGTTTTTAGGCGGGATTTCCTCCTGGAGTTTTAAACGTTGTTCCTGGGTATGGTCCAACTGCTGGAGCTGCCATTTCGGAACATTTGCTGATAGATAAGGTTGCCTTCACCGGATCAACTGAGGTTAGTGCGTAATCCAGGATCTTTGTTGTGATAGTTTGGCACCAGAAAGGGTTTGATTGAATGTTTAGGGTTAAATTGAATAGAGTAGTATAGTCAAGTATAATTAAAGTGTTGCTTGTCCTCACGATACAGGTTGGAAAATTAATCCAAGAAGCCGCGGGCAGAAGCAACCTGAAGAATGTCACTCTCGAACTTGGTGGAAAGAGTCCTAGTATTGTGTTTGCAGACTGTGACATAGATAACGCAGTTGAAATGAATCATATTGGTTTGTTCCTGAATCAAGGTCAATGTTGTATCGCTGGCAGCAGAATATTTGTTGAAGAATCAATTTATGACGAATTCGTTGCAAAGAGTGTTGCTAAAGCTAAAGCAAGAGTTGTCGGTGATCCATTTAACGACAAGACAGATCAAGGACCACAGGTACAGACAGTAAAAGAATGTGATTATCGTAGCGGTGTTATTTGATCAGTTTTTGTCGACCGGTTTTTAGAAATAACGATTTCTGAATCGCAATTGAAGTAAACATTTTTATATCACCGTTTGTAACTATAGACTAAACCTAAGGCCAGGTCCATTTATGCTGATAATTTGTACACCCACTTACTTATTCAGCGGCGAAGCTGCGTGCATGCAAAATGAACTGATTTTTATATCATCTCCTCGCAGCGTTGAGAAGAGTTTTTCGTTTAGTTTAGCTCTATGCTGCTGGATATAATGAGCGATTATTCTTTATTATTCTTAAAAAAAACAGGTTGATAAAGAACAATTCCACAAAATTCTGGATTTAATTGAAAGCGGGAAAAGTGAAGGGGCAAAGTTGGAATGCGGAGGTGATCGAAGTTCTGACAAAGGATATTTCATACAGCCTACCGTCTTTACTGATGTGCAAGATAACATGCGCATTGCAAAAGAAGAGGTAATACATATTTTATTACAATGCTTTGTGCTTTATATTTTATCATAGCTATATGTCATAACATAAGGTCTCTACTATGCACATTACAATGGTTAAAGAAGTCGATGTCGTTATATTCACCAAAAAACTGATTTGCGGGATAACGGAGGGAGAATATTCGTTGACATTTTTACGACGCCTTCAAATGAGGAATTTTGAGGAATTGACATCAAGTGCACTAGCGAAGCCAGGACTGGGTTATTGGGCGAAAGCTCGTGTATAATTAATATACGTGTGTTTTTACAAATATTATAGTTTACGGATTTAGTTTAGGCGTGTAACTTTTATCGAACATTGAAGATTTTAAATGAGGAAGGGGAAGAATAAAGCACAAGTTACACACAATAATTTATATTTTCTAGATCTTTGGTCCAGTTATGCAAATAATGAAATTTAAAACAATCGATGAAGCAATTGAACGAGCAAATAACACAACGTATGGCCTTGGTGCCGGCGTATTCACCTCTAACCTAGAGAATGCTATAATGACATCACATGGAGTCAGGGCTGGACTTATTTGGTAAGCAATAACCGCAATATTAAGTGATCTTATTGCTAGTATCGCAGGGCGTAAAACCTCCAGAAACTGGAACAATGCACTTTCGACTGCATGAGAAAGCCCTGAAGATCACAACGCGGCTAAAATTGTTGAAAAAGGGAATAATATGTTAATGAAATCTTGACAGAATGGTTAATTTTCATGATAAATCCTGAAAGAATCTTTCAAAATCACCTCACAATGTTCTCAAAATCCCCACATTTATGCTTTTTTGACGTAATACATCCCTCTAACAGTATTGACCTATCTGCTCTAGTTGTAACCTGTTATGAGCCAATCATAGTTTGCCTTGTCAAGTATTAACTCATAATCGCCCTCAATTTGCTTAATAACTGTTCACCAGCTATTCCTGTATTCATATAATAAATCAATTTAAATCTTTTCTTCCATATAAGGGTTAATTGTTACGACATTTTTGATTGTACCATTCCATTTGGCGGATACAAGATGTCTGGATCCGGAAGGGAATTGTAAGTTTATCATTTTTATATGACCTACGAACCTGTATTTCATTATGCATTACGCGAGTAATAGCACTACAAAAGTTCCACAGTATGTTAAATGCAAGAGACGACACGACTAAAACCTCAAATAAATGGGAATTATGTTCATGTTTTTTAGGGGCGAATATGGGTTGTCGCAGTATTCCGAAGTGAAATCGGTACGTAATTCTCTGTGAAAATTCTATGCACTTGATGTATAAATGCTTTCAAAAGAGAAAGTGATTTCTTGGGACTCCGGGAAACAAAAATATATATTTCACAATGATTTGATTTCGTTAGAACACCTGAAGACGTATAGTTTTAAAATTTGTCAATTTTGTACTGAAATATACGATTTCTTCAAATCAAAATCAAATTAAGTGCCCAATTCAATTAGCGTAACATGCGGTTTTCTCTCTTTTGCAATGATTGTAGCTATGGACATATATATACGGAGTTAAAATGGTCAGTAACTTACTTTATGACTGTGTTTTAAAAATCTAGATCATGACCAAGATTCCACAGAAGAATTCCTAGAAAGGAGATTTGTTTGAATATATCTTTTTTCCTCCATTGACCATACCAGAATCTGCAATTTGTAATTTTTAGTATCGTAACAAGTATGTTGCGCCAGGTATACAGCAATGTGCAATAATTTATCAACTATGTTAATGTATTATTTTATAATATCAGGCTCTAGGAATTAAAAGTATTACTTTAAATACAACGGATTTTTCGCATGCCTATAAATAGGTGAACACTTAGATGTAAATGGCTTGATTATTATTATTATTATTTATGTTCTTTAATAATTGCTAGAAAGGCAACAAACGCCTGTCCCCTTCATTCACGTTATTTAACATGACAGTGTCTGACAAACTCTGTATTGAAGATAACTGAAAATACCACGTTAGCCAACATTCTAGGCATACTGGCATAGGATATTTCCCGCAAGGTTGCAGTTTTTGAAAAGGAGAGTATTGGTAGCCCTAATAATTCTATGGCGCCTACGATTTTTATAGCCTCCTCCACAGGCCTCTCTAGCTTTCTTTGGGGCTCCCCTTGGGGTTGCGCTGGCTTCCCCTGGGTTTTTTGTGTTATTGAAAATGGTTATTGAATAGAAGCGATGGTTTACTCGATCCAGGCCTTCCTGTCGGTCTAATTCAAGATGGTTGCCAATTTTGCCAATGTGCAAATGTGCAGTAGCGAACTGTGTGCAGTCAGTTCACTGTGTGCAGTGTGTGCATTTTCTCCGTTTTAGTGGGAAACCAGATGTGGTTTTTTGTGGTCCATTAGTCTTTCGTTGTTTTATTGTTTATTGATCAAACGCGTGGTAAATATCCGAAATGAAACTGGTAAGTTTTGGAAAAAATGTTATTTGTTCGATATTCGTTGCGATTGTTGCCCAGTGAAAACTGTGAAATAAGTGAATGTTGCCTGATTACACCTCATTTACCTCATAAATGTGGAATGATAATCTTATATCGTGTTTTTTTAGTATTCTCTTGGCAGAAGTTGTAAAGCACCATGCTTTGTCTTGAAATTCAAGCAAGCAACGGTCATGTTGGATTGCTCATTGGATATGACACCAGCACTTCATTTTACACCTATGAATTTAGTTGAAAAGTGAGTCTGTAATAAAATATATGCTGCCTATCTAGCCCGGTTAGCTTGCAGCTGATAAACAGTTGGTTATATTGTCAAAATACTAAATGAGTAAAATGACCTGCAGTTTTTCAAATTCTAACCCTTATACTAAACCCCAATCTTAATTAAAATCTAAACCTAAATCCATAAACTAATAATTATAAAGAAATTACCAGTGATTTAGTATTTTGTTGAATAATTACTGTATGGTAACTGGTAAGCAAGCAGTGGGCTGTTTAAAATTCCAGTGGTAAATACTACGTTAGTCACCATAATGTACAAGTCAATTGAACTAACTGCCGTAATTATGGATACATTTGAAAATTAAGACGACTTAGGCTAAATGCCCTCCTGAATATGCTGTTGCACAGTTTTCTAAAAGGATATGAGTTTGTTTTTTATTTCCCTTATCTTCCTTATGATTATGCCTTACTTTGCAATATAGAGTTTAAATCTTTCCAAGCTAAAAATGAAATAAAAATAAACTTCATTTACACATACATGTGTGTCTTTAGATATATGTACAGTGCATACATAATGTAACTCATCAAGACTGAAAAAGAAAATTAAATTTCTTTTGTTCTGTGAAGGAAGCAAAGTCAATGTTTTGGCAAGCCTTGGTTTACTAGAGAGTTGCAAGATATTGATGGCTTTGTGGATGAAAATGTAATATGATTGTTTAGTTTGTTACCACTAATAAATATAACATATAGAATTATGCTGTGTACAATTATTCTGAGTGCAAATTCTAAATGAAAAGCTACATAGATTTACAGCAGTTTGTTCATTTATTCACCTGTTTAAAAAAATATTCCCTCCATTTATGGCTACTACATGAATTATGGGTTGTTCTTTTTAGAATATAATAGATGTTGGGGGAAATCTTTTTGTGGATAGTGAACCTGAGGTTCTACCACCTGAGGTAATTTTTTTCAACTCTGAAATTTGTAATGCTTTGGATATACCTTAACTTCTATGAGTAGTTTAAAATTTTGCAACCAAGATCATAGGAATTTGTGGTATATATTATGTGGTATATATAGGAATATATTATGGTACACCGCTAGAAACATGCACGTTACAGCAGGTTTGTGGTGATTCTGGCTGTCTAATACTACAGTCATTGTTTTTTACAAAGTGTATGTTTAATCCAAATCAGTTTCTATGTTACATTTGTTTGACCACTGACTTAACTTTTAGGGTTTATGTTTGACTTATCTCCTACTCATAATTTTCATTCACTCTGCAAATTTGACTCCTGTATTTCCAGGTTGATTTGCTAGATATGTCCACTATTGATGTGATATTAATATCAAACAGTTTCTTTATGTTTGCACTGCCATACATCACTGAGGTATATATTGGTCTTACTAAAACAACTCAGATCATTTCAAAATGTTGTAATCATGTAATGTATCATACAATAGTCATATCTATGTATATATACGTTCCAATATAACCAGGAAGCAGCATCTTCAAACAACTTAGCATTAAATGTGGTATAACAACTGCCTAAAATAGACAAAACACTATCAGAGGGCCTTCGTCAGGAGAGTTGGTATGAAAATAAATAGGGGAAAACACATGTATGGGCACAATGTTTGGGCACATGTTTTGTTATGCTACATTTGATGCTAAATATAATATCTATGTATAGTAGTGCATGTGCAAAACTGGTAGTGTGGCTATGCTAAAAGTAGTACCAGTATAGCTTGTTTGGAAACTGCCAATGATCTAAAATATGTGTTAATTATTTAATTTACGTGCATCCCTTGTAGCATACAAACTTCTCTGGTACAATTTATGCAACAGAACCTACGCTTCAAATGGGAAGGTAATATTATGTTTAATAATTATGTTTAATATTATGTGTAATATTACGTAGATTTAAATCAATGGTGATTGTATATTGCTTGAGGGAAGTATTTTCAGAACCACTTAACTTTTTCGTAGTGAACTGATGCAAGAAATGGTTACATTTGCTGAGCGAGTACCAAAGTTAGTTAATGGCACAGCATGGAAAAAAGCTGAAATTAAGAGGTAAGTCTCAGTTATAATAGTTAGACTAACTACAATAAACAGCAGAATGCCACAATGTGTATATTAGCTATAGGACTGGTTTTCATATCTGCATGGTAGATTATGGTAAAATTACTGCCTATTGACAAAACTGGGAAAGTTTGTAGATTAATACATTACTGTAGTGAGTATGATAGATATAAGCATTTAGGTCCTTCACTAGAGAAAAAAATGTTTCTAATGATGAAATCATTGTAATGGAGGAAATTATAAAGGATTTTTTTATCTCATTGTTAATGAACCTTCATGATCTTGAAGGTTGCTTCCAGCGCCATTGAAAGACTGTCGTAATGTTGAATCCTGGTGTACATTATACAGGTAACTAATCCATGTTATGTCACTTTACCCACTTACATCGTAATGTTATTTTTTTAATGGGAAATGCTTGCCTATAATTTGCAATTGGGAACTAGAAAACTCCGCTAGTATAAAAGAGAAATTTAGAGAGAATTAGTTATTTAACGGTACATTTATTAAATTTTAGTATTCATGATATAAAATCAAGTATAGCAAAGATACAAACTGTTGGATTTTCAGAGAAACTGGTAATCATATGAAACGTTTTTTATTCCTACATAACGATTATTTTATCATCTAAGTGCGATAAATATGGATTACAGCAAAGAGAAAGCATGAATGAAAAAATGAAAATTAAAGCAAGCAAATGATCTACATTCATCCGATAAAAACAGTACATACGTAAATAAAAACACGAAATGGAACTGCAGTAGCTAATTATTAGTATCAAAGTTAGGACCTCGTCTGCAGCTCCTCTCCCTTTTCTTCAAAGCCTACAACAAAGCGATTGAAAAAATCACTGGTGGATAGCGCTATCCGGCTTTCATACAACCACCCCCAGAAAGACAACCTACATTTTTTCTTTCTTTAAGTGCAAAGCTCTTGCATATTGCTTTAATTCCTTTCTTTCTTTCTATCACTTTCTTTTCCGGGCAATGGCATGTCATTCATAAGCTCTCTGAAATTTTTATCATATTCAGGATCTATTTGGTGTCCTCCAATTAACTCCAGTGAGTTCAGGTTTTTCTGTTGGTAGCTGCAATTGGATAATACAATCTGAATACGAAAAGGTACGGCCAATATTTTATTGATATAACGTGACTGTAGTACTGTACATAATTTGTATTTTGCATCTTTGCGTGAAACGATTTATTATGTTTTGATTTATTTCAGATAAGTTATTTATCTAGCTCTTCGTCGTTCACGACTCATCCTCAACCATTTGAGCCAAATTGTTTGAAAGGAAGTGATGTACTGATATTATCAGGACTGACAGACTCGCCCATTTCCAACCCAGATATCATGCTGGGAGAATTCTGTACTAATTTAGGTTTGTCATAAATCTTTACATGGCAATTAACGAGCTGGCGTAATTTTATACACTATATTTATTTTGAACTAGACTATAAAAGTTAGGATAAGCTTGGACCAGCTCTACTACTGTATTTATGTGCAGTTAACAATGACTGGTTTGAATACAGAACAAAAGGCAGAACAAAAGGCAAAAGTGTACATCCGGACTATTTGACATCGGTCACAGTGACGAAAATTACCACGAAATGGGAACTAGGCACACAAAAAAACTTTTGATATAAAACCTACACCGAATAGGTAAAAAATTGTATTCGAATGGTCGTATTGCATGGAGATTGCAGTGTGTTTGTGTTCGTTACTTCGAAGAAAAACACAAGAGGTTGTTGCATGGCAATCAAGTTAGCGCATAATTTGATCGCGTAATAGCAAACAAACTGTTGGTGATGAACTGGCAAAGGCGATCCTAATAAACATCTTTCATTCTTTCTATTGCGATAAGTTACAGCTCAGGTTATGTCGAAAATTACTGTATTTAATACTACTGGGGTAATTGATATGAAAAGATGGTAGTATGACTCGCCCATGCATAATAACAATATACAATGTATATGTTTACTTCTAGCGAATACAATCAAAGGTGGAGGAAATGTTTTAGTGCCGTGTTTTCCCTCCGTGAGTATATGTTTCTGATATATCATTAAGGTGAACTATATTTCAGGGGTTTGCTTGTATTCTAAACATCTTGAATAGTTGTGCACCTTATAGGTGGTACATATATATATGCATCCTTGTTTAAATCAATCTCATACTGTGTCGAGTAAAAGCTTTATATACACTTCTCATGCATGCTAAATACATCAGTATACTGTGTGAATCTGTATGATGACATCTCAACCTACAGTGTCATTGAAATATCCTTACTTATAGGGTGTCATTTACGACCTATTTGAGTGTCTACAATCATACATGGACAGTGCTGGACTAACCTTTACACCAATATACTTCATTTCACCTGTCGCTGACAGTTCTTTGGCTTATTCTAATATTTATGCTGAGTGGTAAGTACTCATTTTATAGGCTTACGATATTACGCATAGAAAACCAAATCGTAGAAATTTGTAAATTTTTTCCTCCTGGGTAGACGTGCGTACTAAAAACGCGGAGCTAAAAAGCAACTTTGCAAGCCCTCCAGATTCCGAAAAAAAACTATCGTTACGTTATGCGTAAAAAATTAACACACATGACATCACTGTCCAATTGAATCTGAGTGCGATCTATTTCAGGTTGTGCCAGAGCAAGCAGTCGAAAGTGTATCTCCCAGAACCACCATTTCCGCATGCTGAGGTGAGATTGGCAGATAGGAAGGCAAATAAGAAACAAAATTGCGGTTTGTTAATCAAATGTCCTTGACTGTCCAAGTGGCTGTTTTCTTGTACAAAGTACCATACAAGTTTTGTGTCTACTTAGCTTGTAAAGAATGGAAAACTAAAGCACTTTCCAAACCTCCATGGTAAGTTACTACACTGCAATTTCACATGCAAGTTAATAATACACACTAGCTACCTTCCAGAGAAACAAGTTCCTATGTCTCTATGCTAGATTCCAAAATATGCATGTTATCATTTTCAGATGGCTTTAGTAACACATTTAAAACACCTTGTGTGGTGTTTACTGGTCATCCATCATTGCGATTTGGCGATGTCGTTCACTTTATTGAAATGTGGGGAAATTCAAGTTCCAATACTATAATTTTTACAGGTACATTGTAGAAGGAGATATATGTAATTCATGTATAATTATTTTAATAAACATCTCCCAAGATTATCTGCAATATCGCTAATGATGAATCATTTAGAACCTGGATTCCCGTTTTTAAACGCTTTGGCTCCATATCAGCCACTTGCTATGAAGGTAAGATGTATAGTGAATTATTCAAGTATTTATTAAAATACCAAATCATTGGTTTCCGTGTTTGAGAAAGCGTACGTATTGTATTATTGAATTTGGAGAATTACATGCAAAGTTATTTTCCTTGTTAATTAAAAAGAAATTTGCAACATTTTATTCGATAATCACGAGTGAGTATTTATTTGCATCATTTAGAAGGTTGTCAATTCCGCATAAAGACCCTCGATTGCATGTTATTTGCATGTTATTTTTTATTATCAGTCAAATTGTTGACAGTACAATGCAGTTTATCTCAGATATGAATACATTAACCTTTTCTTTTCGTTATATTTAGAGTTGTTATTGCCCAATAGATCCCAGGTTGAATTTTGGTCAAGTAAACAAAACACTAAGAGAGATGAAGGTGAGTTTGATATACCACATCAGGTATTAAAATAACTATAACTATACTTACCCTATTTTGTTATGAACTATTTCAGCCACGTTTCGTCGTCATTCCTGAAGAATACACAGCTCCTCCACCACTGCTACCGCACAGAACAGATCTTGTAGTACAGTTCGACAACGTAAGTTTACTGTAATCCAAGCTAAGGCTAAGGTTTATCTTTTACGCTGAATGCCTAACTTATATGCTAAATTCCATGCTAAGAATGATAACTAACTTTCAAGACCATTCACGCGATCTAACTTTGTCGGATCCAATTCACTTTTGACGTATGGAATGTAGTTTGTTATTGATAAAGCAGTACTGCATCGCTCTGCATCGGCTTTAGTTTATATATATTGCAAGTCAACAGACTATAAAACATCCATCAGAAGTGAATTGGAACGTACAAAATTGGATCATGTGAACAGACCTTTAAACTTCCAGTTTTTCGTATGTTTAGGATAGTCACATGTTACCCATCAGTTACCCTCATGTTATCGATATTCCTGTTTCTCGAAGTTATGAAAAAGTATCCCTGTCAAACAAGGTATAGTCGATCGTCACCAACACAAGCTGTATGTGTGTCCATTGCCTTAATCCCAATACAGACAAGCAATAATATTTGGCGTGTTCGGCAGATTGTCTTTGACAATTCCGTCTCGCACGTGTTCAGGAGTGTCCCCATTCTCCTATCCAAAGCCGCCATATAATTTTTTTTTCTCCGCCTTTCATTTTAGCTTGCAACAATGTTGTGTCCACAGGAAGTACGGGCTGGCACCGCTGTAGCTATGGTGAATGGTATACTACAAAATAAGAATAACAAATACACACTTCAACCATTTGAGAGGTAATTTAGTAATTATCATAAAATGTTTTCGACCAGTATATTGCCATATAACCATGTAAATACTGGATGTAGGAAAAATAAGGAACCCTACATTGGAAATCAAGTGTGGTGACACAAACGTGCAAAAATTACAACGTCAACAAACCAGTTTTTAGAACAACAAATTCCCGACTGTTTGTATTAAATTTAACGTTTATCATGATTATTCAAAATTCATTTATTTTGAACTCAATTTAATGCTAATATTATTTGTACTTCTAGAGCTGGCTAACAACAGTCTTAAATGAATGGCCTGGTATTATACTCTTTTTGTATTGTAGATCATCAGAAGGTTCATCATCCAATAAGTGTTTATGTGGTGATTTAATGGTCGAGGAAATGGTAGCGTCTCTCGCAAAGGTGAGACTACAGATATTGATAATATTATGGATGTTATTAATCACATTTTTACCCTGTGTATTTTTTTCGTATTTTAAGAGGGGAATAACAGATGTACAGGTTGAACAAACGCCAAATGGGCATACGGTACATCTCGTAAGTTAAACATCATTTATGCTAATATACAACAGAAGCAGTGACTTTGCTTCTTTAAATATTTAAGTTTGATTAGTTGATTATATAATGTTATGATAAAACGTAACGTTTTCGAGCGCTTTTATAATTTTATTTGCCTTATCGCCTTATGTAACTTACACCTTTCCTTCCCGTTTGGACAGACAACACATTTAAAAAAAGGAAGACGTTTTTAAAACGCTTAAAAAAGATGTGCACTACATAGTCCAATTTTGTATTGTGGTATGATTTTTGTTTGATTTTTGTTATTACGTGCTCTTGTCAGAACGATGATGATGCTGTGGTTACATTAGAGCGGGGAAGTACTCATATTATAACACATGGAAATGACCAGCTCAGAAAGACAATTAGAGACGCATTGTTGGACTGTTTATCACAGATGTGATTGATTTGTCTCAGAGGTTATTTAGTGTTGGTATGAGTTGAATTGCAGATGATGCATTCTGCCATAATCCAGTGGCGTAGCCAGCACGATGATTGGAGGGGGCATATTCATATATTTGTGATACGCAGGATTAATTTCTTTTCAAATCAATTGTCTTTACAGTCTGTTAAGATGAATTTATCAATATATGCCCCCCCCCCCAATTATCGATGCTAGTTACGCCACTGCCATAATCACCACAAACTACACAACCGGCATAATATCATGCTACAGTATCGCCACACCCAGCCAGTGTTCAATAATTGACCGTATTCTAAAGTGACTGTAAAAAAATTGTTCAGTAAGTTATATCCAGGAATCGTTTTAAAACAATTTTTATTCTTCAAATGGTCTGTTGATTCTAAAAAAGTGTTTTTCATGTTTTTATAATTTTTTAAAAAGAGAAAGGCCAAGCCAAGTTTTTTTTTCATTTGAATTTTTTTTTTCTTGTGTCCAAATTTTTTTCCTGTCAATTTTTTTCCTTGTGTTTTCAATTATTTCATTTCATTTCTCAAAATCATTTTCATTTCATTCATTCATTGAATTTTTTTTTTGTGTCCACTCTTTTTCCCAGCCAAAATTTTTTTCATTTTAATTTTTCTTCTTGTGTCCAATTTTTTTCGTTTCAATTTTTTCTTGTCCCCAATTCTTTTTTCCTTCAAATTTTTTTCTAGTGGTTAAGACATTCGTTTCTCACTCCGAGGACAAACGTTTCAACTCCTGGCAATGCAAAAAAATTAACCTGAAAAATTTCGGTGTGATTTGGAAGCCTTAAAACAGTTAAAAGACTTCTGACTTCTCGGCCTTTGCAAGACTGTAAATTGAAAAAAATTTGAAATAAAAAAAATGAAAACAAATTCTCGCGTTCAAAAGTACTTGAAAATTGAAAGAAAAGCACAATTAAAAAAAGTTTTAAAACACGTGTCTTCTAAAAAGCCTGAACTGAATGAAGAAAGTCAGACGGAAAAAAAATTAAAAAATTTCCCGCTTTTAAAAAACTCATGTTTACTTACCTTAACTTTTTTTTCACGAAAATTTGACAGGGTGATTTTCTCGAGACTGAAAAAATTTAATTTTTTTCACTTTTTTGAAATTCTCTTAGATTTTTTTTGGACGCGAAAGTATTTTGTCTTGGGCTACCTGTGTCAAGTCAGACACAGTAGCCCAAGACAGACACAGTAGCCCAAGACAAAATACTTTCGCGTCCAAAAAAAATCTAAGAGAATTTCAAAAAAGTGAAAAAAATTAAATTTTTTCAGTCTCGAGAAAATCACCCTGTCAAATTTTCGTGAAAAAAAAGTTAAGGTAAGTAGACATGAGTTTTTTAAAAGCGGGAAATTTTTTAATTTTTTTCCGGCTGACTTTCTTCATTCAGTTCAGGCTTTTAGAAGACACGTGTTTTTAAAAACTTTTTTTAATTGTGCTTTTCTTTCAATTTTCAAGTACTTTTGAACGCGAGAATTTGTTTTCATTTTTTTTATTTCAAATTTTTTTCAACTTACAGTCTTTTGCAAAGGCCGAGAAGTCTATTAACTGTTTTAAGGCTTCCAAAATCACACCGAAATTTTTCAGGTTAATTTTTTTGCATTGCCAGGAGTTTGAAACGCTTGTCCTCGGAGTGAGAAACGAATGTCTTAACCACTAGACCATCGCATCATTTGTCGAAAGCCATTGTTCTTTTTTTGACCTAATTCTTTTCGATGAATTTTAAATTAAATAGTAATTTCGGTGGAAAAATCGAACTTTTCACATGCAGGATTCGAACCTACCCTTACAGCCTGCTAGGCCGTAGCCTTAACCACTGGGCTACCGGTATAACGTATATATTAAGGCTGCTATCAACATATAATCCGATGGCCGAGTGGTTAAGGCTACGGCCTACCGGGTTGTAAGCGTAGGTTCGAGTCCTGCATGGGAAAGGCTCGACTTTTCCCACTGAAATTACTATTTAATTTAAAATTCATCGAAAAGAATTAGGTCAAATAAAGAACAATAGCTTTCGACAAATGATGCGGTGGTCTAGTGGTTAAGACATTCGTTTCTCACTCCGAGGAAAAACGTTTCAACTCCTATCAATGCAAAAAAATTAACCTGAAAAATTTCGGTGTGATTTGGAAGCCTTAAAACGGTTAAAAGACTTCTCGGCCTTTGGGAAAGACTGTAAATTGAAAAAAATTTGAAATGAAAAAATGAAAACCAATCCTCGCGTTCAAAAGTACTTGAAAATTGAAAGAAAAGCACAATTAAAAAGTTTTTAAAAACACGTGTCTTCTAAAAGCCTGAACTGAATGAAGAAAGTCAGACGGAAAAAAATTAAAAAATTTCCCGCTTTTAAAAAACTCATGTTTACTTACCTTAATTTTTTTTTCACCAAAATTTGACAGGGTGATTTTCTCGAGACTGAAAAAATTTAATTTTTTTCACTTTTTTGAAACTCTCTTAGATTTTTTTTCGGACGCGAAAGTATTTTGTCTTGGGCTACCTGTGTCTGTCTTGGGCTACCTGTGTCTGACTTGACACAGGTAGCCCAAGACAAAATACTTTCGCGTCCAAAAAAAAATCTAAGAGAATTTCAAAAAAGTGAAAAAAATTAAATTTTTTCAGTCTCGAGAAAATCACCCTGTCAAATTTTCGTGAAAAAAAAGTTAAGGTAAGTAAACATGAGTTTTTTAAAAGGGGGAAATTTTTTAATTTTTTTTCCGTCTGACTTTCTTCATTCAGTTCAGGCTTTTTAGAAGACACGTGTTTTTAAAACTTTTTTTAATTGTGCTTTTCTTTCAATTTTCAAGTACTTTTGAACGCAAGAATTTGTTTTCATTTTTTTTATTTCAAATTTTTTTCAACTTACAGTCTTTTGCAAAGGCCGAGAAGTCTATTAACTGTTTTAAGGCTTCCAAAATCACACCGAAATTTTTCAGGTTAATTTTTTTGCATTGCCAGGAGTTGTAACGCTTGTCCTCGGAGTGAGGAACGGATGTCTTAACCACTAGACCATCGCATCATTTGTCGAAAGCCATTGTTCTTTTTTGACCTAATTCTTTTCGATGAATTTTAAATTAAATAGTAATTTCGGTGGAAAAATCGAACCTTTCCCATGCAGGATTCGAACCTACCCTTACAGCCTGGTAAGCCGTAGCCTTAACCACTGGGCTACCACCATAACGTATATATTAAGGCTGCTATCAACATATAATCCGATGGCCGAGTGGTTAAGGCTACGGCCTACCTGGTTGTAAGCGTAGGTTCGAGTCCTGCATGGGAAAGGTTCGATTTTTTCCACTGAAATTACTATTTAATTTAAAATTCATCGAAAAGAATTAGGTCAAATAAAGAACAATAGCTTTCGACAAATGATGCGGTGGTCTAGTGGTTAAGACATTCGTTTCTCACTCCGAGGACAAACGTTTCAACTCCTGGCAATGCAAAAAAATTAACCTGAAAAATTTCGGTGTGATTTGGAAGCCTTAAAACAGTTAAAAGACTTCTCGGCCTTTGGGAAAGACTGTAAATAGAAAAAAATTTGAAATAAAAAAATGAAAACCAACTCTCGCGTTCAAAAGTACTTGAAAATTGAAAGAAAAGCACAATTAAAAAAAGTTTTTAAAAACACGTGTCTTCTAAAAGCCTGAACTGAATGAAGAAAGTCAGACGGAAAAAAATTAAAAAATTTCCCGCTTTTAAAAAACTCATGTTTACTTACCTTAACTTTTTTTTCACGAAAATTTGACAGGGTGATTTTCTCGAGACTGAAAAAATTTAATTTTTTTCATTCTTTTTTGAAATTCTCTTGATTCTTTGTAAAATTTAATTTTTTTCACTTTTTTGAAATTCTTAGATTTTTTTTGGACGCGAAAGTATTTTGTCTTGGGCCTACCGTGTCTGTCTTGGGCTACCGTGTCTGCTTGCACAGTAGCAGGTAGCAAGACAAAATACTTTCGCGTCCAAAAAAAAATCTAAGAGAATTTCAAAAAAGTGAAAAAAATTAAATTTTTTCAGTCTCGAGAAAATCACCCTGTCAAATTTTCGTGAAAAAAAAGTTAAGGTAAGTAAACATGAGTTTTTTAAAAGGGGGAAATTTTTTAATTTTTTTTCCGTTGACTTTCTTCATTCAGTTCAGGCTTTTTAGAAGACACGTGTTTTTAAAACTTTTTTTAATTGTGCTTTTCTTTCAATTTTCAAGTACTTTTGAACGCAAGAATTTGTTTTCATTTTTTTTATTTCAAATTTTTTTCAACTTACAGTCTTTTGCAAAGGCCGAGAAGTCTATTAACTGTTTTAAGGCTTCCAAAATCACACCGAAATTTTTCAGGTTAATTTTTTTGCATTGCCAGGAGTTGTAACGCTTGTCCTCGGAGTGAGGAACGGATGTCTTAACCACTAGACCATCGCATCATTTGTCGAAAGCCATTGTTCTTTTTTTGACCTAATTCTTTTCGATGAATTTTAAATTAAATAGTAATTTCGGTGGAAAAATCGAACCTTTCCCATGCAGGATTCGAACCTACCCTTACAGCCTGGTAAGCCGTAGCCTTAACCACTGGGCTACCACCATAACGTATATATTAAGGCTGCTATCAACATATAATCCGATGGCCGAGTGGTTAAGGCTACGGCCTACCTGGTTGTAAGCGTAGGTTCGAGTCCTGCATGGGAAAGGTTCGATTTTTCCACTGAAATTACTATTTAATTTAAAATTCATCGAAAAGAATTAGGTCAAATAAAGAACAATAGCTTTCGACAAATGATGCGGTGGTCTAGTGGTTAAGACATTCGTTTCTCACTCCGAGGACAAACGTTTCAACTCCTGGCAATGCAAAAAAATTAACCTGAAAAATTTCGGTGTGATTTGGAAGCCTTAAAACAGTTAAAAGACTTCTCGGCCTTTGGGAAAGACTGTAAATAGAAAAAAATTTGAAATAAAAAAATGAAAACCAACTCTCGCGTTCAAAAGTACTTGAAAATTGAAAGAAAAGCACAATTAAAAAAAGTTTTTAAAAACACGTGTCTTCTAAAAGCCTGAACTGAATGAAGAAAGTCAGACGGAAAAAAATTAAAAAATTTCCCGCTTTTAAAAAACTCATGTTTACTTACCTTAACTTTTTTTTCACGAAAATTTGACAGGGTGATTTTCTCGAGACTGAAAAAATTTAATTTTTTTCACTTTTTTGAAATTCTCTTAGATTTTTTTTGGACGCGAAAGTATTTTGTCTTGGGCTACCTGTGTCTGTCTTGGGCTACCTGTGTCTGACTTGACACAGGTAGCCCAAGACAAAATACTTTCGCGTCCAAAAAAAATCTAAGAGAATTTCAAAAAAGTGAAAAAAATTAAATTTTTTCAGTCTCGAGAAAATCACCCTGTCAAATTTTCGTGAAAAAAAAGTTAAGGTAAGTAAACATGAGTTTTTTAAAAGGGGGAAATTTTTTAATTTTTTTTCCGTCTGACTTTCTTCATTCAGTTCAGGCTTTTTAGAAGACACGTGTTTTTAAAACTTTTTTTAATTGTGCTTTTCTTTCAATTTTCAAGTACTTTTGAACGCAAGAATTTGTTTTCATTTTTTTTATTTCAAATTTTTTTCAATTTACAGTCTTTTGCAAAGGCCGAGAAGTCTATTAACCGTTTTAAGGCTTCCAAAATCACACCGAAATTTTTCAGGTTAATTTTTTTGCATTGCCAGGAGTTGTAACGCTTGTCCTCGGAGTGAGGAACGGATGTCTTAACCACTAGACCATCGCATCATTTGTCGAAAGCCATTGTTCTTTTTTTGACCTAATTCTTTTCGATGAATTTTAAATTAAATAGTAATTTCGGTGGAAAAATCGAACCTTTCCCATGCAGGATTCGAACCTACCCTTACAGCCTGGTAAGCCGTAGCCTTAACCACTGGGCTACCACCATAACGTATATATTAAGGCTGCTATCAACATATAATCCGATGGCCGAGTGGTTAAGGCTACGGCCTACCTGGTTGTAAGCGTAGGTTCGAGTCCTGCATGGGAAAGGTTCGATTTTTTCCACTGAAATTACTATTTAATTTAAAATTCATCGAAAAGAATTAGGTCAAATAAAGAACAATAGCTTTCGACAAATGATGCGGTGGTCTAGTGGTTAAGACATTCGTTTCTCACTCCGAGGACAAACGTTTCAACTCCTGGCAATGCAAAAAAATTAACCTGAAAAATTTCGGTGTGATTTGGAAGCCTTAAAACAGTTAAAAGACTTCTCGGCCTTTGGGAAAGACTGTAAATAGAAAAAAATTTGAAATAAAAAAATGAAAACCAACTCTCGCGTTCAAAAGTACTTGAAAATTGAAAGAAAAGCACAATTAAAAAAAGTTTTTAAAAACACGTGTCTTCTAAAAGCCTGAACTGAATGAAGAAAGTCAGACGGAAAAAAATTAAAAAATTTCCCGCTTTTAAAAAACTCATGTTTACTTACCTTAACTTTTTTTTCACGAAAATTTGACAGGGTGATTTTCTCGAGACTGAAAAAATTTAATTTTTTTCACTTTTTTGAAATTCTCTTAGATTTTTTTTTGGACGCAAAAGTATTTTGTCTTGGGCTACCTGTGTCAAGTCAGACACAGGTAGCCCAAGACAGACACAGGTAGCCCAAGACAAAATACTTTCGCGTCCAAAAAAAAATCTAAGAGAATTTCAAAAAAGTGAAAAAAATTAAATTTTTTCAGTCTCGAGAAAATCACCCTGTCAAATTTTGGTGAAAAAAAATTAAAGTAAGTAAACATGAGTTTTTTAAAAGCGGGAAATTTTTTAATTTTTTTCCGTCTGACTTTCTTCATTCAGTTCAGGCTTTTAGAAGACACGTGTTTTTAAAAACTTTTTTTAATTGTGCTTTTCTTTCAATTTTCAAGTACTTTTGAACGCGCGAATTGGTTTTCATTTTTTTATTTCAAATTTTTTTCAATTTACAGTCATTCCCAAAGGCCGAGAAGTCTTTTAACTGTTTTAAGGCTTCCAAATCACACCGAAATTTTTCAGGTTAATTTTTTTGCATTTCTAGGAGTTGAAACGTTTGTCCTCGGAGTGAGAACCGAATGTCTTAACCACTAGACCACCGCATCATTTGTCGAAAGCTATTGTTCTTTATTTGACCTAATTCTTTTCGATGAATTTTAAATTAAACAGTAATTTCAGTGGGAAAAATCGAACCTTTCCCGTGCAGGACTCGAACTTCGCTTACAACCAGGTAGGCCGTAGCCTTAACCACTCGGCCATCGGATTATATGTTGAAAGCAGCCTTAATATATACGTTATACCGGTAGCCCAGGACACAACACAAGCCCAGTGGACACAACACAAGCCCAGTGGACACAACACAAGAAACAATATTGATAGGAGTTGGACACAGGAAAAAAATTGAAATGTAAAAAAAATTTGCCTGGGAAAAAAATTGGACTAGAAAAAAATTGAAATGAAAAAGATATTGACAAAAAGAAGAAAATTGACAGGAGAAAAATTTGGACACAAGAAAAAAAATTGAAATGAAAAAGATATTGACACAAGGAAAAAAAATTGACAGGAGTAAATTTTGGACACAACACAAGAAAAAATATTGACAGGAGTTGGACACAGGAAAAAATGAAATGAAAAAATGAAAAGAAAAAACTTTGCTGGAAAATAAAATTTGGACACAAGAAAAAAAAATTGACAGAAAAAAAATTTGAACAAAAAGAAAGAAAATTTTGAGGAAAAGATATTGGGCACAAGAAAACATTTCACTGGAAATTAAAAATTTTTAATTTTTTTAAAATTTTTTACAGATACCCAACTTTTAGCCTTGATTGGTTTGGAACATGTACCAGTAATAAAGGTTAAAGTGGAGGCAAAGTCTATGTTTACATTTTTTACTTTGTTGACAATAAGATTTTTTATGGGAATACGTAATGCTATTTAGGTTGGTTATGAATCTAAATGAACCTGAACTAGAATTTACACTTACAAAATTTCTTGACTTCACTTCCTTACACTGTGATTTTTAATTACTGAAAATTAATAATATATATAGTCCCTTGGAGATAAATCAATTATGATTTTGCAGGTAAATTCTGGAGGTTCAAAGGGTGTTAATTTCAAGTGGAATTATGCACACTTCAAATTCAAACCAGAAACAGTTGATGGAAAAATGAGTAAACTATTGGTCCTCTGGCAGGAATTGAACCTACGCAGTGGCAAAGAGCATTACACAGGCATCGCAAAAGCATAGGTTCGATTCCTGCCGGAGGACCGACGACAGTTGACTCATTTTTCCATCAACTGTTCCTGGCTTGAATTTGAAGTGTGTATAATTCCACTTGAAATTAACACACTTTGAACCTCCAGAGTCCCTTGGAGAGTATAATTTTAAAATACAATTCTTTCAAAATGTCATTTCTTCTCCTTTCACATGACGCATACGAAATTTCCAGAGATCCTAAGAGATAAGTATTTAACTACCATGATTAGTATAAAAGCAGTACATGAGTCAGGGTTTGAATTTTACAGCTAATTTCAATTCAGTAGCTTGTGCAAGAAAGAAATAACAAAAAAATATGTTGCAGTTGAAAGAAATAAAAAAAGAACTGATGGCAAAATAATGAAGAAAAAGGGTAGCGAATTGCAATTGTTTTTATGTTAATTCAAACCCTGACTTGAGTATATTTTTCAGCCTTTGATGTATTTCCCTGATTTTCATGGAAATGGGTATACAATATAATGTCAATGTAATAAAACAGGAAAACAAGTCTCAAAGTTGTTTTACAATAGAGATGAACTTTACCTCAAATGTAAATTCAGCATCAGGTCCTAGTCTTCTTCTAGCAATTTCCAATACTTCATCAGCTACATTTTCATGGGTTGTTCCTTTCACATCAATGAAATACACATGTGAACTGGCATAATGGCATGATATGGCCTAAACAAAAAAGTCACTGGCTGTGAGGAGCTAGAGGGGGGGGGGGGGCACTGGACACATTTTTTAAGGAAGCTTATATATATACATTATTTATATATATTCATATATAAATTTTATACATTAGAGACAATGTGTATCAACTAGTATATAGCCACTTCATGAACATTCATGCAGTTGTTTTTTTGAGAATATTATCTAAACAAGCAATGAAATTTTCTCTGGAGAATAACCTTTCTAAATCCTTGGGTTTTGTTCATGCCAGAGCCATGGATTAGGAGTGGGTGAAAGAATACTGTGTCTCCTGTTTCCATCTCCAAATGGACACGGGGTTGGTTGGGATCAAAATCATGGATACCATAATACATCTTGTTCACACCACTCTGTTGAAATTACAAAATTAATTGATTATATGATTATGTCTAGTTGAAATTTGTGTCTGCTAGCTTTGCTAGGCCAATATGAATGACCTTTTTTGCAACTATAACTATCACTAACATTGAAAAATATACTTTGTCTTTTGAATCTTATCACAAACGTATGCTCCATTGGCATAATTTAACTACAAAGACTAGAAAGCTTTGCAAGAATTAAGGCTACTTGTGAACTGATAATTCTTGCAAAGCTTTCTGGTGAAGTCACAGGATCTCATGACAGCTAATTTTATTACCTGCCAGTCAGGATAAACATGTTGTTTCAAGACACCTTTGTGAGTACCAGGTAACACAACTAGACATCCATTCTGTCTGTTCACTTTCTCCATTGCTGTCCATGAGCAAACAATCCTGTCTGCAGGACGGAAATTGAAATAGTGTAAATCCTGATGTAACGGATGTCTGGATGTTTTTGCTCCACTGTCTGGAGGTTTATTGATTAACATGGTATGTGCAGCTACTATATCAGGTCCTGTGAAACACTCGACATATTTAATAATTTCTGGGAGAGTGCAATAGCTAAACAAGGTGTCATCAAGTTGAAAATCTTGAATCTTGTTAACAGCTTTTTCTCCTTGAACGTACTCTGATTTCACAATTGAAACATCCTTCATAATAATCATGCCAGGACTTGGTGGTGATTTTCCTGAACATACGTCTTCAAATCTTTGCCTGTACTTTTGGATCTCTTCGTGTTTCACCAAATTTCGAATCACTAAATAGCCGTTCTCATCGTAGAATTTTCGTTGTTCTGCGTTAAGAATACCATTGTCGTAAGTGTATGGACTGTTAAAAGTTAAATAACGGCTTGTGGCTGAATTTTTATGTTTACTGTCCGCTTTTAAATGTCCTTCTATCATCCGCAAACGCGCTGCCATTTTCCGGTCCTGCCACTGAGCTATATAATAATTCCTTTGTATAATTTATATGCAATCAACCATATGCAATCAACGACATGGAATTATTATATAGCTCAGTGTGATGTGTTCGGCTGGGGTGTTGTCTCGCCAGTATCTCTAGCGTTTTCAAATAAACTTCGACTATCGGAAGATTGCCCGATATTACTATTAGGTGAAAGAAGTGACTCTGCTTGACGTAGCAATGAAACAACGGCACTTAAATCACGAGTCGATTCCTGCGTAGAGTTGAAAAATAGCTGAAAAATAGGTGTAAATTATAATTCTGCGCGAAAATAATTTATGCAAATTATTCAGCGTAACTAATTATTAATGTTTCACAATTTACTGTAAAGTAGCACAATTTAGCGTTTCACAATTTACTGTTGCACAATTTCTCTATTCACAATTTTAATGCGTCACAATTTGATGTTGTATAATTTAGCTCTTCACAGTTTATTGTTTTCAAATTTACGACTTTCACCATTTAGGGTATCACAATTGCAGAATATAGTACAACGTGACGACAATGTATCACAATTCAATATTTCACAATCGAATTTTGCATAATAAAATCGATTCTTCAATAATGGCGGGGACTACACGTCATAGCCTGTCATCAAGGCTGTCATTCTGTCATGCAGGTTTATGCAGGTTATGGCAGCTTACGTCAGTGTCCGAGTTTTTGCCGATTTTTGTGCCGATTGTTTTCGGTAAATAAATAGTACAATATGGCAGAAGCAGAACAGAAAAATATTGAAATTAACGCTGATGAAGGAGGTTTGTTTCAACAAAATAAATCAAGGCATTATAACATATTCTTAAATTTAATGTTTCGATTTAAAATTACATGTGATCGTTGCATTTATATTTGCATTTTTACTGGGTCTTATTTTTTGTGATTATATTTATAAAATGATGGTCGATAGATAGTACTTTGAAGGGCTTGCCTTATACCTAAGCATGTTGAGCATTAAATTGATTCATAGTGACACATTTGTTTCATATACATAGCGAGTTAATATGGGATTTATTTACATGTGTGCGTGTGTGTTTGATGTCTACTAGGCTCCTAGTGCTAGTCTGTTTTTAATAAACTCTGTTTATATATTACTTCGTACACGTGACGTGTAATATGTACGATAAATTTTTAATGTATTAAATTTAATATCTGCAAATACAACGCTGCAATTAATATCTTTTCAAAAAAATTTTAAATATTGCATCAATGAATTGAATAGTATCTTACTAAATGACACTTAGAAACCATGTAAACTTAGGAAAATAACTAATTTCATGCTGTTACCTAAAATAATTAGCAACAATTTATACATTCATAAATAAAAAGGATGAGAAAAGAGAGAAAACCAAATGACAAAGAAATGACCTCACTATGATGGTGTGCTATAAACCTAAACCTAAAAACAGGACTCCTTTCTTTAGACGAAACAATTGTTAAGGAAAGGCAGTCTGATGATGACAATAAAGAACAGAAAGAATCAGACATGAGTAGTGAAATAGATGTTACAACAAGTGGAGAATCATGTGAATGGCTGGAGTCAGAGGATGATGAGTTGATTGTTATAGAAACTGGAGATGGAGCACCATTGGTTGGAACAATGGAGACTGCTGAATCATATTATGTTGTTAATCCTAATCAACATTCTTTCAGTGGACTATCACCCTCTGGTATTTTCTAATCATGAATATCCCATTAGTTTATCATTCTATTATTTAGGATACTGTACTAGGTCTCTAGATTTGGTTGCACTGGAATTTTGATCTTACTTGTTTTTTTAGAGATTCAATTGGATGAGTCTTTGTTTCATTCAATTAATGAAACTGGTTCTGAGGGGAGATCAGAAAATATTCAACTTCCAGAAACAGTAACAAAACTGGTGACACCATATCGTTCAACAGTCTATATTGTTGGCACAGCACATTTTAGTGAAAGTAGTCAAGAGGATGTTAGAAAGGTAAAAAAAACAATCTCCATGATAAATCAATCACATCCATTGTCATAACTCAACAAATTAGATTATAAACTGTCTACTTTTCAGACTATACAACTACTACAGCCTAATGTGGTGATGGTTGAACTATGCCGGAGTAGGGTAGACATATTAAAGTATGACGAAGAATTTCTAATGAAAGAAGTTGCCAATATTAATTTTGAGAAGTTAAGAACATTAATAAAACATGTGAGTGTCTATATATTGTAGACTATAACTGACAACTTCTCAGTTGTCATGGGAAGAAAAATTCTAAAACAAATTATATACTTGATTCACGTAGGCTGGTGTTGTCTCAGGCATAATGCAAATACTGCTGCTTAGCATGTCAGCCCACATAACAAAGCAATTAGGAATGGCACCTGGAGGAGAGTTCAGAGCTGCTTATCAAGAGGTTAAAAATTATTTAAAATTTTCTAAATTATGTTGATCTAAGAGATATGCGCATTTACAAATTCTTTAACTATAGGCAAAAAAAGTCCCATTTTGTCAATTTCGACTTGCTGACCGCCCAATACAGGTAAATTGTTACTTGCAGTTATAGATATTACACCCAACCTAAATGTATGTTGCACCTGCACTTAGTATAAGTGTCTTTATGCCATTATGTGTGGAAAATTTTTTATGATGAAAACAGGCTAAAGTTTAGACAACTATGCATGACTACACTCTACAATAGAATATTTTCGATCAAAAACAACAATTTTCACAGTATGAAACAATGTGGATAATTACAGGTGCTAAGTTAATCACATTTTACTTACCCAATTCCCTGAAGCAAACTTAACCTTCTTTTGTACAACTGGTCCAGGTCACATTAGCAAGGGCAATGGGTGCCCTTTCTATATGGCAAAAGATAACACTTGCTTGGCATCTTCTTACTTCTAAAGAGCCAATAAGGTAGAGAACATCATTAAAGAATTTACTTTCCCAGTAGTGAACATAATATTCTCGTATTTTAGGCTACACTTTACTAACTTGCCCCTTATCAGGACCACAGTTTAGCTATATAGCTAATCTGTGTCAGGACATCCTCTTCAATAACTACACAAGCATTGACAATACATGTGTTTTCAGGGGGGGGGTTATAACAACGCAATAATTCAAATATATACAGAATGTAAATAAATTTTTAAAAACATCAAAAACGGTTGTTCAGGAAATTTTAGAATAATGTTGGGTGAGTTCGTTGCAGCCCGGATTACTGAGCTGGACTGATACCACCATGTAATTTTTTGTCTTTCTTTAATAGCCAGCCTGGTCCCGGTTAAAACGGGCCAAATCAGTCCAATCACAGTGTACTATTTACACAATTTAATAGTACTATTAAGTAATCGTCTTCATACCAATAACGTCGAGAGTACAGTATTACATTTTTTATAGTAAAGAAGATGTTGAACGATGTAAACAGAAAGACTTACTTGCAGAGATGTTAGCTGAGATGACAGGCGATTTTCCCAAGTTGTATGATATCATTGTAAAAGAAAGAGATGCGTATTTGGCAAGATCATTGAGACTTGCCGCCATTCCTCGTGAGGTTACAGAAGCTGACGGAGGTTCGTTTATTCAAAGTTTTTATCTTCAGCCTCACTGGTATGAAAAAATGTATGACGTAAAGGCTAATGAAAAATGTTTCTGTATATATATTTAAATCCGCGGTATCTCGCATGATTTTGTTTCGTTTGGGACTTACGCATGCGTATCAGTGGTATCAGGGATCATTTATATAATCCTTCCTTTGTTAGAGACAAACTTAAGTTAGCAATTAAGCAGCAATTAGTTCTAAGTCGTTATATCAAATTAGTTGCAATAAATCCTGCAGGCAGGATAAAGTTTCTGTCCTTCCAATTAAGGCATTGGTCCTGCCTCATCAGAGGAGTTTATTGTTTAAGCCTGGTTCTTGTACATCTCAACAGCCATTGCTGTTGATCACTGATTAACAAGTTTATTCTACCTCATTGTCTCCATTGTAGACAAGAGTAGTAAAACTCTGGTTCACACTTTTCTTATGAATCTGGGATACCCTTTGCCTTTGTTTTGATTCACTAGTGCGCAAAATCGGATTTGTCTATCGGAAAATAATACAATGTATCCCCGATCGAAAGCGTAAAACAGAAGATCGGTTTTTCTGCAATCCCTACGTCTATTACAAAGTGATCTGCAAGTGTAATGGTTTCTTATATATAGGTTTTCACTTTGAACCAACAGTGATTGTTGGTGTTGTTGGTATTGGTCATGTCCCTGGAATAGTTGATAATTGGGAGAAAGATATCGATGTTCAAGAGATAATGAGGTATATATTTTTCATTGGAAGTTTAGCAATCTAACCATCCCCTTTCACGACCTCCTTAGTATGTTTTATAAACTTCGCAAAAATGGCAACCTTTTGCTACTCATCTGACACCATGCCGACACGCCATTTTTTGGGTACTTTCAATCTTCCTACCTAAATTACAGAGAAACAAATTATTATGTTGTATGTGAGAAGGGTTACTTGAGCTATTGAACTATAAATTATTATTGTTAGGCAAGGTAGAGCTTACTAAAATTGTTTGACCACCTTCTTGTTCATGTAGGATGCCACCAAAAAGTATGACATTTGTATACTTAAAGAAGATATTTAAAGCCGCAGTGGGGGTGTTTATGGCGTGGAGTTGTTACAAAGTGATACGCTGGACAGGATGCTTGAACTATCTTCCTGTCTTACCACTGACGAGATAATTTATTTATTTTGCATTGAAGAACAGCTGATAGCATACCTATATATAAAAATGTATTATTTAACGTCAAATATTCCAATTATTGGGTTTTCATTAAATGGAAGCAAAAATAAGACAAAGGTTATAACTAATGGACTAACCAATGCATACATAATATGGGATGTAAACTTGGGCCACTAACCACAGTGATTACATGTAGTAATATAGCAGGGAGAAACTAAGAAAATGATATTTATATGCCGTTTCGAAAATTAAAAAATCTACATACTAAAATATTTTGCTGAAATTAGCATTTTTTTGGTGTCTTGTTCGGGGATTCCCACCCATGATTGGTCTGGAGATCTGACAAACACAACAAAAATTCACTAAAACTTATTAATGCTTTAAGAATACATGACTATAAGGGAATACAGGGTTTCAAAAAAGTTAAAACAATTTACATGATTCAGATGAATGATGATGATAATAGGTCATTCTCCTATTCAGTGGCGTAGCCAGAATCGATCATTGGGGGCCAATCAATCGATTTCAAAAGGAATAGACCTTTTCAGCTTGTTACTCATTGCAAATTAACCCATTTCAAGTCACATGGTCTGAAATGGTTAAGTTTTATTAGCTATTCCATGGTCCCAACATCTGAGATGGATTAATCTGTCTATTGGTCACACACAACATGCATGAATATATGAATACGCACCCCCCTCCCAATTATCGATGTTGGCTATGCTACTGCCCCTATTAAGACTAGTTTGGAGATGCTCAACATCCCCGATGAACTTTCCTAGTTTATCATTTAGTTTAATAGGGAATGGTACATTGCCCTCAAGTAAAACAATTCCTCGTTATACAATCGTATATATAAACAAGAAAAACGCATTACCAGTAATCATGCATGCAGTACGATACTATCACATTCACTACGGCTATCATACATGCAGTACGATACTATCACATTCACTACGGCTATCATGCATACAGTACGATACTATCACATTCACTACGGCTATCATGCATACAGTAGGATACTATCACATTCACTACGGCTATCATGCATACAGTACGATACTATCACATTCACTAAGGCTATCATGCATACAGTACGATACTATCACATTCACTAAGGCTATCATGCATGCAGTACGATACTATCACATTCACTACGGCTATCATACATGCAGTACGATACTATCACATTCACGGACAAGGCATTCTTACATTCGGCCGTGTGCCTACGTAATTCTGCTTTATAGCTACCTATTGATCAATAAATTTCAAAAATAAACAACATACATAACCTCATTGATTTGTTTGAAGAACATCACCAGTAAAACGTTCCGCTAAATCATTTCTATCAATTTCACTAAGACCTCTGCGAAGCTTCTCACGCCAGTGATTGCGAGGTCTTGCGAGATAACAGTTGGAATTCCACCAAAGTTTTAGCATCATATAGGCTTGCCATACTACATTCCCGGGGTGGTTCAAGCTGATCTCTTCTATCTTATTATCCCCGACTTTAAGGAATTTTGCCAATTTTTTCCATTCTCCAGGAATCTTGTCCGCTAATATTAATAAGTGTGTATCCATTGCTTTATCTATATTAGAAAATATATTATTTAAACGACGTTCGATTTGCGTAATTTTGTCGTTTCTACATTCCGACTGCATTGGCCTCCGGTTACAGTGAAATATTATATCGAGGTCACCCTTTGCATATAATTTTTTCTTTAATTGCATTAGTGGCCATTATTATTCGCCCCGGCAGCTCGCCAATTTTGGCAAAATTTTAAACATCACTCGTATTGTACCGAATTGCCGGTACTCGCCATTGCATGATGAACTTATTCAGAAATATATCAATAAAATTATATAGCCTCACTATACAAATGGTTGCTATCATACTCATAGACTTACCGTTACTATCTGGGTGTGAATCTTGTGAGCAACGAAGACTTGGTGCAGGTTGAGAATTGTCATTCAGACGATCTTGTGACAACGGAAGCTCTTCACTCGTTGCAACTTCTAAAACTAAAAGGCGAAAACATCGTTTTGAAATAAAATTAAGCACATAAAACCAGGTGTATATATTTTGTTTCGAGATTGTCTTTAAAGATCTTACCAATTTCCTCTTTAGGTTGTACCTCGTCATAAGCAGCTATGGCAAAGAAAACAATACCAAATATCAGTTTTCACGTTCAGCTATATCATATCCTTAGCAGTTGGTAGGTTTTTAAATTATGCTTGCCAATCCGAGAAACCACAAGAAACAAAGTTCAATTAATCAATGCAATTATAGCTTCACCATTCAATTGGCTGCTATTACAGACTTACCGTTACTATTTGGATGTGAATTTTGTGAATCAGGAAGACTTGATGAAGGTTGAGAATTCTCATTCACATGATCTTGTGACAATGGAGGTTCATCATGAGTTGCACCCCTTAAAACTATAATAGACGAAAAACCCGTTTTAAAATACACATAAAACCAGGTGTATATTTGGTTTCGAAATTGTCTTTGAGATCTTACCAATTTCCTCTTCAGGTTGTTCCTCGTTATCAGACGCTATATAGCAAAGAAAACGGTAGCAAATATCATTGTTCAAGTTTAGTTACATCCTTAACAGTTGGTAGTTCTTTTATTATATATATCCTCCACCTCCACCCACCACCCCCCCCCTACTCCACCATCCCCTACTCCACCATCCCCTACTCCACCTCCCCCCTACTCCACCCCCCTACTCCACCATCCCCCTGCTCCACCTCCCCCCTACTTCACCTCCCCCCTACCGCATGACTAACTTGCCAATAAGAAGACACCTAACGCCATTAAGCAAAAGTTAATAAAATAGTCCTAATAAAATACACTGAAAAAAAACGATTTTTCGCTTCGTACCGTACCATCAGAATCATCAAAAAAATTGGGTGCTTTAGCATCTGAACCATCTAGATCACAAAAAGCATTAAAGATTAACAGAGCCGCACAAAATATTTTTTCCCATGCAGGAAAAAAAGAGTTCGGCAAGAGCCAGCTCTACGATTTATTTAATAATTCTTACCTGAACACTGTGGACGGATTTGTTCACTGATTTTTTGGATTTGTTCTTGAAGATGGGGCTTCTGATGTAACATTTCACGGAGACTTTCCGTACTGTAACATTTTCTAACACATTCACTTGAGTCACGATGTTTACTTTGTCTGCAAAAAATATCTGCCAGGCAAACTAATGCTTCAAGATGAAAATATGATAGATCGGATTTTTCAGCCTGTTTGGCGGAGATGGTGAAAATATTTATCGCGCTAGAGTAACATTCATCTCGTTTTATATTTAAATAAAACTTGCCAACAGCGTTCAAATGTCTTGAATATCGAACCAGCTCCTCTTTGCTTGGGTCTTCCAGGGCGGTATATTCATCCAATATTGGCAAGAGATCATCACACAGTTTGACGCCAACATTGATATGTTCATCACGATCTTCAACGTCTGGAAGTGATAACAACGTGTCGAAGCATCTCAAAATCTGTTGATAGCAAATCAACTTGCTGTACGTGTCGTCTTCGGTTTTTTTCAGTATTCCAATCTCAAAAAATTTTCTCTTTTCATTTATCAATTGTTGGTATCGATATATCGCATTCTTCAAGTCCCTAGCGTGGGCCTGGGCATCTTTTTTCTTGTATTTACCATCTTCATCATGAAAGTCGTCATTAACGAGAAGATATAGAAGAGCATTAGACTGAACCAAGTACTCGTGAAAAACAGACTCGTCGGCGTTCATTTTCTTGCTGATCTCAACTGAAAGGCAATAGGCTAGCTTTAAAAGATTAGTGTAGAAGCTTGGATTTTTCATCGTTGCTCTCTTTTGGTAGAAATAGTTTCGGCCAAAACTGTAAATTAATGACAGATAAAGTTCTGGCAGAAATAATGGCTTGTAGGCATCAACGCTGTAAGCCGCACCATGCTTTATGAACAACTTGACGTCATCTGGCGAGAGCGGTTGGGATGACTCAATCGTTTCCAGCACCTTCTTATTCCTCTTTATTGCTCCAGGAAAAATACTAAGATCTTGCTTGTTTACAGTGCGCGAGAAAACAAGTTCTTTGACTATTTCTGGCGATAGTTCTGAACTTTTCAAGAACAGTTTTGTAAACAACTGATTCGCGGCAACCAAATCATCGTTGGTTATACCATACATCTCTTCAACCGACTGTCCCCACAAAAGACCTTTGAATTGACCAGCGAGCTTTTGAACTATCCCGTCAGAAGGTTTCAAATCTTCCTTGGTTATTCCACAAAGCTTATGAAGTAACCTTCGTGCACGTTGAAAGTGAAAATCCAGCTTTAGTAGCATTGGAGGCTGTTGCTGGGTGTATGTGAAGCCAACAAGCTCCGATAATCGAACTAATGCAATCGTAGTACGATCATTCTTCTCCTTGTTCTCCCATTCACCCAAAAAAATCTCTGCATGCTCGCGAACGGTACGTTGGAGGAAATCACCCATTGAAAAACGGTTATCTTTACCGATATATCTAATAAAAATCCCAGCCAATTTGTACATTAGATCATATTTAGTCGACTCATCGATCATATCTCTGAGGACATGTTGTGTGAAAGAATGAAATGAGAAAAAGCGAAGGTCATTTTTTACTGTGATTAAAACCAGTGACTTTAGCTGATCATGTAGATCATTTAGAATGGCAACGTTTTCCCAATAACTGCCTGACGATAGCTGACTGCTAAGAAAAAACTCTGGAATCATCTTTATAGAGATAAAAGAAATGGTAGCTAGTGCAGATAGCTTATCCTCATCAACTTGTTCAAAAGTCGCACGGACACCTGCGTAAAGTGTTCGTTCATTCTTGCTTAGCTCAGTTCGGTGAACTATCTCTGCTGCTTTTTTATCACTTAGCAATTTTAAATACTTGTTCACGGTCATCTTATTTCTTAAAATGTAATCCTTTGCCACTGACAGACCCAGAATATTCGACTCAAAATATTTGCAAAGCTTTGAAAGATCCTCATTACTATTTTTATCGCGAATTTCACGAAGAAATTTTTCAGCTTCATCAAATTCTCCTACTTGCAGCTCCTCTGCATCTGGGAGTTCACTGGATAAAGAAGGATTATTAGTTGTGATGATCATATAAACGGAATGTCGAATGTTCCACAGCTCTCTAAACCATTCAGCAGACGGCTTTCTTTCTACGTTATCTAACATGAAAATGACATCTTTATTTTTTGCTATTTCTTTAATTGTTGTAAACAACTGTCGGTAAGAAACATGAACCTCTGGGAGCGAAGTTGAAGGAACATCTTTTTTGGCAAGTTGATTTGACAAATCAATTATGCTTCCTTCACCAACAGAGACATCAATATACCAACTTACAGCATACTTTTCTTTGTTTTCATTGATATAATGCAGGGCTGCGGATGTTTTTCCTGTTCCAATAGTTCCATGCAAGGTTTTTGGTCTCCCTTTTTCAATTCTCTTGATTTTATCATCAATTTCTCTCCTTGGATAGTAACTAAATAGTGGCTCATGGCAGTTACTAATAGCAACTCTACCTGCAGGCTTGGCTAAATGAATGTAAATGGATTAAACTTAATCATTTATGCCAGGCCTTTTTTTAATAAAATAGGGTTTAACACAGTTTTGTCAAATGCAACAATTCATGTTCATGCAGCAATTTAAAGTTTGCTGGAAATGTGGTATAATTAACAAGAGCATAAAATATAGACAAAAACACTTATGAATGTTTTGACCTAAGGATCTTTGTCAAGAGACTTAGTATGTGTTTTTGTCCATTTTATGCAGTGGTTATATCACACAATATGTCTCAAGGAAAGTTGTTTTGCCCTTAAGCATGTAGTACATGAAAAATGGCATGACAAAGCTACTAAATAAAGGTTCTCTCTTTAAAACACAGTTGATCAAAATTGTTTTCAACCCCCACCCTGCAAATTCTCATAAACAGTCTGAACACAAGCAAGCATGTATTTCAATGAAGAACCTGCAGGGTACAATTAAGCTGGCTATAAATACTTCATCAAATATTTTCATAAAACAAAGACACAATGCTTATGAATTACATATTGTGCAAACTGTATGGGCTGGGACTATATCCAGTTCTCACCTTCTTGAGGAGGTTGAATAATGGTTATGTTTGCATAATCACCAATATTAGTGATGTTACTTTCACCAGATACAGATATATCTCTGGAGTCTGTCATATCTAAAAATAAATAATTTCTGGAAATACTGCATATGCATTGATGAATTTTACATCAAATATATACTAAAAGTATAGGTCTGCAACTGTTTGTCTGCAACTTTCCCATGCTTTAATACAACTAAATCAGGGGTGCTGGAACCACAGGGGCAGCTACCCCCCCACCCTTTGCTTACAGGGGTGAGCGGGGGCAGCCCTGTTCAATCCCTTTGCTACCATATAAAAGTATCATAAATTCATCATTTAATCATGATGCCTACTTTTCGCATAAAAACTAACCGGTAATATTATTGAAAATGCGTTCTCCTATGGATTTGCAAGTTCGCATGTACTTGTAAATTTGAGTTTCCTCTCTGTGTGGTTGCAATGTTAAAATGAATGTGCCCTTTTTTAAAACTCTGCCCCCACCGCCCTAAACTGTTTCCGGCGCCCCTGACTAAATGACCTAAATGGGCCAGATTGGGTTACAACAGGGTTAGAAAAAATAGTGGTTTGCAAATACAATCAAAATCCAATAATTTATTTATCACATTTGAACGGCCCAGTCTGATCCAATTGACAACTCTAATATATAAATGAACATGCCCCACCCATTTATCTATCTTTAATACCAGCTAAGTCATTAAAGAATAAAGACGGTTCAGTATCAGGCTGTCAAATCCAACAAATGAAGTGTTGTTATTTACCATTTTGGCCAAACTGTATTGATAAAAATTATTTGTCTATAATTTCTTAAGTTTCAGATAATTTTACTTTTGAATTTTTTACACAGGTGAAATAGGTGAAACAATGTAAAAATATAGTTAAACCAATGTAAAAATATATTATGTTCACATGGCATTGATTTATAACATTATATATATACACATAGCCAAAAATATATTACATACATATAACCAAAGATATGACCAAAACCAATCTACAAAGTTATTCAACTTAAAGGCTAAGTGACTAGCAGTTTAATATCCTGAGTCGCGGTTGAGAGAATATAATTGTTCATTGCATTATATCATTTATATGGGCACACAATATATGCTGAGTTGACAGTGACGAATGGTCGAAAACCTAAATATGTGCAACGTCATGTACAGCACTTATAGACTAAAAGAAATAAGTCCAAATAAAGTGTTTATTATATCTAGGTTGAGAAATATCTAATCGAGTTGATGTTGGGTTATATAATATATATTGGCCTGTTGATTGAATTGTCTAAATATATAAGAAGTTACATATTCCTACCTTTTGTGCCTATAAAAACATCAACATATACACACCATATTATGCTACATTCGGTTTTTGTGTCACATACAAAAAACAATTACAGTACTTCTTAAATTTTCCCTATCTATGAAATGCGTCTTTGTTACACAGCAAGTTTCTTTTCCGGAAAAATAGAGCACTGTGATTGGCCAGGCTCTTACTTTGAGGTAAACCAGGGTAATGACGGGATGTCCGGTTTTCCTGGGGATTTCCGAGAACGATGCCACATTCATCATACATAAATCATGCTCAAATTCTAATTCCTGGCTGAACGAAATATTGTCTACAATCGTAGTGCACATTCGGAACATAAGCATCATAGTACAGTACAATTTTGAAATCAATTTGATACATTTTTGCAACCGCGTGGAATATGATGAATGACATAAATTTGACGAGAAATTTTAAATCCGCATGCGGTTATGGAATTTTTTTTTACTAAATTTAACTATGACTTGACTATATCCTACACCTTTACTATACTACACCCTTATTATATAACGCCAAAGACGATATTGGCATAGACATATTGGCCTATTGCTTTTTAATGAAAGAAAGAGAAAAAAGCTAGAAAAACTATTTCCGAAATTTACTAGAAGACAAACTATCTTTTTCATTGCCTAAGTTCGTCTTGACGAATGACGGTCTCTAATATAAATCGGGCCATTTTCTTGTCCAGTACTGTTCAATGGTTTTCGCCATACGCCCGCTGGCCGTAGGGAGCCCCAGAGGCTAATCGCCATAAGTGCAGTCTCAGGATGGTAAAGAAATATGATGGTACAAGTAAAACATGAATATTGAAAAACAAGCCCGACCCCAAGGTACGAGATTGATTTGAAACAGGGCCACTGACGACAGTATTTGTCATAATACATCATCATTAGTCCTAGTAGGTAATAGTGATAAAAACAAGGCAGGCATTATAATACGGAATTTTTACAAGGACACACATTGTCTTTAGGTTCAATAATCACTTAGTCTTAGAAATTACAACGTGAAATTACAACGCAAGCATATAAAAAAGAGCATAGCCATGCAAAGCACGGTCCGTCAGTCTCTAGCCTTTTTTAATATATAATATATTCAATAATGTCAATTTTATAATAGAAACAATAATCATTTTAAATAGTCAAATTAAAATTATATTAGACATTTTTGTCCATGAGGCATGATTTTTAACTACACACTTTTCCATTTACAAGGACACATTCGTCTTTTACAAGGACACAAAGTGTGTCAAAAACACGCGTATTATAATGCCTGAAACAAGGCTATTTTCCTGTATTATTCGAGATTGATTTTGCTGAAAAGATGCAAACTATCTTTAGCACTACGACTGAGGCATTTTTTACAACCTCGGGGTACAGCTTACAAGGGTGGAAGACTGCGTTTAGGAGGTTTTGAGAAAATATAAAAACGTTATTCGATGTGGAAAAAATACTACAAAGTACTCTTTGACCGTCTTGAATGCCGCGATAAGTAGTTAATTTCTGTTTGTCAGGTTTTGGGCCAATTTTCACAAAGGAAACCGAATTTGTTTTGTCGGTAGGTTCTCAAATCGCAATGAGGCATGATTTGCTATCAACATGTACATGGTAAACACAAAGGGAACTTTCAAGTCTATTCCGGTTTTGTTCCAATGGATGCGTGCGAGCACGCGAGCTTGCATTATCCAGCATGAAGTGCTCTGCATAAAGTGCATATTTTCGAACCGGAAGTCTTCTGCTGTGGGTTATAATTAACCACGAATTTTAATTTATAGAACCTACAAGAAATCAGAGGTGGCAAGTTTTCATAAATAGGCCATATTAGTTTACTTTAATAACGCAATGAGTTTGCTAAGACAAGAATAAACACGGCGAACTGATTTGCGAAGTAAAACAAACATATTACAATACTTAACTCGCGATATTTGGAGCAGTCACGGAATGGATACCGAAGCAATCGAATACGAGGAAGACTTACATCAAGATACCGATGTTGTTCACATAAAAAAGATCACTTGTGAAGATCAAGCACGACCCGTATTTACGGCTGGTTCTAAAGTTACATTGAGTTGTATTGTTCATTTGAAGAAAGCTGTAGGAAATCCACAGATACATTTGGAAATCAGAGGAAAAGTACGTGTACAATACGAAGGTCGAATTCTCGACGATTCAACACATTCAACAAGCGGCCTTCGAAAGTCGAAGCGCCGTAAAGTGAGAGAGAAAATGATCTTTATTTTGCCCGTTGTGTTATCCCCAGGTTGGTTTTCTTATTTTTACTTTTATGGCTTTTTATCGATGAAATTATTTTTCGTTTTATATAGCTGCTATTTAAATATAGAAAGTTCACAATATAACATATTTAAACAAATTTATACACCGTCGAAAATGGCCTGAATGTAACCGCGGAATACATAATATCTTTGGTTATACTTTCCACTACATATCGCCAATATTTTATTTATTTTTAAAATTGTCAAAAAAGGTTTGTATAGTGGCCATTCTAAGCTAAGTTCCGTTGTGTTTTTGTGATACTTCTGTCTCTGTCTGCCAATATATGTTACATAATGTAGAATTTGCAACATTTATTTGATCAAATTTGCAATTGAATTTTTTATGCAAACTTAGTTGCAATTTTTTAGATTTTACAGTATTTTTTGCGTAAGCTGAAGAAAGCATGTGTGCCTAGCTAAATAAATATTTGTCATTTTTGCATGTCATGCTAATTTATCATGAATTTGATCTCCATCGCAAGGTGACACTTACATTGAAACATGTAAATATACATAAGTACATTTGACAGCTGTCCAATTTAAGCTTGCATGAGAGACTGTGCTCTCATAGAAATTACTGTTATTTACAAAATGTTTGTAATAGAAACTGGCGACTATAGTCCCAGAGCATTTGGCTCCCTACCTATAATTTTTAACTTTTCTTCAATAATAAACATGGTCAGAATTTGTGCATTTTAATCACATGAAAATGCACAAGTATCAATCAAAATTATTAACATGATTGGTGATGGTTTCTAGTGTTGGGGGCACCATGGACTGTGGGACATTATTAAAGTTAACATTTTAAGAAAGAAATAATAATGAGTGCATTTCTCTATATTATACCAGCTAGTGTTTTCTCTATATTATACTTTTTAATTTGACAAAAAGCCAATCAAAGAAATAAATGAAATGAAAGATAACACAAAATGATAAATAGTACACTGTTATAATTGTGATAATCATGGAAAATGGAAAAGCATTATATATGTAGAAAGGGTCTCATATAGTTATTCTGAAGTTGCTTGAACTTGTGCATTGAGAATTGCATTAGTTGCCCTCTCATGGGTGTTGTACTTGAATCCTGCCAACAACATCTGAGCCCTAGGTCTTTCTAAATTATATATTCATGTTTGTGAAGTAAAAATTTCATTCTTAACTTTTTTTGTAGCATTTCTTGAAGCTGGCGAACATTCCTTACCCATAACCTTTGACTTGCCATATAACTTACGAACTTCATTTGAAAGTCCAATGGGCTCAGTGCGTTACTGGATCCAGTCAAATACTACGTATCATTCTACTGTCACTGATGCCTTCTATTTTGATGTCAATGGTCTTAATTGTTTTATTCAAAGAGGTATCCCACGGGAGAAATCCTATGCAGAAAGTGTTAGGGGGATATTTTTTTCAAGAAGTCCAGTGGAGATTATTTGTTCAGTGGAATGGGAAGGTTGTGAAATTGGGGAATCTGTTCCTGTTACTGTGAAGGTAGGTTCTCTTATTAAGATCTGTTATCTGTAATGGTTTCCTTGACATGAATTGAAAAAAGGAATACTGCAATAAGTTTTAACCTGTTTTTAGGTACATGCATCAAACAAAAAGATCAAGTATGTGAATATTGATCTGTGTCGGGAAGTAAGCAACTTCTTGGGTGATCCAAGGATAGTCGTTGTATCGTCGACCAAAGTAAAACTGAACTCTGTTTTTAAAACATTAAAATCGTGGAAAGGAAGTTTTCCTATTCCTGATGATCTACGACCTGAGGCGTTTCAGATCAAAGGATTCTTCAGCGTTGCTTATCACCTTAAGGTTTTGTATTATACCATAGAATAAAATAAAGCACTGGGTAGAAATTAGTTTTCGAAAATTGACCCTATTGAGGGTATGTTTGTGTATTGAGTCTATTTTAATGCTGTTTCTTATAGTTTACAGCATTGACATCATTCAGCAACAACTTCAGTGTGTCAATTCCTATTAAAATTGGGAACAAGTTACCATCAATGGAGAGCTTGCCGATAGATAAAAATAAATGGAAAGAACTGGAAGAGTTTTATGAACAGACTGGTTTAAAGGGATATACCAGTATAATGAGTAAGTATGCAAACACAAAGCCAAAGTAATTATTGGTGTAAACGTTTGAATCAGTATACAATTATGTGTATGTTTACAGGTCTTGATGAACTGTTTGCGCCTTCATTAGAGGATATTTCCAATGGTATTATGAAACAAAAAACTGAAACTCAAGTATAAAATCTCAGCTCTGAAGCTCTGAAGACTATTCCATTCTAATATATTTGTCCTAACATCAGAACCCTATTAATGTATTGGCCATGGGCATGGATGATAGCACAACATTCAAGTGAAATGAACAAGAATTTTGTTCATAGAAACTTTTATTAGTAAACTAATACTAATAAATAAATAATTGGCAGACTTTTAAGCTCTGTACATATATGAAGATTATGCCAATTTTAAGCCTAACGAATTTTATATATGTAATATTTTAGCAGCATATAATATTGTAGAGTGGTAGCAATACGTATTTGAATTTCTATTTTAACATGTAAAGATACAACATATTTCAAATAAATCGACAAAGATGGTGAAATAATTAATGGTGTATGGTATCGTTTGCTTGCACGCTCAAGTAATTAATAGGTAAAATTATGTAGGTAAAAAAGGTTTTGGCAAACTTACTTTGGCAAACTTGGGATTCGTCTTTGGAAAGCCAGTTTATAGAACACTGCTGGAACGTCTCCGAGTATGGATCAATTTGAGGAGCTAGATAAATCTTTGTTCTATGTAAAGTTTCGTTTCATATCATTACTTGACTGTTGGTGTTCCTACGTTTTTTACATGCCAATTAAAGTCACAGTTAAAGTGAAAGTTACCAATTGTAATATGGTGTATGTGACCCGTGTGACCAGTCTCCGGTTCAGTTTTCACTTGCATATATCGTGCATCAGGTGACCCATTGGTATTGTGCATGTGTAGACACCGCGGAAATTGGTAGACTTAAAACTTGGTGAAAAAAAGATTTATAAATATTCAAGAAAATATGTTTTGCACAACAGATTTGAAGCTTGCACACGGTAAAAACGAATCGTCTGGATTAATAACCTTGTGTATACTTTTTAAAGTATATTTCACATTTCACATGGCCATTTCACAGCGGTCAGATGTGTATCATGAGCTGTCAAAATATTGCAGAATGCGTATTCAGAAAAAAAATTTCTGCGGTGTCGCATGGGTATATATAGTCTGAAACTAATCGTCCATCTGTCCATTCTTAATATTAATATTCGTGATTATATCACGACAGTGTAGTATTAAAAAATAACAAGCTGAACAAATAAATTAGTTTTTGCTTTCGTTTTGTATTCTTACAGTGGCCTTATCGATCACATTGTCCAGATCGACAGAGTGTCCTTATAAACGCTCGGAGATAACAGTTATATGCGATTAGAAATCCTAAGATTGCGTTTTTCAACCTGCTGCATTAGGCATTGCAATACAGTATGTCAATGTGGTCAGTATGAATATCATAGATAAAATATTAGCCGCGACACTGAAACGTTCGGAAGTATTCGGAGGTAGGTGAGAAGGTGAGAGGCTACACACTGGGATGATATATGTTAAATAACAATAATCGTATTATTGATGCATGTGTTTTCTATAATACTATACAAGTATTTAATATGCATGTTTGTCTGGGTAAAACCCAGCATGCATGATCAAAACAAAAATGACGTTTACATCATACGAATTTATAGCTGGCTATAACTATAAGCCACGTGCCCTGATTCGGGCTTAGTAAAGGTTTCAATAGTTTTAAAATAAAATCAACGACCCTAGGTTTTAGTAACAACCGTGTTAGATTAAGAAAAACAAGTTATATGTCAATATGGTACACAGTAAAACAATCCTATTTTATGTACATATGCAAAAAAGGCATATCTTCAGATGGCAACCTTTATCTTCGCTTTCGTTTTCGTTTTATCTGAAATCAAAGTAGATCACTTGCGTTACTTCCCTTTATGATTTTATTTTATGAATTAATTTTAGCAACGAAAGCAAGGCTGAGAACATGCAAAGGAATATGTAAATTCCAACGGAATGTTCATTTCATGAATTTAACATGTCGATAGGTTTAGTGCATTGGAGTTTTTGGGCTAATCAGATCAAATTCTTTGTAGCGAAATGACACAGAATCGAATTCTGCATTTTTATGGATACTGCCTCAAAATTTAGCCTTATAAACCCTACATAAATACTACTGTCCCTTTGACCCTTTTATGACTACTACTTGCACCCACAAATATACCAAAATAAAAACAAAATTAACTTGGTGATCAGAAAACAAATGCATTAAGCAGTTGGAGCTCTAAGTAAATAACCTTACAATTAAGGAAGACTGTTCCGTGGGATTTTCGTGATTATTTTCTTCACGATTCATGCGCTTTTTGACTGTAACCTAAACAGAGACATCGTATCTTCATATTCACATCTCCTTATTAAAGTGTGAAAATTCATAATTATCTGAAATAGCTATCCTTACAGTGTCGTCCTTCGGACTTTTATCACTTCTTGTCTGCATGTTTTCATTTTCTTTTACTTCACCGGAAAGGTCCAGAGAATTTTTCGCCCTGAAAATCATACAAGTGCATCGTGTGACTCCCATGAATCGTGTAAATTCTCCATCTCTCGATCTGCGGATCTACCTTTTATCAATTGGAGTTTTCCCGTCTGCCTCCTCATTGATATTTCTCTGTACTTCACCAAGATCTGTTCTTCTATTAAAATTTTAACAAACTGCATTGTAATTCAAAGTGTGATAAGTGTATAAGAAATCCAAAATAAAATACCATTCGTAAATGGATTTTTGAAACAATGTTTTTACTATAAATTATTTATCATAAATTACTAGCAGTTCGTCTACAAACATTTTGTTTCTTTCAACAACTGGATTCCTTTGTCTTCGAGGTGAAAATCTAGTTGGCTGTTCTTCCTTCAATATCTTCCCAGGCGACTTTTTTGTTTGCTTTTCTTTTCCTGAAGTCACTGCCGTCGTTTCACGCTTCCTTGCAGGCGATAATTTTATAATTTTGATAATATTATCCATTTATCCTCATATGGGGTATTGGATCATTCAATTAAAGAGTGCTTCTCAGTCCAAATTTGAGCCAGTTATTACGTTTGCATAATATTTAAGAATGAAAATATAAGAGGCGAAAAAATTAACCTACTTTGTGGGAGACGTTTTGGATTTCTTTCTTGGCGAGACCTTAGTGAACGATTCTTCCTCAACTTCTTCCTCTGCATCCGGCATATTTTTTCCTCGTTTTCTTTTCGACTTTTCGTTCCTATGAGAAGATTCAAATAACTATTATAAAACTACTGAATACTAAATTAATTAATGAAAAGGGAATGACACTTTTCAGTTTTTCATTCGAGGTAAAAATAAAGAATCAAAGCATATAGTTTTACTATTAAAAAAGGTGGCATCGTGGTTCGTTTTTTGACATTGGGTTTTCCTCATCTGGAATGAGTCCAACAAGCAATTGCCGCGTGTCATAAAAACAATTTTCAAATGTATACTGTATTTGCATGCGTGGTTATGAACGATTACCTTGGCGATTTTTCTTCTTCAATATCAGAAATCTCTTCTGCATCACTTTCATCATCTTTTTTCTCTAACATACTCAGTAAAGATTTCTGAATCTTTTTACCTTTTGACTTCTCAGAAACCCTAGATGGACATACGTAGTATTTAGCTTAAGTTTGATTGTGAGAGACTTGGTATATACACAGCAATGGTTTAAATTATCTCTAAAACTGGTAGATTAATAGATGCATGCTTTACAGCACACAACGTTCTTATCCCTTATTCTTGACATTCGCGATCATAGAGATACAGACAATGAGAAAGAAACCTTGTATTGCTAGTCGAGGGTTTCTTCCTACTAGCAGAACCACTGCTTGTTTTGATAAAGCCTTTCGTTGGTGTAACCCTGGGAGCAACGCTGGTTGTTCTCTAACAAAAAAGATTTATTCAATGGCAGAGCATAACAAGAAATATCACCAGAAATTGTTGAAACATATAAAATAATTTTTCAGCTCGTAAATACCTTGACTGGCGAGACAACAAACCCTTTTGGTAAATATGACTTGCTGTTGTCCACCTGAAATTAGACATAAAGGTATTACTAAGAACAAGGGGGGGGGGGCGATATAAGCCATAGCCCACGTGTAAGACTGTCCATCTGCGTCCTTTGAGAGAATTTCCAAAAATATTTTTGACATCAATGTAACTGGTTTACGTGTACCTTGCCAAGTGGCAAAAATAATTTCTTGGGTAACGCGATATTAGCGGGATAATCTTTGAGTAAAAACGTTCGCGTCTAAAAAATTCAACAAAAGATTTCCGAAATAAAGACAATGATAAAATAAATCAGTGTGTTCGTGTAATGTCATTATAAAAAAATCTGACCTTTGAAAAACCCATAATTATTCCAATAACGATGTCACATACAACGTAAATCGCCTGCGTTCAAGAAAATTAAACATAGTCGTTAAGTTGGGAAGTGGTCTTTATGAAATTACCCCATACCACATCCAAACGTATATATGATTCCTGTGACAAAACTTCAGCTTTTTTGTATAAACTTATTTCACTATCTTCCATTAACTTCCAAAAATAACAAAAAAAGAGTTGCATACAAAGTCAGTATTGACTGACATCTTCCTGAGGATGTTCCCTCCGTGTTTTGTAAGAAAAGACCTGCACTATATTTTGTCACGTTACAAGTCGAATATATCAAAGAGATGATCAAAGAGCAGAACGATCAATTCACATACGCGATTAACACTCTCAGTTTCTTGATTGTTTGCATCTTTTGTGTGTTTGATGTTTTCTGCGAGCTTTTTCATAAAATTATAATTATCCCCTCGAGTCAAGATGCATTCCATGAAAAACCACAAATAGCTATATCGATAAAAGACACAAATATATAAATAGAAATTGAATTGCTTTGCCGTTGTACGTGACATGCCTCTATAACGACTATTGTATAAAAACGCACATACATCAAATATTTAATCTTTAAGCCTGGTTTATATTTAGTCGTAACATTTTCACCGATGAGAAATAGTCCAGATGTAAATTTGTTTTTATTTCTATATTCAAATCAGTCATTGTTGACTGCACACACGTATAGAAATATTCTATCACATCAGCCACCTTGACATGTTCACGAGACTCACGACTAAATGGAAACCAGGCATTTTGAAAATATCTTACCCTTTAATTCCTTTCAAGTGTTCGCTTTCAGTGTAATCATAATTTGGAAGATGTGAGAGCATATAGATCAGATACGGCATGGCATATTCAGGTAAGAGTGAAGCTGTTCGCTCTAGATAGTTTAATAAACATCACTCATTAGTTCACACTATAACCATAGCGGACTCTACAAATTGTCACTTTCTCTCCCTTAAATTTTCTCATTGAAGTAGAAACAACCCTAAAAACAGGCCATTTCAGGCCACTTCAGGTCAGGAGAGTGTCTATTACTTTAAAAAGAGAGCAGTGATATAGGTTACTTTTTCCATAAGAAGTCTTTTGTTATGGAAAAAGGTACCAGAACCATTATTTCTCAGATGCAAACTAATAAACAAGTTATGCATTTGCTGTCGAGGATACGCGTGCATGTACTGGTAAAAAACGCTAGGTGACGAACCTGGAGGAATTTTGTGCTGCTTTAAATATTCATTTCTTATATTAATATTGCGAAGGATCATGTACTTTGCCTAGAAGAAATAACACAATCAACACTTCTCCAACACAAGAGGAACGACCCTTCATACGAGAACATACGCTTCGCTATAACTTTGTTGTCAATAAGACAAGCAGACATCAGTGCTTTCATAATATATACAGAGTATAAAATAAACAAAATTACTTGTTGTTTTATATCCTTGCTGGTTTCTTTTCCATAGAAAGAAAATAGTGCGAGATATTCCAATGGTAGTTTCAGTGAATCCAGACCTTTGGACAACTTCGTAGCAAATTTTTCACGAACCTGAGTGCACGAGTCCTAAAAAATTCATCATTCCAATACAATTGTACAAGTAATTTGTTAGTCCCTGAAAAATTGGCTAAACCACCATGCAATAAGATAAATGCACCATACGAGATATATTTTCTCAAATGAAAGTCTCAGTTGCAGATTACATCTATAGAAGGTAACCGAAAAGCCTACTTTTGTAAATTGTTTGAAAAAATCTTTGTCTCGATTAAGAAAGCAAAAGTAAATCTTAAAGATGTTCATAAAGTATTGTTAATAATTTTCACGTTATTACTATAAACATACCTTTATAACAGAAGTTAACCTCTGGAAATATTTCATCTCCAGATATACATGGTATGCTGGAACTTGTGCGAGTTTCAACAACCCACAAGCAGCAACTAGTTTTATATGTGACATTTCACAAGACCTGAAAGACAAATCGCCATCGACATATTTAAAAAAATTGGATAATTTCATCACATGCTGTTTAAAGAAATGCGTATAGCGAGAGTTTACTGTTGTGCACAAATATATCGCGAAGAAACGTAAAAAATACTGCTAAAAATGAAGACACGATAACTGAATTTTCAGAAAAAAGTTTGCTTACCGTATACAACCACCTCCCGTTATATCTCCGTTTTGTTTTATTGCCTTATCCAACATCGCGAAAACAGGCTGTACACTTTCACTGTCATTGTTTATTTTACCACGTAGCCAGTTCACCAAGATCTTCAAACCAAATATCTGTACGAATTCAATAAACATTAAACTCTGCACGCGTAGGGAATCATGCATAATTGCAGCTTATTATTGCACCTATAAACCGGGAAAATTGGCTTTGCAAAAATACCTAGACATATAGAGTCCTGCAAAACCAAAATAATACTTGGTGTAAGGAAATTTTAGACAGACTTTTGTAAGGATAACATGATAGTTAAATCACATGTATCATATATATCTACAGTATATGGGGGTATATGAGGTTTCTCTTCAGGCACTTGGCACAGAAGGCTTACCCCTGCATGCAGGTAATACGTCATTGACTGTAATCGTCAATTTACAGTTTCATACGATACCGACCTTTGCTTTCGCATCTTTCGATAAATCGTCTTTGTCACACCACAGTGTACCTGTCTTGGGGGTCTTACCCTTAAAGGTGAACGTACAATGATTTTAAAAATTGGCAAACCGTATTGTGTAAATATAATACATTATCAAAGATTTCAATTCAGGAATTCTTAGAACTGTATAGTTGCTTTTTGCGAAATTGCTATTCAACCTACCCGATCTTTTACCAGCAACTCCTTGAAAACAAAATCTGTTATGACAGTGACATGGTGTGGTTCAAAAACAACAGCAGCATGAAGGGCTATTTCACTGATACAAGATAAAGTATTAAGTAATGTGGAGGATCCATAATCAAGTGATTCCAGACGACTCTGAAATGAAAATTATTAAAGTCTTAAAAAAACCCTGGGCCTGATTTTTCAAACATTTCGTCACAAAAAAAAACAGAGAAAAACTACACCATTTTATTTGGTGACTTTACCTCCAAAATTCTTTGAAAGATGGTCGATGAGTTTGGGTACATGTTGGTGACGATGCGCGCTGCCAGCTTTACTTGTGATGGGTTTCCTTTGGTTAAGATTTTAATCAGTTCTTGCTGGTAGTGACTACAGTAAAGCAATTAAATAAAGTATGAAATCTTGTGCGGTCACAGAATTATCTATAAGGCTAACGGTATGAGCCCCTATGGCTACTGTATTACAATCATCTGTGATCATTGACGAAACATGGCAAAATATTATACTATTTTATTTTTTACATTATATAAGTATTTCCTAATCATACAATTTCAGGACTTTCGATACTGTAATTTATCATCCAAAATACATATTATACTTACGAATATAACGTTGAGTCGATTTTTTCCAAACCTTCTCCAATATGTTGCAGTATGCGCAATGCGTAATCAACTGAAACAAGAATGAAATGATAAAATATCACGAAATGCAAGGCATGATGATTATGACGCAGAATACACAATTGTTCATGCACTCACCTAAAACGTTCCTTTTCTTTAGAAACATTAGAATGTTTTCGAAGATGAGCGTGAATTTAAACTCTGCAGGGAACAACCTGACGCAGGTCTGAAAAAAATATTCAAAACATGTTTCACAGGAGAAAAAAGACACTTGAGAAATAACTTGGAGTTGCAGGGGATGTGTCAAAGTTGAACTGCTATAATAACTTTATTCACATGCATGATTGTAATCATTTTCATCTAATATCTCGCATCTCTAATTCAAAGTAACATCGTAAAACTTGAAGATGAATCGGAATTTAACAAGGCTATAGTTCATGAGAATGCAAATTTTCCGATAAAAACTTGAAGTACTTACCAGGAGTAATTCTAGAGCCATGAGTCCCCTTGATGTGATATCACCTCTATCAAATTCCTCACTGTCTTCCTCGCTAGACATATCATCTTCAAAAAGTTCACCATTCAAACATTTCGTCACTAATTCGACAAGTTCCTTCCCAGCCGAGGTATCAATCAATAATGGTGCCGCACGGTCAAGGATTGCTTTTATTGTATCATACATTGGATTCTTGGCTCCAAACTTTATAACGACTTCTCTCTAAACAAATGAAGTATAAACATTAAGGTTAACCGAAAAATACGGTATATATAGTCTATTTTTAATTTTATTGTACATCCACTGGCAATTGCATATATGGCATGACAAGTTCCCATGACTGATTCATGTCTGTTCCGATCATGCACTGCAGATGTTACGGAACCCAAGTATATCGAAATATTGGGAAAACAGGGATCAGAAGACAACATATACACCAAGGGCATCAGTCAGGATATCGCAAACTTCCCTTTCTACCTAATTGTCGGGATCTTTAGAGGATACATACCACAGCCTCGGTGACTTTGGCACAGTCCTGCCCACTACTAAGACAGGTTTTCATTAATTTCAGCAAATTCTTCTCTGACAGCATATTCACCAAACTTTTCAGATGTTCTTGTGATTTACTAGGTTCTGGTAGAACCCCTTGAGAAAACAAGCAGATATGGTCATATGTTTTAAGATATAATTGTAAATAACTGGAACTATATTCACAGCTCCTTCAGCTCCTAGCATTTCAAATTTTGAAGAAGGTGAAATATTTTCGCCTTAAATAGCAGCAAGTTATCAGTTATAAGCATATAGAATTATAAGATCATCATGCTGTCCGTCTACAGTATGTCAAGATCATACAAAATATTCTCTCAGGCTAAAGGCCCTGTTACACGGTGCAAGTTTTCTTGCAACTTGCAATGCAATTCTACTTTTAAGACATGTAAATTAGTGAAGAGTTCTTAAAATATAAGTGCAAGAACGCAATGGAGTGTAATAAACATAAAGGTTTCGAAGTTGCCAAATTTACATCTCTCAAAAAAAGAATTGCATTGCAAGTTGCAAGAAAAATTGCACCGTGTAACATGGCCTTAAAGGTTAGTAATTTGTTCATGGGACGAGTGCCGGTTATAGCTGAAGCATTAAAAGAAGCACATAACATAGGCTTATAACCAATAACTAGGTATCGTTTTAGTTCAGTTTGAATTCACTTTATGCGTCTTAGCTTCTTGTCGTGAACACAGTTTTTATGGAGTTGGAAATATACTTACTTGCAATTGCTGAAATTTTTGCTGCTATAAGCTTTTTTGCCTCCGTCGGCTATAAAGAAGAGTTATGGGAAATTACGGCTTATCTCAACTATAACTTTCTCTAGAATACATGCAAGTCTTTTTTGGGTACACTCAACTCACGTTTGACCTCTGACTTTCCTCCCACAATCTTAGAATTTCATTCATATCTGATCGTAGACTAAAAGAACCAATATAATACATGCAGTATATTAAAACACGAACTTAGATGACTGGTAAAGAAATTGACATGACTTTCTTTTACCTGGCTTGAGATGATAACATGTGATTGAATGCTCTAAAGGAAAAAAATAAAAGTGATCGAGAGAATAAATGTTCCGCCACCTTACTCTCGAAGATACTGAAGTGAATTTCATTTCAAACACTTCAAAGGAAATGTACAGTTCGGTCTGCGCATGAAATATGCTCATAACAGTCCAGGGAACGCGTTGATTTAAAAATTGTTTAAATTTTGCGTCTCATTTATTCCCAGCCATCTTCGCTTCAAACAGTAAATATATTCAACTTCTTTCATACTTACTTTATAGCTTGCTCACCCAGCGTCTGATATAGAGTGAAGAGCCTTTTCATTCGCTCTTTACTTGATAATGAAATTGAACAAGGCAACCAAGAAATACCCGTTCAACATTTATGCTAAACAAAACGACAGCATTGCTATTTTTTCGGTTATAATAAATTTACTTTTACTGAGGTATGTAATCTTCAACACTCTCATTCGAAATAATGAGCGTTTAGAGTTTTTGATTTTATCGCAGCCTAAAAATATTTTTACACGGTACATACCGATCTTCAGGGGAATTCTGGTAATAGCAATGCAAGATTTTCGTTGGGATCCAAGAGACTTTCTTTTTCTCATCGACATTTACATCAGCCCTGGAAAATAGTTCACAAACTGACCCTATTTGTGGTATATCTCCCTACTTGTATACTTATTTCAATACCTAATCTAAATAAAGCGTATACATATAACCTTGGCGCTAATTGTTGTGCTATTTACCAAACCCGACATACGCCAAACCCTTTTTCACCTCAGTCATAAAGCAAGAAATAGTGCACCAGCGGCTTTCTATTTTATAAAAATGTATACTCGGTATTTTGGACTGAAAGTTTGTTCAAGAGTTTTACGTGCATGGGAGTTCCTATGAAAGTACAAGAATTCCTTACGCTGACATCTTCTTATAAAGCCTTCCAAGAGCCAAAGTCGTATCTTTTCGAACATCAAACTAAAAATTAAGGCAAACATTTCAAACCAAATCTAGTTAGACCTATGCCAATGTACACCAGAAAATTAGCATTTAAATCCGGGTACAATGGAGACAACTTGTATAGGCAATCCAAGAAAGTTTATATGATGAAGATGATACTACAGATTCACATAAACATGTACACACCTTGCGATCCCTTAATCGCTCTGTGACAACGTCAAAAAGCTAAGAAAAGCAAAATATTAAATCATGTATTATTGTATCGTGCAGCCTCGTACACAGGTATTTATTTCCGCGCCACGGCCTACGCTGCAGCAAGCAAGGTGTAGCAACTTGCAGTGCAATTCTAATTTTGAAGTTTGATATGCTCAGAAAACGTTATCGATCGTAAGAAATGTTCGTATTTGTCAACTTTAGATGCCTCAGGAGTAGACTTTTGCATAGTAGAAAGTTGCATAGTGTAAAGGCCGTTTTCCACTTCAACGGTATCGTAGCGAAACGTAGCGTATCTCATTGTTTTAAATTCATCAGTTCAAGTCGAATACTCTGGAAACAAAGAAATACGCCACGTTACGCTACGATTGAAGTGGAAAACAGTTAAACAGGCCTAACATCGCTATAAGGCTAACCTAGTTCCAGTGAGAAACGCTAAATGAAACACTCCAAATTACCTTCTGTGATACACTGTTAACATTCTCTGATGCTGCTTCACAAATTGTTGTGACAACCTCCATGCGTACTTTCTGTTCCGGATCCCTCTGACGTTGAATTAATTTTTCTGAATTTTAAAGCAGAAAGACTGAAAGGGAATCCAGGGACGAAAGTTTTCTCTCATGATGCAGTGGCTACAGCGGCGAAGGTTTACAGTATTACCTGTAATTTCTGCAACCAGCTCAGGATGGTGTAGGAAGAAGAGCTTAGCGTGTTTCGTACATTCAATTCGCACATCAGTATCAATGTCCACAAATCTTAAGAACAAAATGGAGCATAAAAGAATATAACAATTAATTCATTAAGATCAATTACCAATCAAAGAACTTCATTCTTTGCTACTTTGAACAATCTCAAAGCCTATTATAATCCATTTAATCGTAATTGTCGTGAACTCCTCGAAGTGGCTGATGCATGTATAGGATGTTTCTGTACGTATACCGGTTTGAAAATTGGAAATGAAGAAAAAATTTAATTTGGACTAAATCTCATCAGTAAAAATGACTTGTTCATGACAATAAGGACACATTGGAAAACAGGCTTAAATTAAATATAATTGATTGCAAGTTTTTTTCGTAAAGCACCCGAATGGTGCGTGGAAACCAATTTTTATAATTTGACAATTAACTGCGACGTAATTAGCGAGGAGGTCTATAACATATGAAAATTATATTTTGAATACTTTAACAATGTCAATATATACCTGCTCAGGAAGCAGTGCCACAAAGGTTTATGAGATTGAGCTAATGTTGATTCCTCATCTGAAAACATTTTGCCCAACAATGCAGCAACTGGAATTCTTTCATCTTTATTAACACTCTGGTAAATATTTGAAAATGTCAACCACATGTATCTCTGTGACACCTCAACAATTACTTATGACACACTAACTATTGTAGCATAGCTTTCAAAAATGCATCATTATTGTCAAATTTCGCTTAGCGAAAAGAATGTTGTTTTCTTTAAAGGAGTAACTTCATGAGTCAGTGGCATTTTTAAAGAAATAAAATGGTGTTTAAGGACTCAGATTAAACTTGTATAGATCATAAGACACATGCATGTCTATACAGATCATACGATCATTACATGTACACACACCACAGGGATGGAGAAATACGAATAATACATATATTGAGCGCTCAGCTAAATAAAAATTTGCTCCAAATTTGCAGTCTCCAAATTTCACACAAGTGCATTCTGCTTCTTCTGGGTGAACCAAACTGCATTATCTGCTTTACAAGGCAATTTAACTGCACTCCTCCTCTTGCCGAAATTAGCAACGTTTATATGTATATGTAATGTAGGTAATAGTATAACCTAAACTGTAATAGTTGACTATCAAATAAAATAAGTTACCTTGAGTTTAAATTCTAGCTGTGGTAAAACAGAGAGCAGTATACTGGGACAAATGTTGTACAATTCATAAAGAACATCATATAGAGAATCTTCCAGTCTACTTTCAGATGCTTTGTCGAAAAATAAAGCATTATTGAAGAACTAAAAAATAGCAAAGTACACAATAGCTAATATTATAGAATAAAAAGCATCATGCTATTTTCATAGAATAAAATGCTATTTTCATAGAATAAAATGCTATTTTCATAGAATAAAATGCTATTTTCATAGAATAAAATCCATTCTCAGTGCCTACCTGTTGTATGTGTGGTTCAATTGATGTTGCCGTTCTTTCAATCAGCCCACTTGCTAACTCATATGCAGCCTTATTAGATGTCTTTACAAAAGATAATGTATATCAAAATATTGATCACTTAGTGTTCATGAATACACTCTATAGAAGGCATTGAAATCATTTGCCGGCTTTAATGAAATAAGTTGATGCTTTAGAACAAACTTGGCAGTATATCAGGACCTAATTAGTGTAAACTCATCTTTTAACTAACCTTTCTTGGATTAACAATATTTTCCAGGATGATATCAAGAAGTTCTTGTGGTACAGCTTCTGCCTCGGCAAGAAGTGATGACATTATATCCAACATAAAATTCTTTACTTTTTTACTATGTTCCTCTCTAAAATAAGCCAACATTGGAAACTTCATTTTATTCCTTGCAAATATCTTCCAAATTAAATTAAATTAAATTAATGGCCTAGGAATTTAACAGCTTAAAAGCCAAAGCTAAATTTTTAATTTATTAGATGAAATCAATGTAATATATATCAATGTAATATATATTATAGGTACCTGACACTATTAAACATGTTCTTAAAAAACTTTATTATAAGGTCATGAAATTCCAGCTGAACACAAAGAATCAATGTCTTTACTATAGAAAGTGTCTAATAAAGAATAAATAGGCATGGTTACTCATTTTAAATAATATCTATTATGACCATTATTAGATCAATCAATTATACATACCTCCAAAAGATGAAACAGTTTCTCATAAGAAGTTCCTTTTTCTCCTTTTATTGATTTGGCATGCTTAAGTCCTTCTAGTTGATTGATAATCAAATCAAATATTGACTGGGAAAATAAAAAAAAATATTTAAGTACCATAATAAAATTTATCATACATATGCCATGCAGGTTTTGTACTAAATAGTGTGAAAAAATTGGCTGTTTGCCAGACTAAATCTGCTTGTATATGTTTGAATGCATATTATCTATTTTTTTATTTTGCTTTTTGTTTTGTTCATGTAGTATTCGATTCATGATTATAGTTCAACTGCTAAGCAAGGGAAATCATTTTAAAGTGAAAAGATATTAATAGTGATCAAATTATAAAGCTCACCCCATCACATGTACCATTTTAAAAAGTCAGCATTGGACAAGTTTGTAGAGAAAGCTAGCATGCATTCAATTGGCCAATGCAGCCAATTGACCAAATCAGGGCATGCCTTGTCTGCAAACTACTAGACTACAGGTCTATAATACTAAATTGTAGTATAACATGTATACCTTACCCATAATTGGTTTTTGTCATAAGGGGCATCAGGTGCATGAATCCTTAACACATGTGCCAAACAGCAAGCAGCGTAACAACGAACATCTTTGTCTGCATGTTTTAAAATAAATGGTCTGGCTAATACCGTAACTGTTCCATGATAGTCTTCAATATGATCTCCCTGATCAGCATCACTTAATTCCCGAGTTATTTTCTGAAAGAAAAAAAAACAAGGTCTTTTCTTCTATTGCCTATTTGGAGCTTATTTTGCTGATCAATTAATATTTTGTTCTACAATAGTAACACAATATTAATATTACAGTACAAAATTAATATTTTATACAGTCTATTCAGGTGTAAGATTTTGTAGAAAATTTAGTTAATTTTTAAAAAATTTTATAAAATCCCTCATATTATACACAAGTGACAAGTACACAACCGTATACAAAACGGAAAGACCTAATTCACCCATACACACTTACTTTTAAACGTCTCAGCAATTCATCTTTACTTAGGTTTTCTGTCAATTGTTTGCTACCGGACCTCTGTGGTCGGGGTGGACTTTGAATTTGTTCTTTTGGTTTTGACATTGTTCATACAGCAAACAATAAGGTCTACTCTTTCAACCTTCCATGTAATAAACACTTGCTGTAACTTTGCAGATACACAACCATAAATAGTTATTTTTCTTCAAAAAAATTCTCCTGCAATGTATAGAACGAAATACTGCTCTCAAATTTGCAAATAATGCAATAAAAAAGTTAAAATACTGTGAAATGTTTTTTGAAAAGCAACAAATATAAAACCCTCACTCCCATGGCGCGAAATGCAAAATTCGAGTTCCAGCTCAGGTTGGTTACTTTATGTGAACCCCATTTTAGGGTATCCACTGAACTATAAAAAAATGTAGTGCAGTGGAACGCTACATCTGGTCGTAAATCATTGGAGAAGCCAATTTTATTTGAAATGGTGCTAAACAGTAAGGTCGTATATACCGTAATATGGAGTTATTCCACCTTGGTGAAGTTGAAGATATTTTACATCCAATATACGAAAATATGGTATATTCATGTTAAACGTGGAAAACGGTTTCGAACATGCAGCTTGTTGCTTTGTAGGTGGTTGTGAGCTGATAAAATTTTTAAATAAAAATAACCAAATCCATTTGATATATGATTAACAACAGTGTTTTTTGTGTGGAAAAGATGATGGATGGAAAAAGAATTTAAAGATAATGGATGAAAAGAAAAATCATTAGCCCTAATGCAGATAGCTTCCGTGAAGTATATTTTTTATGACATGTCACAATAGACCGAGTAGACTCGCGTACACGCACGAGCGCCACGAGAACGAAAACTATCAGGGCTAATGGGCTGCCTATGGTATATGCGTCAGTGCATGCGTATATTATACGAACCAAACCTAAAATTGTGCGTAGTTTAAATGGGACTTTAAAATACACATGTTTTCACTTATATTTCCAGTTTTATATAGTCTACATGCAGCATGAAAGCATATCTTTAGATATCTTGTCTTGAAAGTAAGGTTTTTCATATGCATGACATAGCTGTACCCTTTAAATTTCCCTTGAAAAAATTTGAAAACTGATGTATATTCTTCTTAGCCTAATGTAACCTGTTGTGAAAACTGTTTGCTAAGTTCTTTCATGATTTCTTGATGACTTGACCTCGGTCCTTTTGCTTTAATCTTAGCATAATTATCTTTTACAAACAAAGAGAACTTTGTAGGAGCTCTTGTTTTCGCCGGGGTGCCATCTTTGTTCACTCTTGGGAGGAGTTCCAAATGACTGAAATAATAATGAAGAATATTAAAGAGACTAATTCGTCCATGTTAAAGTTTTAGATATCTTTTATAGTGGTCCTCAATCCCGAGCAGTATTTTTGTATTTATAACTATTTCTGAATTCTGTATATAACTTTTTGATTTTTTGTCTTTAATGCAACGAGAAACTTCAGAAAATAGTGATGAAATCTCATATACACGGCATCCTATGCTACGTAAAACAAGAAAGAGCAAGTTGAGTATTTCAGTGTACTGTAATGTCAAAGTTTCAGTAAGACCTAATTAATATACAGACATTTGTACTTCTATTCTTTTTACTGCGCAAATAATAGCACGAAACACAAACCTAAAACAGTAAGGACATCTGGCTGTTTTAAGATTGACAGACTTCGAATGTCTTCCAAAACTAGATAAAAAAATGAATAATACCACAATACAACCACTAAAGCAGGCAAAAGATCATCAGGTCCTAAATAATGATGGAAATACCCAGAACGTATAGGATTGTTATTAGCTGCTTTATTATTCCTGTAAACTTTCTTCCGACAAAAAACGATGCATAACAGGATTTCAAAATATTATTCTGAATCCCAAAGACGTACGAAGCTATTTGGGGGGATCGGGACAGCCTTCAAATTGAGCATAATCGCATGATATGAATCAGGCAACCTCCTTTCGACAGTCGGGCAATTTCCTCTAAATTACTTCATCCACCCTCCCATTTTTCCCATACGCCTACGCTAAGTCCATGAAATATTATCGCCAACAATGTTGATGCAATTGGTGGCTAACAAACATGAGGGGTATATTAGCACAGATCTAAATTTCATTCTAGCTTTATAAGATGAATTATGTAATTGACATACAGACGTTGTAATCATCTTATATCACGCTAGCATTTATGCAAGGAAAAAAATGTAAAAGTTTATTTTACCTATGTTTACATTTAACACATCGGTAAGTAAACTTGTAGTTGATATCGTAACTATGGCAACGTGATATAGGAGGTAAATCTGAATGCACCATCTTTGCTTTATGTGCCCTTAAAGTCACAATAATATAGTTTTAAATAGTGAAGATTGTCGACTTCTATAAAATGCATATTTAAAGCAGAATTCACGTTCTGGACATGTTTCAAAATTATCCTGAATATCTTTAAACCGAACAACATGCAATTTTATACGATTAATAACATTAATAATATGTGTTGAAAAGCACACCATACCATCGTTTCCAGTGTGGACCATGTCCAGCTCTAACCCCATCAATCAACCACGTGGCTGCGTGACAAAGTTCGTGAATCAAAGTGTCACGTATTCTATCTGCCGACAAAGAAAACTTATATTTGACACGGATCTGACTACAACCTGAAGACTATGAAACATTCTCGTATATTCCAAATAGTAGCGTCCTGCGAATTGCATGCATCTTCCAAGGAAACGGTGTAACGATGTAACATAACCTGATTTATATATATCCTTGTACAATCTAGAGGTGAGAATACAGTAACTTCGACATACATACCACATGAATCAACAACTTTATCCGATAACTCAATTCGACATTTCTTGCTTAAAGATCTTTAAAAAACAACAATTGAAAATGTTAATCGTTGCTGATAAGCTGACTAATTAAAAAGAATACGCATGAGAACAAACGTGTAAAATACAAGTCAATTCGTTTCATTTCAAATTTAACAGCATGATGCGTATTCAAACAACATCAACAGCTTTGTGATTGAACATTGATTTGGTACCTGTACTGGGTACGATATGTATGTACACGAAGGCCATGATAATGTAAGCAAGAAAATTAACAAACAACAAAAACTCACCCGATATAATAACAAAATCCGGCCGTCTTTGTCATTTGTTTGTTCCACGTAATGGGTAGATCCACGGGCAACTATAGAACAAATGTGATGTGAAATGGGAAGCCCTTTCTTTCCAATGTCCCTCCACCTCTTTCTGGACGGCAGATTCCCCTGTCTATCCCCCTCTCTATAAAGCATTTCTTACAAACTTATATAAAAAAAGACCTGCAAATTAATGCATGCCTGTGGTATTTGCCGAGGCACTAAAAAACTGTGATATATTTGTTCATATGTTACAATAAAGTTTATATAACCACCAATATATAACCCACCTTGTTACCAAAAACTGTTTCGTTGTAACACTTAAACAGTTCATCCACCAACCGGTCCCGACTCTTTCGCCATAACTTGTGAGGGGTGTTCACATACGGTGTGACAATACCTTTGATGGTTTTGACAGATGAGATTTTGGTATTTTCTGAAGAGAAAGAATGACAGTAAATAGTTACCATGGAAAACCGACAATATGTAGTTAAAATTGTAAACTTAAAACAAAACTTTAACGATCAATAAACGTACACATATTGATCCATTTTTTATACCACTCTCCATTAAACTACCAACCTTTAGTGTTTATTTTGAGTGGAGTTGCTTTAATTCTGGGTGTGTTATATTTCTTTACAGGGGAAGCCCCTTTAGGAAGAATTGCTAAAGAAATATAATTAAAATATCGTTCAACTCTCCCTAAACCACTAAAGTCGACAATTTTCGCATAAACCCCGTTTTATTGTGTGATAACTAAGATGTTAAACACGTTTTTCGAATCTGATAGTCTAATTATTGAATGGTCACACCCCTAAATTAAAAACCGAGTATTATACCGAGTGTCGGTCTCTTTTTTGGAGTAGTGTTGGATTTGAATACTGGAAGACCTTTACTTCTGACAACTAAAAAATTTGAAAAGTGTATTAAAGAAAATATAATGTGCCGTAGTACTACATATTTATAGGATCTGGCCAACTTTTCTCTTATTTTCTCGTGCAAGTTGCATTTAGAGTAGCTTAGAGGCCGTATTTGCCCAGTTAAATTATGTCTCACATAAAATATATATTGAATATCCTCACTAGACTTTGGTGTTGTGAACGAAATTGTGAAACGGTTATCTTCATCTTCCGAAGAATCTGTCATCTCATCTTCCACTATGAAACTTTTTAAACTAGAAATAATACATTTAAAAAAAAAACAGTTACTGAAATTCTTACTAAGAACGCCATGCAGCAGCCTAAACGGTCGAGATGTCCCTTCTTTTTCACATTTCAGGTTATTAACTGTATTAGAAATGAAACTATGCAGCGCTAGTGCGGTTTTGCATGATAGAATAACACAAAGAAATTTAAAATAAATTATAAATGATAAATTATCACCTGTATCTTGGAGTTGACTTTGGCTTAGGAGTTTTCATTCGGTCTAAAACTATAATAAAGCATACCTTGAATTCTTGCACCTGGTACGTACAGTATGAAAAATCAGCTATGTTAGACAGAGCATCTTACATTGTTCAAATTCATTATCATCATCATCATCACTTGAGTTTGAAAACTTCTGATTTGTGGGCAATAATGTAGGATTCATGCCATTGCTTCAAGTGAGATAATAAACAATACAATACAGCAATGAAGTTGAGGACCTACACAACTATATACAGAAATTATCACATATAAAGCAATTAATATATTGTACCTGGCTGTTTTAATATGACCAGCACTTTTTGCCTTTGTTGTGTTCAATGCTTTCTTGTTGGTCAAATCTTTCACAAGACGACTTGATAATGATATATCATATTTTCCACAATCACTGTCATCAGAAGTCTGTTCATCTTCCCAAACAGAATCACTATCACTATCACTCAATAAAATTACAACCTTCTTCTTTCTCGCATGTGTCCACATATTTTCTTTGTTTGACAAATAATCATTACCGCTCATGCATGATGTTCCAGTTGTTGATTTCTTTTCTTCAAGATCAGGCAAAGGAGGATCAATTTTGGAGACTAAACTTGTAATGCCATTGCCATTTGAATTGAGAACATCATCAGGTTTCATAAAATCATTTTGGACTTCTGAGCTCATTGGTGTTGTGGCATCCTCAACTGTTTTATCTATATCACTGTTATTAAAAATCTTATGTTTATCATTGTCAAATAAAACAATACTTTCTTGATCTTGTTCAGTGGATGCATTACCATGTTTTGAATGATGTGATAAAGCATAAAATTTCTTCAAAGGTTTTGGAAAAACTGTTGTTAAGTTGTCATCTTTCTGTAAATTTCTCTGCAACTGGTCATCTGTCAATGAAGTAACTGATTTCATTGATAAATCCAGTGTATTGTTCAAAGAGCCTGGCATATTGGTGTTGAAATTCTGTTCAATAGCTTCCTTAATAAGTTCATTTCCTAGATATTCTGTGTTTACAGAGTCAACATGTTGTTGTACATTCTGTTCCAGTAAAAACTTTTCAAATGTTTTATCATATTCCAGGTGCAATTGATTGCTAACTTTACATGGGATGTTATCCTTGGCATTTTCCATTTGCGATTGAAGCTGTTCACCAAAATCATTTTTACAACTGCTCAATATGTGAAAATCTGGAGAAAAATTATTTTCCTCATCAAAATGATCATTTAGCTTTTTACGAACATCAGGACTGTTTTTATCCATACTAAATACTGACTCCAATATAACTGTATTTTTTTGGTGCATTGCATTCTCGCTAATAAGGGGACTGCAATTATTTTCATCCAAAAATGAACTTGAATTTTCCTGGTTTTTTGAGCCATTATTGACTAGGGGTGTTTTGGTTCTGCTATCTTCTAAAAAATGCTGCTTCTTTCTGGATTTTCTAACTGTTATATTGCTGCTGGAGCATGAATCAGGAAACTGAAAATTTTCATCTTCATCCAAAGAAAAATTGAGTGAACAAATTTTCGATAAGTCTAATGAAGTTTCAATTTCAGAATTTATATCATCTTCACTCCACAGTCCATCAAGTATGGAACATTCAATTTGTTTCTAACAAAATAACATGAAACAATATATTGGTAAGAGTAATATTTTAATATTTTTTTATTTTAATATTTTCTTATTTTTCAGGGGTGTAGATGGTCAAGTGAGTTTTATTTTGCTAAAGGTCTGTTCACATGATCCAATTTTGTTGGATCCAATTCACCTGTGATGGATGTTTTATAGTCTGTTGTCTGGTAATACGGTCTGGTTTGTGAACCGTGTATAACAAGAAATTATATAAACCAGATTATGATCATATTTTACCTCTTAAATAGTAAATTATTCTCAAAAACAAAGGAACATAGCATGCGTTTTTGTATAAACGTTTACCTTAGTATCGCTTACTGGGATTGAACAGTCTTTATTAACAGATATGTTACCCAATTCGTCCAAAAATTCTTCAATTGAGGTGTCCGCCATGTTGATTTTTAGACAGTATACAAATTCAATTTTTACGCGCCCATATTTTTTAAACGCTAATTGGTTGATTAGAAGATGATGATTAACCAATCATAGCACGTTTTTAACTTTTCATACCACAAACTTGTGTTTGATAGTCTTTGATTCCGCCTAAAAGGTCAGAATAAGTAGTTATTCAATTGTATATTTTTATTTTGTACAAAGACATTGAGGAAAATACCCGCAGAAGCTCATTTTCTATCAGCTTTTGTTTTACTGTTACTCATTCATTTGTCATTTGGGACAAGTCCAATTTGGTATCCAATTTACTATGATCTGGCTGACTGGTTCTTGGAAAAAAATTGGCACAACTTTTAAATCTCAGCAGCAACTCCTGATGTTTACTGGCTGTAATTATTTCAGATATGTTTTTACTAAACTCTCCAAACATCAGTATGGCACTGTCAACATTATGCTCCGACCCTTCCAGCATGACAGAACCTGTTCAAGAATCAAACTAAATAGTATCACCACCTTTCAGTTACAAAATAGCATTAGTCATCAAGACAAACATGTAGGAAAGCCTAAAAATGTTTTCTTTCAAAATATTCACAATGGTGAAATGGATGTAAAGCAATGCAGATATCTAACCACTGATAATTCAAACAGTGACATAAATCAAAGTTGGATAGCAAAGTTTCCAAAATCGGTACAACCATATTTGGTAATGTCTAGAATGGATCGTCCAATAGGATATTGGTTACTATTTCTTCCTGGAGCATGGAGTATTTCATTGGCTGCTGATGCTGGATCAATACCCAATATTCATTTATTGTCCTTGTTTTTTGTTGGCGCTGTGTTAATGAGAACTTCAGGATGTGTAATCAATGATATGTTGGATGCAGATCTAGATAGAAAGGTACTTTAACTTGTTTTTCTTGATGTATATAGTTTATACATACAAATTTACATTTTTAGTCTGGACATGCATGCAACAAGTCTCTTTCTGCATGTGAATGCCTTTTATCTTTTGTTTATGTATAATGTTAGGTTGCAAGAACGTCAACCAGACCCATTGCATCAGGTGATATCACTCATCTTCATGCCTTGATTTTCCTAGCCAGTACATTAAGTATCTCCCTTGGAATATTGTTGTCTCTAAATCAATACAGGTATAGGATATATTTAATATTGTTTTTTCACCGCATGCTTTCAATTTACTCAATAGCATGTCAATTTGATCACCGGTGCATCATTATTCTGCAGCTGTAATCATAGGCAGCTCGGTCAATGCGGGTACCACATACTATCTTATGTATATAATATTATCTTATGTATATAATTATCCTAATTATCTTATGTATGTAATAAATTATTATTATTAGGATAATTATATTCATAAGATAGTATTACATACCCACATTGACCGGGCTGCCTATGCTAGAATTGGCATTTTTCTGCACAAACAAAACATTTTGAATGGTTGGTAACACTGATTTTAGGCAAATTCTGCATTCTATTTTAGTATTGTACTGGGTGCATCATCACTTTTTCTTGTTGCATCTTATCCATTGATGAAACGGATTACATATTGGCCTCAACTTGCACTAGGTATGATCATAGACACAGGCATACTTGACTATAATTTGTTAAATTGAGATACTTCTGATGTAAATTTACTGTTTCATCCTTCATTTAGGTTTTACCTTTAATTGGGGTTGTCTTTTGGGATGGTCTGCAGTTACAGGATCCTTAGATTTGACTGTATGTTTACCATTATATGCAGCAGCAGTCAATTGGACAATGCTATATGACACTATTTATGCCTTCCAGGTAAATAACATCTTCATTCCTCCCCAAAGCGAAGCTGCATTGAGGTTATCAATAGAAGACCTAGATATCTCATCCTCTGGCCTTAATCCAGATTGAATGCCACACCTTTGATAAAAACTCTGGCTTAGGAATTCAGGGCCATTCAGCGGTGCGACCTTGCGAAGCCTGCTCGTTTCTGGCCAGAAGGTGGAGCAGTCGGCCAGTACAGCGTGTTTTTTGGCCAAAAATGTCATCAACTGGTTAGGAAGATGGCGAAACATAATGCGTAATATATATAATGCAACTTGCGCAAGCGAAATTAGGTTCCGGACCATGTTGTAGCATTGCTACAACTTCAAGAGCACCACAGGTTGCATAGGGAGTAAAAGCTTTAATTCAGGTTACAAATATCTCTAATTGCCATTACCATTACTAGCCATTGCCATCAGTAAAGAAGTACTACGAAAACAATTTTCTTTTTCTCAGGACGTTGAAGATGACAGATGGATTGGAGTGAAATCTACAGCATTATTATTTGGAGATCATGCTAAACCATGTCTTACTGGTTTCGCTGCTGTTGTGATTGCTAACCTAATTGCTGTAGGAGTGAATACCTCACAGACTTGGCCTTATTACCTTGGTTTAATTGCAGTAACCTCTCATCTCACGTGGCAGGTAAAGCAATACTATGTCTATAACCAACTACAAAACAGGTAAAGTGAAAGCCTATCACCTATCCGATGCAGAAATCACCTATAAGACATTTACGACCTCATTCATTTCCTGGAAACCGGGAAATGATGGGGGGATAAAACTTCACGCGATCGATTTTTTGGTACGCCGTACGCTTACTGCCGTCATTTTTGTGGCTGAAGGCCTGTCTTACGATGTGCTAAGTTTTCTTAGCATTTCGAATACTCTTTACAAATTAACATCGCTCAAAATTAGAATTGCGTTGCAAGTTGCAAGGAAAGTTGCATAGTGTTACACCGCCCGAAAATCCTCCCCAGAATGGAGTTTTTCGAACACATGCAACAGCACCTCGTGTAACTGCGTGAGCGGCAGCTAGGCCCTGGGGAGAACTAGTTCTCTCCGACACGCAATTCAACTTCATTTCTTCTGTTATGTTTTATGATTTATATGACTTCTTTTATCAATGCAATGATAGGTTGCAACTGTTGACTTGTCTGTACCAAAAGACTGTCTCTCGAAGTTCAAGTCAAATAGGTGGCTTGGAATTATACTGTGGATGTCAATCGTCATGGCAACTCTGTGGAAATCAGATCAGGAAAATACAGAACGTGCAGGGAAAACGACAAAACAACCTTATAATTTATAAAAAAAAATCCAAAACATCGTTCGAGAAGATTAACATAAAGGCGTTCACATGGAATTAAGCGGGCGAATTTAGAACCTCTCTTACTCGTCTGGTTTTCACGTATGAACACGCAGGCTACAACTGGTAAAATTCTTTTTCATTTTACCGTGTAAACACCAAAATCGGGTGAAATTGAGCATGGTCTCGAGTTAGAACAGAGAACCGCGTGAACGTACAACCTTTGTAACAAATAACCATTGTGTAGATGTCAGGCGAGGTTGACAATGTCGGTCATTTTGTTGTGTAAAACCATGCAGAATATCACTGATGCAAATGATTTTAAAAATGAAAAATTTATTAATGCAATAATTTATTATTTTATAGATAATTCAGAAATGTTACTGTTAAAGTATTAAAATTAAATAGTCAGCGAAATTTAAATATTGGCAACGTTTATTCACGTAATTCCATCTCAGTGAATTGTGGTAAATTCCCTGTCAAGTTCAGTGAAGTGACCAAATTTGTATATACATATATATATATAGAGTTCTCACGAACAATGGATCAGAAACCATTGGCGTTCCTAGTAATGGACCTATAGCACTGATGTCATAATTTTTGGGTGCTGTCCTTCGGATATTTCCTTGCCTTACGAGATGAACGTTCATTTGGCCAGAAATAAAAAGCAATTAACAAAACAAAGACCTAACCCTAGTTTAATATTTATATTGTAGTATATGTGTATTACCTAGTTAATATCATATCTGTATTTTACCAAACATTTTCGTTCAAAGTTACTATGCTACGTTATAATTTGTCCTCCACATGCCTACTGTGACGTCATCATGTGCAAAAGGTCTATTACCATGAAAAGTCCATGGCCCCGGGACAATCTTACTTCACGTTACTCACAATTTTAGGAGATGGATTTAATGTGAATTCTAAAAATTCCAAATTCTCCATACATCTCCGTCCATACCACCACACAAATCATCTCGTGTAACGAACATTCTCCCTACATTAAGTCCTTTTCGTTTCTTTTCACATAACGCTACGAGAATGGTCTGTATGCTGGCTGGAAATTTGAAATTCTGTTGTTGCCATCATTCATTTCTAAAATAGAAAATACCGTGTAAAACATGTAGACCAGCTTTTAAAAAGAACAGATTATCGCAGAGAGGCTATTTTTAGCCCTTATATATAAACGAACATAGAAATGTGGATCGTTACAACTAGGTCTAAAGCTGGAGCGTTGTCTAAATGATTATTTACCTGCAGGTAGATTATTCCTGAGCATCGGCTGCTGGTTTGAGAACTGAGGCATCCCAGTGAAGTTTTTCATGTTTCCAGGAAAACCAGGTCCTTGTTGAGCTTTGTTGTTAGGAAGGTTATTTTGCACGTTCATAATTGGGGAAATATTAAGTGAACTATTTGTCATTGGTAGTCCGTTGTTCTGAAGAGAATTGGATGGCTGACCAACCAGTGGTAAATTCGGGGTCAAATGGTTTTGAGACATACTGGCAATTGAAAAAATATTTTACATAAATATTTTACATAAATATTTTATATATCATTCAACTAATTAAAGTTTCGTGTCAGGAAAAATTCTAAATAAAAATCATTTCCACTTCGTAAGATTACGTAGCGTTACATGTCAAAATCATTAAATCTACCTACTACAATACTTTTTCTACGCATGCAGATAAGACCCGGTGGAAAATAGCTTTTCGGTGAAGATCAAGATTATACTTATTTTAATACAGGTTGTAAGTATACTGGCAGAAAGACTAAAACGTTTTCCTGCCTGTCTCTGAATGGATTGGACAATGTATAATATAGTCTAAATAGGCTAACAAAGGTAATAAACTGACAAACTTACCTTGCCAGAGAGTTCAGAAGTGAGGTAGCAGTCAATTGTGTCTTAGGCTTGTCTGATGATGAAAGGGTCATGAAATTTGGAGTAAGGGTGTTTAAATGTGAAGAGGATCTTGCGTGACTTTCTGGACTTGTGCGAGATGGTTGCATTGGAAACTGACAACTTAAATTGGGTGAAGACGGCACTTTAGTTAAGAAATTATAGCCTTGTCGTGGCGAACGTGGTGACGGTGAAGTTTCTTGGTTAATTTTAGACGGTATATTTTGCAAACTACACGAGGAAAGTCTTTTTGAGACATTGATATTACTAAACGTCCCTGCATTAGTTGACATTTGTCGAATGGGTGAAACATTTCTTATTGGGTGTCTATTCGGACTAGACAATGGAGGTGATGATGTCGGCATATTATTCTGGGTTTTGATATTACGAGGGGGAGATATTTGATGTTGCTGGGTGTTTTGGAAGGAGCACGATGATAGTGAAGGTGATGCTGATGTAACATGGCTCAACGGTCTGCTTTCAGGAGTATTATGAAAAGGACTAAGTGGCGACGCTTCGTCCAAAAAATCTAATATGGTTTTCCCCGCAGCCTTGGGTTTACTGATATTTGTTGGTGAACTAAATGAAGCTTGCATTCTCTGGGAAGTGTTTGCATGAGCTGGAACACGAGGTGAACTTGGAGACTTGGACTGAACTTGTGACAAAGGATGTCCTTGGTCTTCTCGTGGCTGAGCATGAAACTGACTTTGACTTCGCATTTGTCCTTGGGGATAAGTGAGACCCTGAAGTTGATTTTGAATGCGATTCTGAGATTCCAATTGGCTTTGACGATAAGGTATACTTTTAGACTGAACTTGCGTTTGATTATGTGCATTCGTCAGACTTTGACCCCGACCTTTCCCTTGAACCGTTTGTTGCGTGATAGGCTTTCCATGTGACTGAACATGTGCGTTAGCCTGAGCATTCTGTGCCGTAGGGAGATGTACCTGCACCTGCGCACTAACGTTAGACTGAACCCGTGCATGATTATTTATATGACCTTGTAATTGCATGTGTGAGTGTTCTTTGGCTGGTGGCTGTTCTCTACCAAGTGGTTCTGCTATCCCTAGTAGCTTACGCAGGCTACTGTCGTCATCATCCTGCCGGGATTGTGGCTTTTCAAGCGCTTTGATAGGATTTTGAAGCGCATTTTGTGGAGGTTTGAGCGCCGAATGATCATGGGATTGACTTGGGATTAGAGATTGATTTGAAGTTTGATCATGAATTGATTGACCCTGAGGCAAACTTGGAAACTTCAATTCCAGATTATTTGGCAAATGAGAATTCTTCTGCTCCTGAGGTTTTGGCGTTTTGCCTGGGGTAGGAAGTGGTAATGAACCGTGTGATGGAGGAATCTTAGTTTTCTCTAGTGTATCTTGTGAGGCAGATCTCGCTAAATTTTCGTTCAAGGCTTGATCTTGTTTTTCCAGAATTTCACTGTGTGATTTACCAAGTGAGGCCTCGTCTTCATGCATAACCTGAGTTTGAGCCTGGGTCTTACTTTGAAGTTTCAGTTGTGCTTCTTTTCGGAGTTTTATCTGGGATTGGAGCAGGTCTTGTACCTTTGTAACGGAAGCGCCTTCTAATTTCAACAGGTTCCTCACACGGGGTTCATCTTGAGGTTTCACCAGAGGTGTCTCTACTGCAATTTTCACTGGAATTTCTGTTTCGATTTTCGATTGCACACTGGTTTTTAGTTCAATATTCTGTTTATCAGTTGCGATATTTAATGCATCTGGCCGCATAGCAACTGGAGTATTAGTGAAAGCTGTATTTGATTTTAAATAACTTGGAACAGAACTTGTAGACATGTTCGCAAGATTCTTCAACGGTGTTGCCTCATCATTACCCTGATCAATGACCATTGCAGTGACCTGAAAGAAAAAAAGACGTGCAATTTTCTATAATTTACTTTTTGAGAAAAGGAGAAAACAAATTGCACACAGAGTTAACAGAAGACCAGAACCGGATCTACAAAAACTGGCAAGACTGGGGTTGAAATACATTTGTTTTCTGAGATCTTAGACTCAAGTTAGTCCGACACTGCATACATGGAACAAAAATTTAAACTGCCACTGAAACTGAGCAAACAGCAGTGACAAACTAGTTTAAGCTTTCTATCAAGAACTCATGCAAGCTTTGCCCAAGACAACGATTGTTTTGTTTTTCCCTGCATTGTCAGATTAGTACATGTATATTGTAATCAAAATCCAGCAGACATGCAATAGTACTTGCTATTACGGCCAACCTGTTGATTGGAATCTTGAATTTTGCTTCCTTCTTCTTTTGGCCGTTTGGGATCTAAACAAAAATATAATTAAATCTGCATTAGACGCAGGTATTGCAAACTAATCTTTCGATGAAACTTTTTGTTTAACAATGAATTAAACCTCAGCAATAAAAAAACGTGATAGAGAAAAAAGCAGATACCTTTCTTAACCTTTGCGGCTCTAAAAAAATGAAAAATCTAATAAATATGGCACCGTCATGTATTTAATTAACTATCTAAAGTACTGCAATAATATGGAGAATTTAATAAAAGATCTACAGTACAATCACTTACACCGTGCTGGTCACTTTGGCGTGCGCTTGTTTACTTTCTCGGTACAAAATTCTGTCACAAAAAAGACAGACATAATGGGGCCACATATCATAACATATTAAACATAATATTAACGACATATTAAATCACAGGTTAGTCCTCTGTATATCAGAACTAGCTATATATCACAAATCTTAGACAGAACTAAAGTTATCACCTGGTTGTCATCCATCCCTTGGGCCATAGAGGGCGTACTTCAGTTTCCAAGAAACCCTGAGTAATATACGATATAGCAGTTTTTCTAGAATACACGTTGATTCGAACACAGTTAATTTCATGGGTCTAAATACCTTTAAAGCTTCTTCAGCCGTCGTACTTCTACTCTTCGACATCAAATAAAGTTCAACTTTAATACCCACAACGTCACAAAGTAGATTCCTAGAAAGATAAACTTTTGTGAAATGTGCACCAGCTAAATTACAGTGCAATAATTTTCACGGAAAAGTGAAAGAAATTGTCGATCAGAAAGATTATGGTTTCAACGTGTTATGTATATGATTGTGTCTCAAAACCCATCACTTCAGTAAGAATGTAAACTTGGGTTGCTGTGTTAACATATTGTTTATTTTTATCATGTACAAAACCTGATATCATCCTTCCAGACAAAGCGTTTTGGTAAAAATGTTCGTTTTCCTTTTTCTTCACTCGGAGTCGTCGGTGCCTTGTCAAAAATAGAAAAATCTAGGTTCATCATTTTACAATAGCGGGGCATGCTGTCATCTATGATGATGATAAGTGTGTGAGGGACAATGGCATCGCTTCAGTGATAATGATAATGTATAAAAACTTGTGTGCACCCCCATATATCCAGCTTTGAAAACCTCATAGCCAGTCTGTACGACCATAACTAGAAGATATATCGAAATGTTTAAAAACGTACATTAACATCAGTGGGCGTCGTGGATTCATCAATTTTCTCATTTTCTCCTTCTACTTCAAGATCTTTCATCACGACATCGTCCTTCAAGACAAACCACTCTCAGTTGAAATTAATAAATGAAAATGAACTTCAGTTACTAAAGCCTGCTGCCGTTTTTTAAATCATAGCTACAGACAAACCTTTTTCTCTCCATTTTGATTCACAGTATCCGTGAAAGGTTTCAGACTAGAAGTAAGAGAGCGATTTCTTTATTCTACAGACTGTAAAAACTTACCAAAACCTTAGATCTAATGAAGGTTGAGTGAAACCTGAAAACTACGTGAAATTCTACAGACGCCAGCCAGCAAATGCATTAAGCACAAGTATTAAACATACGAAAACGAAAGTGGTATATTCACTCACTTTTGAACAGCTTGTTCTTCAGAAAGTTTAGCAACTTCCTCTTCATAATTCTTTACTTGTGCTGGCATAGCAGCTTCAATAGCTGAAAAAACAAAAAATTGAAGTAAACATAAATATCAACAAAGATATGTACTGTATTGACTACAATCATTACTGTTGAGATACTGCTGACTGCTGAGCGTTGTCCATGGTACAAGCATTTTTTCCAATGACACACTCACAACTATACTATATTAACATTTCCCTACGTTAAGCAACATTTTTAGGCAAACACGTTGAACTCACCTAGACGCAGTTTAAGTAACGGCTCCCTCAATCGTCCAACCTACGAAACATAGTTTATAGATGCAGAATGTGTAGTCTGTCGTCGATTGTTTTATGACTTACATATATAATAATACAAGCCATAATATCTTACAAACCTGTTCTTGCATAAAAAGATTCTTCGCGCGTTTCAACAATGTATCTTTGGTACAAGGCAGGAATAAAGCTAGATAGTCGTAAACAGCCTAGAAAAAAATTAAAGTACTTTTGCTTAGGAAGTAGTAACGATCATTGTATAGCCTTGTTTGAATATTTTTGAACATGTTAACCTGTAAGATATGAATTCATAACAAACTACAACAATTACTTACAGATCTCGCTCTACAGTTTAATTTTCTTGAATCAGTCTCAATCCTGAAAAGAAAGAGTATGAAAAATGAGAGTTGTCAGGAGAATTGTTCAATTTTGCAACAGGGAAAGAAAGGGCAAAATCTAAATCTTTCATGAACAAAGATTACAATTTATTTGTCAATTAATAGAACCTTTGCATTCATTTCCCGAAAAACCCCTCCCCCCAAAAAAAGCTATGGGATGGTGACTGTGTTGGTGTTTCAGATAGATACCACGTATGGTCCTCTTCCTACATCTTGTATCATGTACTCACTGTAATAAAATTCTGTTGACATCAGAGTTAAAGAATTTACATTTCCCTGCCTCACCACCAGCTTTACGTGCCACTTCAATCAATTTCTGGATACTCAATATCAATGATGGAGGTAAACCATCAGGCAAGGAAACAGAAGGACTGTTATTCAAACTGTTCTCATTTTCTTTGCTGATTAAACTGTCCTCTGATAGAGCACTAGAACCAATGCTTGGTGCAGAATTCCTCATATCAGTAACACTATTTTTCTCAACTTTTATCACTGGACTTTGGAGATTCTCAGTCGCTACAGTTTTAGATTGTTTATTTTTATCTTGTTGCACTGTGCTTCCAGATGTTCCTTCTTTAGATTTTCCTGCACTAAGATTTATTCGTTTCTTTAGTTTCTGTAGTTTGCTTTCTTTCTCATCACTAAACATGACAAAAAATGTAAATCTATTAGAACTCTTAAATGAAATGAGACTAGTAGCCAAACATAAATGATTGCTTTATTTTGGTTGCCATCACTAAGCATCTTGATAGTGTCATGTAGTTTCATTGAGGAGACAAAGTAAACAAACATTCTTTATCATCCTTCTTTTTTAATCAAATTTGTTGTGACCAAACGTTTTGGAGAAGTTGATGCTAATTTAATATTGAGCATGTACACACAATAGCTCTCTACTGACATCTACAGTCTCTTGTTTGGGTTTTTCAATAGATTATATCTTTATCTATATTAACATAATAGAGTAACATGACACCTGTTTAATCTCATTTTCTTTGAGCTTTTCTCTTTTTCTCCACTTGACAGATGTCGTTTGCCATCTTTTAGTTTCTTTTCTTTGTTTTCTTTATTTTTCTTCTGCAAATATGAGAAATATCATATTACTATTGAGCCTGTCATTACTCATTATATATTTAAGGGTACACTGAGACTTATGTGTTAACTATAAGTGCACATGTACCAGGAAGGTATCCTCACCTTTGGCGTTTTCTTCTTTGTCTCCTTAAAATCACCATCGCTAGAAAGAGATGCACAGTAATTACGTATTTTCTTTCATATAATTAGGTTCAGGTCTAGCTAATGTATTTTCAAATATAACTCTCAAGATGTATCTTTTATTATTAGAGTTTTGCAATATCTTCTTAGAAGTGCTGTGGCATATGCAGCATCATATTTACCCATACTAACTCTCCTGATGAAGGTTGAAACGTCAAGAAGTGTTTTTGCCTATTTTTGGCAGTTGTTATACCACATTTGATTAGGTAATTGTTATATCACATTTCAAGTTATTTGAAGACACTGCCGCGCTGCTCCCTGGTTATATGGTTATATTACTGTTTATTTAAAAGCTAAAGCATATTTTATCACCTCCTCTCATCTCCAGATGAAAATGGCCTAAAGTTAAGTTCTCCCATGTTGATGTAGAATCCACCATGTTCTGTTGTCCAGTCTGCTGGTACAAGCTCATCATACTGAAACAGAACAAATTAGCAAAAGTAATTCTTAAATGCTGTTAAATCTTGCTAGATAGAATAGAAAAAAATGCATCTTCAGGAATAGGAATATTGAAAAATGTACTACATACTGCTTCAGAGTCATCAACAAAAGCATCTGTCGCATCATAACCATATGTAACATCAACTAAGTCCTGTAAAACAATGTATTGACATTTTATAACCACTTTATGACTTAGCATATGAAAAAAAATCCTAATTATTGCATAGTAAAAATGTGTGAATACAATCGGTGATGGGGTATCATGCACTAAATATATGGACATGTTTAGGTATAATTTGAGAGTTCTCCTGGCATTATGCTCAGTGGTACTAATAGGCTAATAGCAAAAGCTATAAGTCTTTGTGGATAGAATACTCAGAGGGAATACTAACTATGAATGTAATTAAACTATTTTCCTCTATGCAATCAAGAAATCTCTCTTATATTTAGTCATCCACACACAATTTCATATTCAAAGTGACCTCATAATAATAAATTTACAACCTTGTGGATATAACACTGATTGTAATATCTGATTATATTGCTTACACCAAATAACTCAAGTGTGAAACAATTGGTGCAACTAGGTGTAACTTTGTCATGTTTTCACAGGGAATGCACCTTAACATGAAACATGCATGGAGAACAAATATATGGTTGATACTACAAAATCTTTGGATATTCTATTTCTATTTTGCTTTATTTTTGAAGGATTGGGCCATGCAAACTGTCATAATGTCATGAAATTATTACTATTGTTATACTACAGCACTTCAAGTAATTGACCTTGTGTTAAAGGATAAATTGATAAAGTCTATTATTCCAGGTGATGTTAAAGATAACCAATGTATACAGTATAAAAACATTTACCTGAACTCTATCTGTTTTGTGTGCTTTACTTTTCTTTGCACCACTCTTAGGACCCTGTAATGTTGTCACAAAATACTCTTCATTAAGTACTGTAAGTCGCCCTATCAATGTGTGTGTATGTCCATCAATGTATGTGTGCCTCCATCATGGTATTAATAAGAGCAGGGTATCACGTAAATTTGCTAAAAGATTTAGTGTTGTTCGAGTGAAAATAATCTATACTTTGCACAACATTCAAGAGAAAATTTTACATTGAACAGCATTAACGTACGTATTTATCCTCAAATTTCTTTGCTAAGGCCCTAATTTCATCCACATCGCATTCTCCATCGTGCAAAACGCCTTCGTCTTTCTTCTTATTTTTCTATACGAGAACAAACACATTGTTACAATCTAGACATTTACAACTTTGTTTTATTGAAACAAATAGTAAGACATAGTATTAAACAGGCTTACATTTGTACCAAGAAGTTCTAAATACGAAAATTCAGGGAACGAACGGTCAGTCGAGTCAGTCAGTTCCAGATGAAATCGCACAGATACACGTTCTTTGATTTTCTCTCTTTGTGCAAAAGACTTAGTCGATTCTGTTTTAGATTTATTTTCCGTTTCCATAATATTTGGAAAATGGCGGCGTTACGAAAATGTTCGTAAACCGACTTCTTCGCTCCATTCACATCTTCGATAAATTTCTTGCCGTGACCTCAGATCAATCTGCACTTTTTGCAATTGCGCATGCTCAGATACGATCTGAGCATGCGCAGTATGAAATATCGCTAGGGAATTCTTCAAATGTTGATTTCAGTGCCTTCGCTAAGATATCTATGCATTGCGAGGAATCGCTGCAAATTAAACTATTTCGACCAAACTACTGCTAAATCTGCATTTTTGAATCAAGTACGGTATGGTCGAAACGATTAGAATAAATGTTTATTCGAACTGCTAAAACATAGTATTTTCAGTCATTTACAGCCTTCTAATTTGGCAAAAGCAATGATTTTCATGGCCCAAAATGGCGATAGTACAGCGAACGGGTTTCAACATATTTCTTGCTCACACTAGTCCCCCGACGCGTGTAGCCTCGAGCGAGCATGGTAAAACATGTTTCTTTCATGTCCCTCGTTGTTCACGCAAAAATCTTGAGGAGCTACGTCACTTACTTGTAATTGGTGTAAAGAGTGGGTGTAAATGACACGCGTATAATCATAATGACAAACCGGATGTTTATGTTAATGCCCCCTCTTTGTTCAAGTCAAACTTCCCAACCAGTTCCCAACACGCGCTGTTCGCGCTGTTCGAGTCGGTGACCTTATAATAACTGGACAATCATAGAGAAAGGTGCATAGTGTGCAGGCATCTGAACTAAACCAAATTTAAAATACTTAATAGTGCGAAGGCCTCACCCAGACGCAAAATTTGTGAAGATAGTAAAAAACGTAAAAAACGTGTGCTTTTTAATGACCACATATTTGATTAGTATATATGCTAGTCTCGGTATGCGTGCTCATAGTGTCCAAATACAAGTGTGCACGAATCACTTAGTTTGCGCGTCGTTCTTCCACCACTCGTTTGTCGTAGGACACTCTGTCACACAAACTAATAAGGTTTTGAGAATTGGTTTTGAGTGTGCTGAACTGTCCGCTTAGCAATATTAAGGTGGGGGCGCAAGCAGGAGGAGCTCGAGAGGAGCGCGGAGATTCTGTCATTCCACCGGCATGCACTTGCAGTCTAGCCCAGACGTACCGTTGACGGTTGATCGCACTTAAATGGCTTAAACAATGGACAGTCCATTTATATGGATTAATGATACTTCTTCTTGACTTATTGACACTATTCTTTAATGTAGGCCAGGATACTCGGACCGTACTGGATACACCGTAGGACAACGCAGAAATAATTAGTTCGGTAGTGATAAAATCAACATTAGTAGTATAAAAACTACTAGCAAGTACTATAACTAGTAGTAATAAAGTAAGTTAAGAGAATCGTTTATTAGGCTTCAGATAAAGTAAGAGTCCTTAAACGTTTTAACATATTGATGCATGACATCACCCACCCAGACAGCAGGTTGAATTTCTACTTGGACAAACACATACTACTTGGATAGGCGTATCTATTCCAGTATCATGTATTTTATACATTTTTAAACATCAATGATCTCTAAAGAAAGAGTATTCTGAACTTCTTTCAAGTTATTCGTATATAAAATTCACCAAAACATGATCAAAACATACATCATTTTCTCGTTATTTTTTGGGCTGGCTATTGAGGCAGGTATGTTGATTTAAAAACATTGGTATGTGTGTGCTTATTTTTCATGTTTCACTGAATGGCCTTCTGGCAGAATTCAGCTAAACATCATATATACTTGCTTTATCTATAAATCTTTTTTATATACAAACCATACAAACTATATACAAACCATACAAACTTTGTAGCGAAGCAACAATATGAACTTCACGCATGACAAGCCAAGCAAGGCGTTTAATTAGATTGTACAGTGTATGTACTTTTTCTGTACTGACTTATGTGCCTTTGCCCGCGCTTTTCTACCTAAACAATGACGAGTGTCGTGGAAGGACAGTGAAAAGATGTTAAGACATGGAGAATCATAGTTTTATGCATTATTGTAATGCTGCGTACTAAAGGGTGTTTGTAAAACAACGATAGTCTTTGTTAAATGATTTCGGTGTTCTTTTGATGGGGGTTTTCGCCAGATGATTCAACTTTACACATCAAGCTGATTGGCTACATTTCTAGCCTTGTAAAAACGCAATTTTGTTACAAGGCAAGATCCTTGCTGCCAGTTCCGGCGTCTTTAATGATCTAGTTAATTCCCCCATGTTTCAAGGTTGCCCCTTTTTTGCAGTTATATTCATGCAAGCCCACGCGTTTTGCGCATGCATTTTAGTTGCACGGTTTCTTTATTTATCCGGTGTTTTTTTCATTGACAATACATTGTCATTTTTTTACTTTTTGCGCTCCTGTGAACTTAGATTTAAATTTAAGTTTAATAAATTCTCTTTTAGCTTTGGCTTTCCCAACTGGACGAAATAGCGACCTGGAACACAAAATTGCAAAGAGGAATTTTGTCCCCAACCGATTTGACATTGTTGATAATGAAATAAAACGTGAGTGTAAAGACCCATAAAAACAATTCTTCAAACAGATCTTCTTTAACCTATACAATTCAACGAATTGATAGAAATATTTCTATCCCTCTTGTTGTTTGTTTAGATGCTATCCAAAAAGAGGTTCAAAACGCTTTAAGAAAGAATTTTGTACCAAATAATCCTCTTTTGGAAGGTTTGTATGGGTATAATGTTTGCCAACTGAATAAATGATGCTTGAACTAAATATGAGATATATACATGTCAAAGAAACTGTAGACTGTAATCATTAAAATATAAACAATTTTCTAGCGAATAAATGGGGAAGATCGAGTTCTGCTCGGTATCCAGTAAATCAACCAACCATGGTCTATGGTATGGAGTATGATCAGATTAATCCATCGAGATCAGATCCGGGATATTTAGTCTTGGATCTAAAGAAGTTGGCACAAGGCCGTTTAAAATTTCATGAACAACAACTTGGTTCCCAAAGATGGAAATCGAAGCCAAAAGCAGTTCCAAAACCAAAACAAAAATATGCTAATCCTAACAATCCATACCAGCAGCAGTATTACAATAATTATGGTGCTTATCAACCAAACAATCAATATGGTTATCAACCAAACAATCAATATGGTTATCAACCAAACTATCAGAATAATTATCAACAACCAACAAATCCTGGAATGCAAGCTGCATCAAGTGTGCCACAATACGGAATGCAAGGATAGGTTAAAGATTTGTGAAAGTGTGTCGATACAGTGTTGTCTGCGATCGCATGTTAAAAGTCGTTGTGATTTCTTTGTTTTTTTAACAGGCATTCCCCTAATATTACCACATTAACACTTTTGATGTAAATATGACGTCATGGAGACAATTGAAAACATTATTTCACTAGCTGATAACAGTTATTTACGTGCATTTTATCCAAATGAATGTAAAGGATCGGGTTTTTTGGCAACAGGAAATAACATGACCGTTAAGGATTCGGTGCTATGAGTGGTGCATATGTTGTAGCCTTCACTACCGTTTTGTTATTATAAATTATTGTTGTTATCGCTGCTGTGCAATTTTTGTCATTTTTTGCAATGCCAATGCTGTGTTTTGCTGCAATCCTGTTTCTGTTGGCACTACACTGCTCTTATAGTTTTTAATATTAGTTAGTGCTGGTCACTGCCAAAAAAATTGCCGAGAAGTTGCCTAAATTTCTTACTGAAAATTCCGTGGTATTTCCTTTGAATTATCTGTATAACATATAGTAATTAGCTTGCTTCGGGGAATCAAAGTCAATTAAAATCAGGCATAATGTCATTTGTTTTTTTTCAAACGGAGGGGGACCCCGGCCCCCCCTCGGCTACGAGCCTGATTAACGCCCACTGACAGTTTCCAAGTGCTAAGTGAAGTCTTGATTCGAAGATAATGCGACCATTGAGATGAATAACTCGAATGAATTATTAAAACATTTACCTACTCTGGAAGTCTGGTAGACTTTTTAACTGAATTTAAGCGGCTGGAATATGAACTGGAAAAAAGACTCTTGAAGGTAATAATGGAGTGTAATACCGAAACTGGTGTATGAAAACGAAATTAATATACTGTTCAATTCATGACACTGTGTCATTTCCTGTCTGGCATATTTGCAGCAGATGAATGACGGGTTGGGCGACAGTACGACATTCTAGCCATGCACGATAAGCTGGGATGTATTCATTAAGCACAAGAAAAAAATAAGGGGCGATATATCATTCCCGCCATGCATGGCATAGCGTTCGCTAAAAATATACCATTGTCATTAACCACAAATCGAATTGTCTGTTCAATGAACTTTTTCATTTTCATCAAGGGATTGAAACTCCGGAGACGCGGGGCCATTTATGCAGACAGTGGCGCTTTCTCCAATACAGACAGCGACTTTTTTTACTTTGATGATACTTTAATCGTTTAAATGATTTCCCTTAAATACATACAATATAATGTCACGTTTAATAGTGTATATGATTCAGGTGAAGAAATGTTCTTTGGATAATATATACAAATATGCCTAACAGATTTTATACGCCTCAATATAAGTTTACATTAAGTCTTTAAGATTAAGGTTATTTAAATATTAAATCACGGCATTTACAACTCATCATTCAGTTTTCAGTTTATATTCGAGAAACATACTCAAAGCTTGTTTGTGTTGATTCGTCAGCAGTGTCATAAGTCAAATAATAACGAGATGCTGGTATACGAGATGTTTGCTGAGGTCTGTAGTTGGCAGATGAATTTTGATATAAACCAATCGAAGTTTCCACGTAACTGCCTAAAATTCAGGAAATGTTCACCAATAACCAAAATTAATATCATTAATATTAATATCATTGGTTATTTGAAATAATTTTGAATGGTCCCATCGTCGTGATATTGATGATAGCTACATATAACACTAGTCTCAGTCTGTTTCATCAGTTCATTGTGCATGGCTATCACATGCAATATATATCACACTATTGTAAGAATTGTTTGCCAAAAGTGAAAAAATTTCGATACCCAACACTGGAGGATGTCAGTCATCATAAAAATCCAAACGGCGCAAAAAGGACAAACCTTGGTTTGATGTTTGAACAGGAGTGTAATACCGTGATTCATGTTGCTCCTCGCGGAGTTCATGCGACCAAGAGTCTATCAACTGAATACAGAAATAGTGATAAAATTAATTATACTTCTTAATGTTATTGCCTACCGAAGGCACTACAATACATGCATAAAACGAATAATCACAAGGTGTATTCATACGTCAATTATTTTATGCTCTGGCAAAACCGGTTCAGTTTCTTTCATCGTTTTCACGTAACTGGAAAATGCTGCTTTTTCTGCATAGAAAGAAAATGAAACAGATTAGTCACTAATAAATAATGGAATCAATTATCGAACGTAAAGCCGATTGACTGACTAAACGTGTTATTTGAAAAGTAATATGCTTCCAAATTTTGACACTGAATTTCCAGTGACAAATCAGACATTATTTAAAATAGCCTTTATACCTGTTTGACCGCGTTCGATTGCAGAACAACACTCGCTTCTTATGTGTAACAAAGGTGGCGGATTTTCAGAAACAGGTCTGGTGAAAGAAGGACGATGCGCCCACATACCCTATACAAAAAATTATAAAATTTGTCAAAACTGCAATAGACCGAAACGTGTTATATTAATATATTGTAGACGTCCACTTTATAATTTTATCGTGATGTCTGGTTACATGGTGAGTGGTGACTCTCTGAAAGGTCTAAAATCGTACGAAGAATATACGAGAGATCTGAGCATATATTTTCTATATCCATTGATATTTTGCAGCGTACAAACTTATAATAAAAGAGAAAAGCCCCAAATTACAAATCTAACTCTCTGAATCTTCCGTTTATGATGTTCAATGACAGACAAAGGTTTTACTGCATAGTTAAGCATGCAGGAAGAACATAAGTCAGTGTTGAACGTCAGAGCATGAATTTGAATGACTCAGCAAGCAATCGTGGAAGTGCTTCTTTTTACGGGGAGTTACCGAAACTAAGCAGTTGTTTAACGTAGGGTGGGTAAAACAGGTGTTTAAAGAAGAGAGCTAACAACCGCAACGTGATTTTACCGCAATATATAAGTGCTTTTTTTTTTTGAGAAGTCATGCACGCAATGGTTCTACACCCGCAAGTACTCAAGAAACAAGGAAATAATACGTTAGATTTTATAGCGGAAAAAAATAATAAAGAAACCCTTTGTATATAATGTAAAAAGACCAGCCAGACTATTATTTCCTTAGATTCATGTAAAAGGATTAACTCCACATGAATCGGACGGTTATAAATCACATACTGCATCAGTAGAAACTTTTCGGATGGAATTCTTTATATTACTATAGCGGTGGTGTCAAATTTTTAATACCAATATTGTCAGTTATGCAGTTTGGAAAAAGAATTAGAGGAAAAAAATAAAACAGTCATAAAATCGTAGTATCAACAGTTTAAAATTGTTTCAACTATAGGATGCGGCGTTAGCGACATCAAAAAAGTATAAATTTGTTTCCTTTCTGCAATTAGGGCTTTATAGACTAGATGTATTTTCTCGTAGGATTTCGGCTCAGTAAAGGCATTTAAACCGACGCAGCGCCTTGCACCTCACATGAAGTAGAAATACTCAATTCAAGGTAAAACCAAAACAGATGATAAGGCAAGGCAATTCTGTAAGAGCCTAAGGTGTTGTCATGCACTTGCTCGTTATATATACACTTATATCGATATTTCGATACTCGACAGAGTTACTGAAAAGGATCAATATTAGTTTTTATCACTTTTAAAGTATGTTTTACCTTATTGCCAACTACTTGCATCATGTTGGGTTCTTCCACATATTTTAGGTAGGAATTTGTTGCTAAATAAGTAATAATTAGTAATTATATAATAACTCTTTATATGCCATTGAATGACATGTTTGATGCATGATAGCACCAACTTCATGATAGATATTGGCTGGGTATTGCACTTTCCTGTATACATACAGCGTGGAAATATTGCTTTCTCTTTCGGTTTATTTGTTTGAAATGAGACATTGCAGTGTCATCGCATATGTTTTTCTTACAAGCTTATTTCGTCTCTGTTGATTGTTGTGCAATGTTATTTTTTCACTATGTTATTAGCTATTAAAAAAATATATTGTATGCCTCTATAATTACCATGTACGACTTAATTAGATTTACTGAAAAGTAATTGTAACTCATGCTGAATGTGTTGTAATTACTGTCATGTTATCTTTTTCAAATTGGCCAATTTAGACTTTGACGGTAACAAACATGTGTGTAATTTCAGGAAAAACTAACAGCAATTAACGTTTGAGCAGCGAGTGCAAAGTGTATACAATATAAAAGCTATACAAACAGCCAACTACAGGCAGCGTTATACCTAACAGTTTTTAATTGAAAAGGCAGGGACATTATTCAGTATATATGCATGATCATTCTGCATTGGTACAATTAAAGGAAAGAAATACATGGATTATATACTCACCTTGATATCCGGAACCATTTCTTACACGGTAAGAACTAGAACGATTTCCCCGCCTTCCTTGTTTTAATACATGAGGTTTCATGTGAAAAACCTTTTGTGCTTCATTACCACGCGTCTCCCTTTCGGAGACAATCTCTTGTATATCGGGTAGTGCATTTAATGCACACCTAAAATTTGCTTTCCAAACTTTAGGCTGCTCTTGCACACTTTCACCAGGTTTGAACTTTCCAGAGTAAATTGCCCATTCTCTGAAAACACATCCATCTAACTCTGACGACCATCCGTGCTTCGATGCATGCTTCCAACGAATTTTGAAAATCTTCTTCTTCGCATCTTTCCATTCCAATCCACGAATCTTGTTAGCATTGAGGTTTTTTTCTAGCCACACGCGTAGAGAATCTCGTTTTCCTTTCATGACTTGGCTCAAGTTGACGTAAAACTGACACGAGAGCCCGATAACCACTTTCTTTTATTCCTTGTCAATCAACACCTGGCAACCTCGTGCACGTTAGTTTTTTTCTGCTAAAAGCCTGAGGAAAAAGGTCAACAATAAAAACGAAAATATCTCCAGAACGTGTTTTTATTTCCTATTTAATGCTCGGCACCTAGTATCTATGCACGTGTCGGCAGGATAACCACTTCATTTGTTAATTTACTATCAAACCGCATTTATTCTATGGAAATAGCTTTAGACTATTGTTTCGAAACTGAAATTCATATTGGACCACATTTGAGTGTGTGCCACGAAATCAGAATCCTCGCAAAGTTTAAAATTCTTAACCTTTATATACAGCATTCAATGGACTAGTTTTGTTTTTTTAATATCAATAACTTTACATAATTATCGCTTATCAGCTAGGAACAGCAACTATTAGGATAATTAATTCAGCAAACAAAAGTGCAGCGGAAGATAGAATGCATCTTACGCGGGAAACTTGCTTCAGAAGGAAGAAGACGACAACAAGGGTGTGAACAATGCATTAATTCACTGAATTATTCATGAAACTGAACTGGTATAGATGACTTTTTTAAATAAAAAAGATGGCATGCGCGGAGAAACGTTTTCCATCGTGCTGTTTAGACTCTATCTAGACAGGATGTTGAAACAAACAATTGAGCGATTGTTTAAACAAACTTTAAGTCTCGTGTTTTGAATAGATCAACAATAAAGTGTGCCACCTTTCACTTTCTCACTTATGTACCACTTTGCATTCGTAGGACGCCAATCTCACTCACATGAAGACCATATTACAATTTATCAAACGTCTTCGATAGGTATTTAATAAGTAAAGTCAGGTTTATAGGGATTTTCCAGATAATTCTAGCATATGCTGGACACATATAGTAAAAAATGCCCCAATATTTAACCACTTTGCCTACTTCAATAGATGACGGTTAATTAACATCAAACAAACATGTTATTACTTGTAACTTTAACGCACATTTTATTGTAAGATTAACGATTTCTCTAGATAACCGACTCAATGAAGTTTTAACTGTCAATCTTTATAAATATCAGTATATGTATATCTTATAATTTAAGGTTTAGTATATCGATTTTTTGAAAATAAAGTATTGAAGTTGCATGCACGGAATGGAATTATGGATTAGTGTATATTATACCGCAATGAATATAGTTTAAGTTATTTTTGCACCCAATATTCAACCACATACCTGGTGGTCTCAAAGCATCTGTTGTCTAAAACACATTTGCCAAAATCAATCTGCAATTAGCGTTAACTAAATTTTGGGGTGAAACAAATACAAGTCATTAGACTAGAAATGTGAACAAGCTGTCAATGACATACTTTTGGGTTTACCATTAGAGTTGAACTATTCTAGAAGCCTCTGACCAACAGAAACAGCTTAATTGACTAAGCTATATACATATATATACCAGAGACAATACTGTTAGGCTTATTGTAGAGATAAGTTTATTTCAGTGATAAAAATAATGCACGTGCGTATATTCAGTTATCACTGTGCATCGGCATGGGGAAGATGGTATACGGGACAGTAAATTTCTGTTTGCTTGCTTGCTTTCATACACAATGTTCAGTGGATGATGTCAAGATTCTTTTGATTCCTGCAGCATGAACCATATGACGTCATGGTAAAGCAATCCAAAACGGGCGGAACAATAAGCTCATCATTGGCCACTTGAATATATAATATATGATATTCATCGTCCAATATATAGCTACGACATACCTATATATATACATTTATTCCGCGTTCAGTTGGCGAGCTTGCGGACACACGTTCATTTCAGGCAGAAGTGAACATTCGCGCAAAGTATGGGTACAAACTCAGCATTCTGTCTCTTTTAATAAGTCTATCAGTTTAAATAGCAGAGACATGCAGGGGGCACTTAATATATGAAACTGCCAGGCAATGCATGAAAAGGCAGACTACAACAATATAGATATGACAAAAAGCCGGGTTTATTAATTTTTTTGGCTCTCCCTATTATATATAGTGGTTATACTGCGTTAATTAGTACGGCTCTATATGTGTGGGGCTAGCTCTAAAATTGCAATCGTCATTTTGTTAATCAGTAGTTTTGTTTCCTATTTCAACGATATTCTCAAAAAGAGGCGTGAATCCGCTTTGATTTCCTTTTGATCCCCCCTGTCCGCTTCCCTAAGAAAATGATATAAAAAGCCAATATAATGGGTTTTATAGATGTGTGGTTCTCATGCATGAAGGCCGCACTAAATAGTGCGTGCACTCAATACATAAATAATTTAAACAAAATATCAACTGCATGAGTATAGCTTTGTTTTAGTGTGATTTTATTTATCCGGATATCTTTGCATGAACGCATTTTTTGTTGTGGTTTTTAGCCTACTTTAGGTCACCACACCTAAATTTGTTGCGTTTGCAAACGTCCACGTGTAGCTATATCCGCAAAAACAAGACCAATGTATGCTCCCAAGATAAAAAAAACACCACTATATACACCCATGCATGACTCAACAAACCAACCCGTGGGGTCCTAAAGTCCCACGCAAAATTTCAAATGTTTTCTCAACGGCAAGAAATTTTCGGCGCGAGAGACTGCATGCCCATATATGTTCCAGTTTACTCCAAGCGAAGCGTTCATTGTTCATGCATGCATGATGTATGAAGGTATTGAGGAAATGAGATTATACGTGGTGGATTTATCTATAGGCCATATATAGTCATAGCTACGATCGGTTAATATTTGACGCGATTATCTGGGGTCTGTGTATATCAGTCATATATTCGTGATTACCGCATAAAATATGATGGGCGCAATAAATACAAGTTACAGTGAAGAAGGGAGGAAAACCAGGACGGCAACTAAAATTTAGGAAGACAAAAAAAGTATGCTGTGAGGAGCGGGGATGAAAACATCTATGAATTGCTTTACTCTAGGCATAGTTTTCAGAACATGATTATACGCGCTACATGCATATACAGAATAACCAGGAAGAAGTGTTAAGTGAGTAATTGCCTTTGAAAAACTTCTCATCAAAGGTGGTTCGAGGGCTTGTCGATGGCTCGAGGCAGGTGTTGAAGATTGCTATATTAATATAACACTCCCAAAAAGCTTTTTAGATCAAAAGGTCGACTGAAGCTTTTTTGGCTATATGGCCCGAACCACATAGAAACTCTATAAACACTCTTATATACAACATGCAAAATGAATTGGATACAAACTGGCATATATAATGTGAAAACATAAAGGAAGTTTAAGGAATTAAATGGCATAGTCTTAAGTCTTTTATATTATTTGTGCAAGAGTGCCAAAATTTACTATATGCAAAAATGAAGTTCCTTTCCAATTCTATGAGTAGAATTTGGCAATATCGAGCATCACAGTATAGTAAGAAAATAAGTTTTTTCGCATTGAAAAGATTCTAAAACATACATGGATTTGAAGCTCTCTCAGGCATATTGTGTTTTGCAGCGTCCCCCTCTCATTCTCTACTGGTAAGGTTTGATAATTGATATAAGAATGCATGGTCTACTCTGCCCATAATAATCGTCTTCTTTGTATGATGTATCTATGAAAGATTCGTAAAACCAAATAATACCGGCGTGGGCCATTCGGAAGTCTTTAATTTTGTTAAGTTTTTGTTGCATATGTTTTGCATTAGTAATTTGACGTATCTACTTTTAAAGCAGGTGCTTTTGCAACACTTAAGCTTTAATTAGATAAGTGGTTACACTTGGGTTGTATGGGAAGGAAAATAGGCGGGAAGTGCAATGACGGTACGGACGTCGCTTCGGTAGTAGTTTAAAGAAAGACTTTGTTTATTAAACCATGATACTTTACGTTTCAGCGCTGCTTTTCTCTCAAAGAATTGAATTATGCCATTAAGTGAAAATACTAAGCAAAAATTTGAATTAAAATATTATGACAAACACGCGACATCATCTATCTAGTGTTCTGTAATATAAAGCACACTTATTAATTTACGTGTTAGATGCGACTCGGAACTGATTATTCCACTCACTGGCAGGCGCGGATCTAGACCGTATCGAACGTGGCTCGAGCCACGGTCAGATTTTCCCATCCAGAATTTCCCATCTGCAATCTAATATTCACACATTATTTAGAAGTACATATTAATTCTTTGAATCACACCAAAATTAAGGAAATATATGTCTAAAACAAATAATTTGAGTAATATCTTTCGTAATCGTTGTCATATTATTACCAATTCCTGCTAAAAGTTCATATTACGATTGTTCAGTTAACACTGAACTATAATATTCGCCGAAAGCTTGCCGAATTGTGCCGAGTATGTTCGGAAGCTAGTCGTGCATTCGAAGCTGCGATCACAGCAACTAGTTGACACGGTCAGCGTGCAGATTATTGCGCAATTGTTACTAAATATAGTAACGCTCGGACACGGTGCAGTGTAGCAAACCAATCACAGGGCAAGCTTTTGCCACGTGAGCCACGGTGCGACACGGTGCGACACGGTGGCCTGTTTTTGATTGCGCAATAAACATGATAAACAATAAAGTTCGACACTTTTCGACTTCGAACTCGGATATAGTTTATACATAACACGTTAAATTGGTCTGTTCGCTGCATCCTCGCTGATTCAGGCTGAATCGAATGCATTAATACATGAATCCGTCGAAATTTCTCAAAAGCAAATCTAAGCGAGCATATTTCAGGGGAAATATCGCTCTTCAGGCTACAACATGATGGAATTATTACTAAAGACAGGCTTCGCTCGCTCGCGTTTACAATCGCAACGACAATTTTTAAACTGCTATTTCCCAAGAGACAAATACTGAAAATCTTTACCCAATGTCCTTGTAAGGTAAGACTTTTAGGTTTTAAATCGAACTATGGGCGCTCTCCTTTATACGGAAAAACGGCCAGACCGGTTCTGTTGTATTTCGGTAGTCGGTACAGACAAAAGTATATCATTATTTACATCTGCCTAACACGGGAAATGCAGTTTCACCGCTATATTCTTAACGAAATACTCTATTTCAATTTAAAATATGACCGGTCTGACCTTTTTGGCCGCTTAATGGAAAGCGCCCTATGATACAAATTTGCATTTACGCTGTGAATAATTTGTGTATGCAAATTTCACGTTATGTTGAGTGTGAATGAAATATCCGTAAATACCTTACCAAAAATTTTGGAAATGGTTTTGTGGTTTTATGAAAGTACAGGGATTTACAATATTCGCTTTTAAACGTTCCCTGAAGAATATTGTAGAACCAAAGCTCAGAAAATATTTGTTTCGGAGGGTCCATAGCCCCTTCGCCATACGCCCCCACCCCCCACCCCCCGACCGGAAAATTTCTAGTCCAATATGACACGGTCAGATTTTCGGCTGGATCCGCGCCTGACTGGATCACGCCGAGGCGCAAATTTCTAGTGTCAAATTCTACGACATCTCAGTCATCAGGTAGAACATGCTGCACATGCGTAGAAACACCGCTATCCTCACCATTAAAATTATCCATAGTTGTGATTAACTATATATAATCTGAAGCTCAGTACAATCGGTGTACACATGAACTTGGTAGAAATAAATTATATTCTTGGAAAGCCAAGTTTCCGAATCTAAATACGCAATAACCCTACATCCTTTGCGCGCTCAGAGTTCAGGGTTCGATGCTTTGTAAGGAACGTTTAAGATCTCAGCTGACTCATAGTAGTCGGCTGAATATATACTATATAAGAAAGCCTTTATCGAGTTAAAGTTATACATGTGACAGATAGAATCATTTAGAGTTTGATCATTTCTAAATGCAGTTATTTACAACTGATACCTCGAAAATGCTTTACAAATTCTTCGAATCGGAATTGTTTTCATTGCACGACTTCTTCCGAGAATAGGTCAAAGTTAATAATTATAGCAGCTTCAAGATAGAACAAGCCAATACTCAAATAGATTAATCGGTTTCTTAACAGCATGTTTAAGATATAAGTGGACTTCTCGACGTTTGACCAAAGTGCGATACAAGTTGTATATGTACTTCATTCTTCGAGCAGTTGATAAACCGATTTGTTTAGATACATCGCGTTAGTTGGTTTGAGACATCGTTGTTAAGAAATTAAGCTTTAAAGTAACTTGTCTTCCTTTAATGCTAGACATTGTTGTAAATATATGTAATATAACATGAACTAATAAAGGTTTTTGTCAAACCAGTTATATATTGACACGCAATGGTAAAGAATGCATCGCACTACTATAGGTTTGTCACAGTAAATTCATCAGATCTGATCTTTAAATCTCAAATGATGAGGAAGCTGGAAGTTCATGTCCAGTATTGACTGTATTGTATTATAGCGCTTACGCGCATGCACTCGGGTTACTCATGCAAGAAAAGCAAAGTCATGCTCTTAGAAGTAGACATCCGCCACAGAGACGGAACTCAAAAATACCGGAAATCAAACGAAGTTATAATTACAACAGCATGCACTATTTTGGTTTGTTTGAGATTTGCAGTTATAGCTAATTGTTTATGCGAAGCAGGTCCAAGAAATATCAGAAATTCGTACGAAATCCAACACAATTAAATAGATTAGAGGGCATTCCCCTTTATGTAAAGTAAAGTATATTTATGTTCCCGGCATGTCATATAACTATTGTTAGAATATGATGCCGGATGTTAGTGTCTTTATGACAACACGTGCATTGTACAGAAAGCTCCATGAACTACATTGTCAAGGTATTTAAATAGCAGGCAGCCCTACACCTCACATCGAAATGAAAATTAAGGGTCGCTGGATGCTGCTGATAAACTTACTGCAAAAAACGAAAGTGAAGCAGTAAAATGTGAGAAACCAACTTAGCCGGTTCAGTGTAATATTTCAGTCAAATTTCTTCCAGCTGCTGGCATTGTGCGCGATCTCTAAAAGGATCTGAAATCCATATATACAAACGATTGATTCGCTTATCTTGGCTTCCAGTATGACCGAGAGACTTCAGCTGCGAGACTGGTTGCTCACATTGCTACAGCACAATCAAACTCCTGGTCTAACTTGGATTGATAGAGATAAAAAAATATTTGCAATCTCATGGAGACATGGTCGAAAGAAAGGCTGGAAATCAGAAACTGATTCACAATTATTCAAAAAATGGGCGATGTATAAGAAACGATATGTACCGGGAAATGACAGAGAGAATGCTAAACTATGGAAATCAAGATTCAGATGTGCATTGAATGCACTCAGTGACGTGAAAGAATTAAAAACTTTAAGTCAGACGAAGGGAGAAGACGCGAGAAAAATCTATCAGTTCTTGCACAAACAACGTGAGGTGACTGTGAGAAGACGAAGGTTCCTCAGAGGTAGTTGCATGAATACTTATCAATTATCAAGCACGTGCAGTCTATATAAAGACAATCTCTGTTTTCGTAGACTTATAAATTGTACACTAAGTACTTCGATATTAAATGTTCATAAAATTTTAGTTCGCAACGTACGAAGTAGGAAACCATAATATTTGTATTTATATATATCTTCTTCTTTGAATAGACAAAGCGAAATTTAATAAAGATGAAGAAGACAATGGGGAACATTGCCACAACAAAATAGACACACGTCAGGTAAATTTCACCTTTTCAATATCCGGTATCGATCATGCTACCATTTTACTGCATGATTCATTCGGTTTAACAATAGTATTACTTCATCAATATTGTTGACAATATTTGACGATAATATAGAAAACAGCTATATGCAACTAAACTCAATCACGATCTTTCCCTCAACTCAAGGGAAAATTACTCATTACAACGCATTGATATTGTGTTTACCATTTTCCGAAATAGAAATTACAATACCAGGTCCAAGCTGAAAAATTGCAGGAGAAAATGGAACAACCAATCCATCAAAGTATGTCCATTGATTTTCAAAACTTTGAAGGATGGCGCCATTATGTTGTCTATCAAACTTCCCAAGGTTGGTTTTTCAACACAAATATTTTTTAATACCATAATATATGTCGATGTTAAAGAAATCTTAAATGATTTGACCAAGGCCAGCATTGCTACAACCCCCTTGGAATTACCCCCCCCCCCCCCGCTTTTACATTCATTTTTCAATCAACATAAAAAAATTCTCAAAGTATTTCAAATAATCTTTTTTTTCTTTTAGAGTTGTATAAATTTTCAAACTTATGTTGCTCTCTTGACGAGGATGACATGGAAGCAAACAAGACAATAGAGGAACTTTTAACTCCCAAGTTTGGCTTTGTCTAGGGTCGAGTAAAAAGTATACCGACAGTTTCTCACTGGTACTAGTTCTTATCACAATCGGCTTAACCGAAAAAAACCATTTGAAAAAACTTTCTTCTATGATCAATGAAATATAAAAATGGAAGAGCTGATCGAGAAAGATGGATTTTATTAAAAATATCAACCAAATACAATGTACAATATTTCTTGCGCGTTTGGGTGTGTTTATGTGCCGTCCTATATACAAAAGAATGTTGTCTTAAAATTTTAGCCTATGATACGCCCGGGTTCCCAGCTGGTTCAAGCTATAATTATGAATACACAGTTACATACATTGCACGCGTACTCAAAACTTAATTTTCATTGTTTATTTTCATCCTCTTAGCCTCTTTGACTTCTTGATACTGAATACCACGTACTGAAAGGTAAATAATAAAATGTTCAAGTGAAACATGCATGCATATGCTTTTTAACAAATATGCATAAAATTTGCATAAGGAAACTGCATGAAGTAAAAAAGTCAACTGAAGTAATGTACACATACATGCGTGCAGCTCAAAATTGCATGAGGGCGCGTAAACAAGCTCGTATATAACAAGAAAATGAACAGAGAAAACCTTATATAGTAACATAGTAATTTCCCTTATAATTTTTCGTTCTATTATAATACTTACAATAAATGGCACTAAACGTATAGAGTACGAATACCTGAATATATTGAGTTGACCCATTTCCCTCCACAAGAGTTGAAAATATCATCGGTTACACTTTGTTTCTGAACACCAACAGGTTGAAGACATTTTAAATTACAGTGTTTATCTGGAACACGACCGTAGCGACCATATTTATTCCCGCAAAAACATAAATTTCCATTCTGTAAACCAGCGTATACAAATCCAGACTCGGCGCAATTTAAAACACACGATAATGCGTCGCCGCGATTGTGTGTGCGTGTTTGAGGACGGAAGGGAAGGTCTCGGCCTTTTTCTTTGTCATCACGATAACATCCGATATAATCTAAGAGAAAGTAAACATTTCTGTGACTAATTCTGACAATTCTTAACTCTAAAGCTAAATGCCAAGACCTTGCATGGGCTTGGAGAATTGAGATGAGCTGCATGTATATATATGCTTGTGTGAGTGCAAATGCCAATGGAATATATAATCAAAGTTACATTTGGGGGTTTTCATTGATTCAATATTCTTCATATAAAGACAACATGTGTGAGAAGATTGTGAAGTTATCAATGCATGCTATAGGGACACGATTTACCCGTAAAGATAATGGGGATACGCATTACTGCCTAAATATTTTTTCTCACATGCTACTTGGAGCTGCTACAATTATACGCGTACAAATGAATCAATCAGCATAATCTTAAAAGGCTACCAGATCCAGATGCCCCTCCATCAAAAGCACTAAAACCCTAAAACGCTACAGACAGATCTGTTGCTAGTCCAATGAATCAGTGATAAATAAAAACCATATTAATTCAAGAAGGGTGCATGCATATAGGTGGGTGTTGACTATTGCCAAGCTTCAAAAGATCAAAGAACAATAAGTTATCCGAGGTTATAAAAAATTGGACCCAAGACAAACGATGTATATATACTACATGTATAAATAGCTTACCGTTGCTTGGCAGGTATCTGCTGGCGAAAATTCCTAAACAATAAGGAGTTTTAAAAGACTTTAAACGAGTGTAATCATAGGCAGCATGAATGTCTTATCATACACTATATACAAGGTTTCAAAGTTCTTGCTCCCCTCATGCAGGGGCGTAGAGAGCAATTAAAAGCGAGGGGCAACTTTATATAAGAGCACTCTCACATTACCTATAGTATAATCCACTACACTACACAGAATTAGATTTCTGGGACAGGTTGTGTAAAGCTCGTAACAACATTTTAAATATTCTTAAGCATGCAATATAGGCATGCAAGATGTATGTTGAGATAAAGTGCATGTCATTTTCAATAATTTCCTAATATAACATGTCACAGCACAATCAAACTTCACAACTGAAGACATACCTGTTGTCCAAATGATTAGTAGAGAAAAAGCTGTAAAAAACATTTCGAATGTAGATAAAATTTTCTATGTAATTAAAATAACGGAAAATATTGTAAGGGAAAAAATTTTTATACCTTTATACATGTTTGGACAGCTTATATTATCTATACGCAGTTAACAAACTCCATAATGACACTGCCATTTTGTTTATTATGAACAGTACCTGCCACAATACAATAACAAGAACACCTTAAAATTCAATACCTGCATGTTCGCAAATGAAAAAATGAAAAATCCAAAAATTTCATTACAACTGACTCCATTGAAAATGAGTTTATTTATACGATATATATTGCGCTGATAGCAAACGCCGCGACACATATTCACTTTTTGAGACATATTCATATCTATATATTCTCTCATTTACGCTAAAAGCAACGCCTGTATAAAAAATTTTTAGGTAATTGTTTTTGAATGGATGGATAAGCTGGTCGAAACAAATTACACTTCTTCGACTTCGACTTCGATACTTCTGTCATACGTAAAACGATACGTTTCAAATAGACAGTGTTGGAACATATAAGGCAGTGCTGGGAGGAACCTCGTACTCAGGGTAGAACCTGGGTACGAGGTTGTATTGGGAGCTGTCGTGTTCCATGTATAGTGACAGCAATTGTCACTAACTATTAACTAATTGTCGAAAGCAATGTTCGACACAATAGATTTGCGTCGCCTGCGTGGCAATTCTGCGTGTTTGGTGGGCATGCATTGCATAGTGCGAGATAACGTGCGGGAGAAGTTAAAAATTGAAGTCGCTATCATGCCACGCCAAAGTTTGTGCTCGTCATTCTGCTGAAAAAATAGTTCCCATCAAATACCACATATATTTTCTCATTTCGCTGATAGCAAAATTTAAAATACGCATGATTAAGATACCGCGCCTTTATCGTAATAAATAAATAAGGCACCGAGCTTTTCGTAGTAACATTAATTACATTATGCATGTATCAAAATCGTGAAGAGTTTTAATTTCTTTACAAAATAGTAGAGCAAACCACTACAAGCGCAGCTTTTTGTATATATACAATATATAGTAAATACTTCAGTGAGAAAACATGCTGAATTGCTTTTCCTGAGAATAATAGAGCCTCTATTTATTATATGGCGCGTGTTTCGAAGAAAAAAATTCGACGAAAAATATTTTCTGAGTTCGAAAAACATAACTATTTAACCGTTTATATACTTTTTACAGAAATATGTATATGGCAATCTGAGAGTAATCTGATCATCATGTTTGGCATGTTTCGTATCACTGATTAATTTACACTGAATTCCAATTCTTCATATGTGTGCAATATTGTTGGAGACTGGGGAGACTGTGATACATTCTGGTAAAAGACGCCTGTAGAAAACACGGGGCGGGAAAAAAAACACACGACACGACACGACACAACACGAGACGAGACGACACTTGTTATAGGCATGACACGACTTTCATCGTCGTAATATCAGCAAATAAAATTCCTTTTTTCTTCTTCGAAAAACGCTATTTCCTAACGAAAACATCCAACATCCGGCATTTTGGATAAGGATTTTTAGTGTGATATGAATAACCTCACAACCTAAGAGACCTCACCATCATGGTAAATACTATTTTTGGGCTAGATGCACGGTTCATTGTTGTGACATGTATAGGAAACGAGTCAAAATTATTTGAATGCAACATCTCTTTATCAGTTATCATCCAAATTTTTTGAAGAATATCGAGAGCGTCGTTTATGGCGACCTTATAGTAACAGCTGCTGAAATCATGCCAGACATAGATCGTAGTATATAATAGCACCACACTATATACTGCATGTATTACGTCTCGATTGCCATTCAATAAATATAAAATGAATTTACTCTAAAAGGGAAGGTCATGCATAAAGGTGCATTCTATCTCCCAACTCAAAACACCGTATACGCGTCTGTAACTAATCTGAATCCATCGTAATCCACTGGAACTTATTTACCCATTTTCTGAACCACTCTACGTGTTTTGGCGATTATTTAACCATTCTACGAATTCATCCAACATCACGGGCCCTTCAAATGTTAGGCAGAAGACTATTATTGAGAATTATGGTTCCATACATCTTAGAATATTTAACCGTGGCAACAAGGGGGATATCTCGATGAAAAAGGGCATATTTATATTTGAAAGATGATAGCAAAGTAAAATAGCATCAAATGTGGTATAACAACTGCCTAAATAGACAAAACACTTCTCGACGTTTCAACCTAAGGGATAGTATGTGATAATCACACTAACTCTCTATGTGACTCACTAACTCCCTAACTAACCCTCACTAACTAACCCTATGCGATAATCACACTAACTCTCCTGACGAAGGCCCTCAGGTCGAAATCTCGAGAAGTGTTTTGTCTATTTTAGGCAGTTGTTACACACCACACTTCATGCTAAGTTATTTGAGGACGCTGCTCCCTGGTTATATTGCAAAGTAAAATGTATAATAGTTCAGTATTTTATTAAAATGCCTGTGCGTTTCTTATTCAGTATATGAGGGACGTAATAAAATTGTGAAGGGTTACATGGGATGTAAAGGAAAATTAATTTCGTATTAAAGCAAGAATTCATTTGACAAGGTAAACAGTGATTACTGTATCGCAAACAATTTCGTGTGATTGTATGCAAGAGCGAGGGTGTTATATAAAATCACACATAATTCTGAAGTTATTTTCACGAACAACGTGAAACTTACATGCTCCATCGACGTCATAATTTGATAAATCTGGTTTTATTGTTCTACAAAATTCTAACACATTACACCATTGGTCTTTATTGATTACTTTGTAATCAGATTGCTGAAAAGAAAAAAATGAAATATACTGTATCTGCATGGCGTTAGAATATAATGAAATAAAGTATAATCAGCTGTATTGAATTAGCCAAAATTCTGTTGTAAACCAATGGTGTCATTCGCTGCCTATTTTTACAAAAATAATAATAAATTAAGATAAAAAACCCTCGAGGCGGTCCCTGAAATCGGCCAGGCTATCGAGAATGTCACCGTATGAAAGCAGTGTAAGAAAAGCAAAGAAAGACGGAAAATGAAATTGCGTTCGTTAGAAATGCACGACTTGTCAGTACATACCTTTATGAATTCAACAAAGGGATCTAAGAGTGTCCAAAACCCTCTGAGCAAGATTTTTAACATTTCCATTGCCATATCAATATCTAAACTACGCTGATCTTGACTCTGTAGCGAAATATACAAAAACAAAAGAAACATAAGAATCACCATAAAAATCTATATCAATAAAGCCAATTAACTTGCATATTCGCATCATGCATGTTTATGTCTTCTTCAGCCATTTTGGCAAAAGGCAGCCCTAGTTCATAGCAACATATTAGATGTAGAAAAAGATCTACAAAATAGCAGACTTCCCCTGTTGTCAGAAAGCAGTGTTTTTTCTATCCATGCATACCCTGCAAAAATCAAATGCATATCTGTACATCTTCTTGAACATAATTGGATCGTTAATCAAGTTCTTTAAAGACTTTAATTTGGATTGAAGTTTTTTTGTAGAGTCGCATCTAGAACACAACAAAAAGAGAAATAGACTACACCTACATAGAATTCACCGTAAAGTTATCTAGAGATTCTAGGGGAAACTGAGTAGTTTGCTGTAGGTTCAAAACCACAATAACTCCGCGTGCAACAAACGGTAAGTCAACTTTCAACTTTCTCCTTCTCCTTTCCATCCAACTTGGCGTTAGATTTTGACGAATAGGATTAGTCCTATAAAGCCTGCAAGAACGGGAAAATACTAAACAATATTTAAAATATTCAAAATTATTATTAACATACTGCAAAGATCCCATTCCTGTTGACCATTCACTGAATTTAAAAAACCCAAGATTTTCTGCTTTTAATTTCCACGCTACAACAAGCATTACAATCTAAACAATTTATATAAACACAGAAAGAAATTAAGAGCTTTTCATATCGTTTCAGCTCGTGTAAATTACATCTGTTCATACATTCTGCCTTACTTCACATATGGGAGTATGCATGGTGCTTTCCTATGAGACGATTGATTTGAAAATTTTTTGAAAGGTACTGCAAACTTGACTAATTCAGTAAAGTGTTACTTTTTTTGCAGATATATGATTGTAATGTTAACAGCCACACTATGGTACATGCATATGCAGGAAGTGTATTGTATTTAACAATATCGATTAGAAATACTAACATCTTCTGGGTCTAATTGTAAATCTTTGCATAATTTTTGAATTCCTTCAGGACCAATTAAATCAGGTTCATCTAAAAGAAAAAGGGTTAAAAAGAAGATTTACAGACAGTCTTCACGTGACGTTAAAATGAACATGTATGTCAGTGTATGGCCACTTCAAAGACAAGTTTTGCAAGCCATCAGACCTTAAAATTGAAGGATTTGTTTTAAAAATTTGCGCCATTATTACAGAGTTTACGTAAATGAGACCCATGCATCAATCGTGTTGCACGTGCACTTTCTTGTAGACGCATACCTGCGTATTCTTCAAACCAATGTTTGCACTTTTTGACCGAAAATGGTTTTGATAAATCATCCTTTTTATTATTAGTTTCACTATACAATAGACAACATATTATGAATAAGCAATTTAAAACCACAAAGACGGTCAAATATTTATTAAACATGCAATTTTGAATCATGTTTGCAAAAAAAGTTCTTCTCACTGTTCCCATATTTTTTTAAAATTTTTATAAGGAGATGTTTATAGTAATTAATTCCAATTTTTTCATGAAGTTCAAACATAGTTACGTTTAGCACAACTTCATGCACAAAGCATGAAAACCAAACCTGAAACTTTCAATTCTAGCTTTCTTAGTTGTTTGATTTTCTTTAGCCGCTTTTCTTTTCCCTCTTGGCGGCATTGTAAACTACTATATAAAACAATAAAGAAATATTAAGATATAGATTAGAAAGAGAAAACCCTTTCCAAACAATTAGCTAAGAGAAGATCAACGATGATTTTATGGCACTTATCTCAATGAACGATAATGGGTAGGATAATGTCGAGACGACCGAGTTTAAGTATTTAATATTCAGATAAATCTCATTATAGTTTTATAAATCTTACTTCGTCACATGGACAGTGGCGTAACTAGAACGATAACCGGGGCTGTTTATTCATATGTATATGCACTTCTGTCCGATTTCTATTGCACTTACAAAAGAAATCCGTCGGGAAGAACATACTATATCTGAAAATGTATCTGCATGAATAAACACCTCCCAATCTATCGTTCTAGTTGCAGCCTTTAATCGCTCTCTGTGAACAATTCCCACGGACATTCTTGGGAAAGGGAAAATTATGAAGAGAAATTATATTATGGGGTGGTTTTGCCGATTGCCAACTGATTCAATCCCCCCCCCCCTCCGCTCGGCACCGCCACTGAGCGAAAGGTACGTAAGGTACGCCAGATCAAAGCCTAGGGTGAAAAAGGTGGGGCTATCGTATTTCGAGGATAACTTTTCATCAAATGTCGTGCAACAAAGGTTTTAAAACAAAGAACGACGTTTCGTGCTAAAGGCCGTCATCAGTGAGTTAGTATTACAAACTCGCATACAAAAACGTATTTTCGAAGTCTGTTGACCATTAAGAAAAATACTGGGAAAATAAAATGGTATCTTCAATGGTATTAAGATATTTTAATGTTGTCTTCGATATCATTGTATTCGCCAAACCTCTCGATTATATTTTGTAGGTATATACATATCTTAAAATTAGCAAAACATTGACTGGAAAAGTTTTTAGCAAGTATTATCTTAACAACTCATGTCTTAATGGTTCAATCAAGGCTGGCTGAGGATCAATATTTTCACAAGATTAAAAATTGCCAAAACTAACAACTGTTTCTCTTAATTCAGACAGTTTCACCGGGTCAAATAATATAGACTGCATTTGGTAACAATAAAGAAACTGATGAAGTTAAACCATCAACTAGAAAATGCAACTGAATTAAGAAAAGAAAAATTGAAACCTAATTTTTTCACACATGATAAATTCTTGAAAACTGAAACATAGCAATGACATACATTTTTAAATTGTCATGATTGTAATTGTAACAGTGCTGTTAGAGATAGTTTGACTTTATCTACTGTTATACCATAAAAACTAAATAACGACCAGAGTACCCCTTGTCTGGTATAACCTTGTCAATGTTGGTCCCTATTTGCTAGTCCTTAATTGAGGATTCTCTTTAACCAATGTTAACTTGAAATGTTTTATTCATTTTCAGGCATTCTTGCAACACATGTAAAACCCAATATCCAGTGAATAGCACTATCCAGCCTTTATACATACATCCCCTGGCTAAAAGCTTATTTTTAAATTTGCAATTGGTTGGTATTAAATTATATATTGTATTCAGGTTGTGGAATTATTGGTGGACAATGGTTTGATTTGCAGTTAGATTTTTAGCTTGGCTGAGTACATAGCTGTGGAAATAGACTAAGTCAAATAAGTCTGGCCAAACGGGCTTAAACTAGACTACATTTTAATGCAATCTTAATGAACTTATGCATGCATTCTAAGTCACAGTTGAGGTTGGTTTATCAGCTGAATACCAAAGCATAATACCTTTTGGTGCTATTAAGAAAACAACAAACAAAAAAGGCAACACAGAGAAAACAAAGGCAATTATTTATCTCCATTCAATAGAACACCACAACTTGTATGTAAATAAACCTATTTAAAATCATGTGCTGCGAATTGCTCATTTATTGAACACACAGTGACAGAGTACAATAGGTTATCTCTGCTGACTTTGCATTCTGTTGATCTGCATGTTACTCAGATGTTTGAAGCTCGTATCAAATAATCCTTGACCCCCTGGCACCCTTCAAAACCCCTTATTTTACATCACCCTTTATATTTATTGATTGATATCCAACCGATTCCAACGTACCTGATTGTAAAATTTCCTTATTTCTTTCTCTATGTATTTGCTAATATAGCATTCGCTACGTACGACATGAAATAGAAATACAATCTTAGTAAAGCTTTATACAGTACTTCTATATATTCCGCATAGTTATTCGGCCGTCAAGTTGATCAAGTATTCAAGTGGTTTTATACAGGATTTCTGTGGCAAGAATCATTCAATACTAAAAAACTTACCTAAACAAAGAAAGTGGAATATAACTAGTTTTTTCGTATTGACAGCCAATGAAATAAGAGAAAGAAATAGTAGAATGAAACAACCCAAACACTTTAGTTTTCTATAGCAGAATCACAGGGCTCTCGTCTCATCGATCAATGGTCTCATCTTTCCACTATCTAGTCACTCACTCCAGTGGTACAACCCACTGAGCTTTATTTTGAACTCTGTGACGTCACAGACAAACCCCGCGATTGAAATGATAACGAAGGAGCTGGGCCTCGTCTCCCATGATTCTTTGCGTCATCAATTTTCATCGCTTTGTTAGGGACTGTGGAAGAGTCAGGGAGCTGGGTATAAGATTCATATGACACAATATGCCCATGCCTCGTACTACGGTCTATGCATGATTATTCTAAACATCGTTTAAAAAAACGAGCCCGCCCCCAATAATTTTCAATGTCAAAAAGTAAGTCAAAATGCTACGTGTAAGGCGGGCGAAGTATAGGTCTGTGTTCAGGTCTGTGTGCCCAGACAGTGCCCTATCCAATCAACTCGGATTAACTATTAGTATTCCTAAATTGACGATTCTTTTTAATAATTTGTCGTTATAACGCTGAAATTTTATTGGTTTTCAAGCATTTTTAGAACGGTTGATAAAATCACTATCCAGTGGATAGCGCTATCCTGCCTTCGTACAATCGTAGTAACAACAGATCTGGAAATTTTTATGCTACATTCGGTCAGATGCACATAGACAGCCTACCTGATTTTAATAATTGCCAAATTTATACCAGGCAGGGGCATTCTAAGTTTTTCTAACAAGATTTGAGCAGCTTTGGTTAACAAATTTGCATAGATGATCACACTGGTTCAGGCTAGAGCATACATGATTGCGAACGCCCCACAAACTGCCAAGGCTTGCATGAACTTTAGGCTTTGGTTGATCAGATGATTCTTAGTTAATGTGTTTCCAAAATTGCATCAATTTTACCCCTTAGCATAGAGACAATTTAATCACAAAGTAATCAGTTGCATGAAGATATTTTTCGTGGGACTCTAGTTTCATAGTTCATTGCACTGTATCAGGTGTCGTAACTAGAGCCTGTGATTCCTAAGGATTTGTACGACATCTGTTTATCACCTATATTTTTTTTGAGGGGCGGTGTTTCAGAAGTGTGCGGTGCTTCGATATCATCGAATTTTGTAATACTACACACAGCCGTCCTTTACCTTTTTGCATACTAGCTAATTCTAACGTTTACCTGATAGTTGCATGCCATGATAGTTTGCATGAAATATTCAGAATTTTTCAGCAATCAAAAGTGAAATTTAAAACGAGTTGCTAGTATAATATTCTAAGGTTTGTTTGTAAATTGTAAAGTTTTCTTTGTTTTCGTCCTGAAGTACTGCTTGCCGCATGGATATAGCAATAATACAATGCACAGACAAATATTCCGCGATATGTTATCTGTTAAATATTTGAATCAGTTGATCTTTTTTAGTCATTTTACAATAGACGCATGCTGGATTCATGCATGGAATTTGTTAATTCGTCAGTTTCACTTCGTGAGTTTGTGTGCATGGTGTATATATCTACTGTTTAACAAAAATATAAAATAAGAAAGACTTCGATGTTTTGCGCAAAGCCAAGGCTGGATGCCGCATCCTGTTATTAAAAAGTGCAATATACTAATGTTTAAAAGGCGCCAACGATCATTCCTTATTTAAACATTAGTTTACGAAAAGCGATTTGTCTGGAGCAATTCAAATTTACATTAATACATGTTGAGAGAAAGTTTCTCTTTATCAGAATCGTTAAGTATGTCATTAATGTCAGCATGTTATGAACAATGACAGGATGCGAATACAAGAGGGTAAATTTGAAGGACAGATATTGAACACCGCCTATCAAGCGTATTTAATAACAGCACGAAAGCAATCACATAGAAGCTTTCTACGCGTTTTAAACTTTCTACAGTGTCTACAGTTACAGTTTATAAAATCGCAAACTTCTTTTTGCATGTTCTTGTTGTTTTTGAATCACAGAATCTTTCTGGTCATCACAGAGAGCTCCAAGTCAAAGCAGTATGCTAGACTAGAGATTTTAAAAAAAAGGCTTCAAATGAAACCGTATTTTACTAGTTTACATGCAGGAGGCGACAACATGAGCCTGCAAAGAAACGGATATGGGATAGGATGAATATTTTTCATAAATATGATAGATACTTATGAGTTGAGACTCTCACATCTTGGTCTAAAGCCAGTTTTCAGAAATTGGAGGTTTTGATTTTGTGAACGACTGGCTTTTCCATAACAACTGCATGACGACAAGTCGAAAATGTCTATATTTGAAAAGAAAGGTGTGGATATAGGCCTGCAATATCAGCTTCTTCCGTACTCATAGTAGTTTATTCTAAACTATACCTACCTATCTTGATTTCCTAAATATTTTTTTAATGACGGCAATGAATTTATGAACAATTTATCGGATCATAACCTGTGATACCACAAATCCTAGTAAAAATTTAATTCGTGACTGCTGCATGGTATAATTTCTTCCAGCAAAGAGGTGCCTTTTGACTATTTATAAATATAATACTTATAATCTTATAAATCTCTTTGGATCTACGAAACCAATGTCCTCTATCATCCTTTCCCGACCATGTTCGTTATGCCTTGCACTTTCATTGTGTATTTGTAGGAAGAGAGTTCAGAGTTGGCCTATCACGTCCGCCATGCATATGTCGATATGATACATTCACGTCCTACCCATGCATCAAATATCCCAGTGCTACTTTCGTTGAACTATATTAAATACATATAAAAACCAGCAATTTTAATCAATTCATGGCATATAAAACCTAAAACTACTAAAGGCTCTAAACTTCTATACCATAACATATCGTTTGGCGGTGTGCCCGCCAACACAATATTCTTCACTGCAGGTAAACTGTCTGTTAGTCAACTGGTCAGGAATGCGGAGTCTAATCTAACCACACAGGAAACCACATTCCTGATATTAGATGATCAATAAAGTACGCCAAAGCAGAGTATCTATGGTGATGTTAAATGGCAGCAAAACTAATCTGAAAACAGGCTCTTTCTGTCTTTCATGGTTTTCTTGTGTGCCGCTGCCAATTCTTTAATGCCATCTATTATTTTCGTTTTGAATAACAATTTTTGCATACACGCTGGGCTCTATTTATTATTATTATTTTATACTCTCGTTACTATGAATTTATTATAAGCTTATATTAACCTCAAAGAGCTGCATCAAAAATATTAGAATGCAAATCACACGTGGCAAAAGATTAAAACAGCGGGGATTTGAAAAGCGTCTTTTGTTCGGGAAGCAACCTAAACAAAAACATGTGTCATTTTTCTTTGCCCTTTTTCTAGTTTTATCAGCGTTGCCACCATGAATACGACGTGTGTGTTTACAAATATTCCGCACTGAAGACTACACAAGAACTCTTCAAAAGCAACGTTTTTCATATTCTTGAGCTTCGTCTGTGACCATTCATGTTATCACCCTTCACACGACCACTGGCACTGGCACTGGCTAATTTTCTTTGTTATTAAAAATCGACATTCGATCTTGTGCTATTTGCCGTAACAAATTACAAATTCACCACTTACACGGGCGAAATATATATATGAAATTTATCAAAAAAAAATCGGACTACGTCGTATCGCTTAATATTGCATGGGATTAAAACAAAGCCCGCTTGCAATTTGTATACCAAACTAGCCGTCCAGAGTTTAATACATTAACCTCGATAGTTTCAGTGGTATTGATAACGTGCATTTGGGAACCTGCTTTTATTACTCGCACACACTATTCCATTGACAAGTACAAAATAGATGAAAATGAAGACAGATTTCAAACGTGTTACACGACGGAAAACTTTGTATTGTGATGGACTCCTATTAACCATGCCATTACTAGAAGGGTCGCTACTTGGCAACACTCGTCATTGTATAACAGGATTTTGATTGGAGGAGAAAAAAATGTCTGACGTCACAGAGGATTATTTTCTTCAACAAAGAAATCCCAAACAAAAAAATATTTGTGAGTTGGCTTTGGACGATTTAGACGAAATATAAAGTGTCTATTGAGAAGGGAGAAAGATCTGTGTCTTCATTCGCATCGCACAAAGTTCGAGAAAGTTTAATCGCTGTAAACGTCTTGTTCGTTGGGAGGATTTCAGTCAAAAGAGATCACAACAAGAATCCTTCGCGACCGAAGTTGTATTTCAGTATTTGTATTACGAACTTGTACGATTGAAAAGCGTTTGTTAGATTAAACAGTGGCTGCCTAAACGATTAATCATGAAGGACGAAATCCATACTGCGTGTAAATTCATTTTTCATATGCTAAAAAAGGGTTGCAGGTTGACAGAGCAACAGTTACAACAATTTACGAACAAAATGCAAGATGTTCTCTTCGCCCACTTTCGCCATCACTGGCACCTCGAAAACCCTCAACTGGGAAGCGCTTACCGATGTATTCGAATAAATCATATCATGGATCCAATTGTCGTCAAGGCAGCCACAGAATGTGGTGTGAAAATATCCGATTTATCATTGCCGAAAGAATTTACGATGTGGATCGATCCGAACGAAATATCGTATCGTTTTGGTGAAGATGGCTCCATTAACACCGTGTCGATAAAGGATGAAACCAATGAAACAAGCGAAGGCAGTAGCTCGTTTGAAAATATGTTTTTAAATCGTCAAAAGTCGCATCCCTGTGGTATGAAACAAGGCAAAGTGATAAATTCAATAAATACAAATATCGTTCAAGTGCCAGAATGTGTATCATCGTAGCCTCAAATTTCTTAAAGGTGACACGAACATTTCCGGTCAATATAAAAGACCTCTTGTAGTTAGGGAATTGTTCGACTGCATTTGCTGTAAATTTGTTCATATACATATAGTGTAAAATATGTGTAGAGAAGTTGAGATGTAAAGTAGACTTCATTGACGTTGTACAGCTAAAAGCAGTTTTTAAATATTCTTAAATAATGAAACTTGCTTACATAAACATTTTAACATTTTATCACATAGTTTATTTCATATATTTGTACAAAACGACCAAGTCACCTTACTATATACCACAGGTTATATTTCAATTTTTGAATAGACAAAGTCTACACTTACGTATGACTAAATAAAATTACTCTGGGAATCATGTGTATTTTTGTGTAGGCGGTAGTCCTAGGTCGATGCAGTCCTTGGGATGCAGTGTTTATATATTTATAACAAATTTTTGGATTTTTCTCCTGGTGCAAAGCAAAGAAATAATCGCAGAAATAACACTGGAAATACCTGCTCGGCTGCTCCAATTTTGGGCAACTGGGCAAGATCTGGGGAACTGCACCGATAATTTTCTCCAACTTTTCTTGAGCTTGGCATTTGGCACCACTGACCACTGTTACGTGGTCTATCAAGCATCAATAAAAAAAATCCACGATGATTCTTATTTCTTAATTAGTTTTTCATGATGAAGAAAAGTAGGAACCCTTCCACCCAGCAGATAGTGTGGAATGACCATGACCCACACCAAATAAACCTTGATCCCATTAATAGGTTTAATAGGTGCTAAAATTTGAGTAATAAAATTGCAAGTTATCAACTAGCCAATTTATCAACGGCCTTCGAATTAATTTTTAATAGTCCCCAAAAATTTCGTTACTGGAAAAGGAGAAATACTTCATCATCTGCAGTAAGCTATGATAGCTTGCAACTTGTCAAGCAGCTTGTCGGGCATTGCTGTTAGCCATTGCGAGACCGGACGAGACATGTGCGTGAAAAATTGGACCGTTCAGCCAAGCAGAACAGGGCTTTCGACAAAACAACTGGACTGTATAGGGTCACATGGTCTATTTTGAATGCACTGTCAGTGAAAACTGTTGTACTTGGTCTTCTTAAGGCTGGTTTCCATTTAATCGTTACGATCGCTAAAAAAATACTTGCGACCGTGTGCCAATTAAATGGAAATCAATTAGGACAATTAGCTGGCGATCCCAGCGCGCCACGACGATCGTGATCGCTGAGATAGAAAAGTATTTTTGTAATTTTACAAATCGGGGCCGATAAATTCTTAGATTTCCGAAACAGTACTATTCCTTTGGCCTTGCAGCTCTTTTAGCCACACTCTCAATGTAGTCTTTTCAGGTAAACTAGCAGGCCTAGTATTATGGTGGTTTTGGAGCATGTAACAACTCAGGTTTACCTGTAACTAGTTACCTGTTACCTTCTACCTGCAACTTGATGTTTTTACTGCTCTTCTAATCCGCCCCTGGAGCCAGTTGGATTCCAGCTTTTGAATGCGGCACTGGATAGTGGTTATCTAATCGCTCTATATTTGCTCGATGTTTGATGTAACCTGGATTCAACCACAAAACTGTAATCTGTAACCACAAATCCCTATTGATTTTTCATTTATTAAGTTTCAAAGCCTCACATCAAGAGAATATACAGGGTGGAAGTGCCCTGCGACAGAGGTTGGGATGGCCTAAGCTCTGGGACCGACTTTGGTAGTGTTAGTATTTTATAGAAAGCCTAGCTAGTATTATAAGACTGTAAATTTTGATCAGAGTATTTATTTTACATTTCTAATATTTGCTAATTTGGAAGTTATAGTATGTTATCCACAAGTTTCAAATACAAACTGTATTATTCAAGTCCAAAGAGCGGCACAAAATTATTGTCAAATAAAACAACATCTGTCGTCCTAAGGTTTCGGAACCGACTTGGTGCCCGAGGCAGTTCTTTGGACGGTCTAATTTACCAAGAGCTGGGGGTGTCACACTGTCACCCCTGTCTTTGTTTGATCTTGACAGAATGTAACTAAAGTTACAAATAAATAACCCTGTAAAAATACGTAGCTTTTCGTGATGAGTTTCCAATCCGCAAGGAAAAAAATGCAAGCAATTATATTTTAAAATGTATTTATAACATTGCAAAAAGCTATTACATTAAGATACATATCGTATGTCCATGTTACTCAATCAACACAGTTGAACAAAGTTCCATAAGGAGGTCCTCATGGCCATGATTGTGATAAAATCAAGGTGCAACAGTCTTGTACAAAATACTGCATGTTGCTATTATTTACAAACCTCTCAGAGTTCCTCAGAGTTAAAAGATTTCATAAAATGAAAATAATACAGTCATTATGACAATTATGAAATAGAATGTATTCGAGATTAGAAACATGAAGGATGGATCTCAAAGGAAGCCCTGGGATTATACATGGTTGCTGTGACGGTTGTCAATATATTTTGACAATCAGTAATTGTAGTTTTTGGTATCATTTTGTCTCATTAAAGTGCTCCCAAATCAATGCAAAATGCTTTTCATTTGAAAGGTATACCCTGAGGTTGGAAAGGTTAAAAAGGTAAAATACAAGATAAAAAGTAGGAGATCATTCTAAGTAATAACAACATGGCAAATACAACGAAAAGGTTTAGTCACTTTCTTCTTCTTCTTCATCATCGTCTTCCTCTTCTTCTTCATCATCATCATCTTCCTCCTCATCTTCATCTTCTTCTTCGCTCTCGCTTTCTTCCTGAACTTTCGCTTTCGATGTCTTCGCTTTCTTTTGTGGAGATGGGGCAGGGTTCTACAGAAAAGATAAATAGTATATACTGTGCTCTCACAGCCTGTAGAAAATCCCCATCACCACCCTCCTGCACCTAATGAACTTAGTTTGTTTCTCAGGCCTCACATTGTAAAATGTAATTCCTTGTTGAGCATAAAAGGTAGTTTTTGCTTCCAATGTCATTCCACATGCTATTTTAAAATTTGCTGAAAAATTAAATCAAACCCTACATTTTTAACCAAAAACGATTAATAATACCTTGGCTAAATATTCTTTCATATTTTCTTCGAACTTGGCTTTTGCTTTTGCTTGCATATCCATGTATTTCTGTTTATCATTATCCGACATTGCACGCCACTCCTCTCCAGCTGATTTTGAAACATCCGGACCCGTCATTCCTTGTTCTTTTTTAATTCCACGATACTCTTCAAGGAAGTACAGGAATGAGGTCATGGGCCTTTTGGGTTTATTTTGATCTTTGGCAGGTTTTAAAAGTTTCAGCTGTAAAAAGGTAATAACATTGGCAAATTAATAAAATGAAATACTCAATGAAATAATAATTGTTTTCATTTAATTATCCCCAGGATCGTGTATTTTTGTATATGCAGGTCTGTATTGCTTGTATGAAATAGACAACAATTTTATCATTTCCATGCTTCTGGTCTACCTAATGGCCACAGGCCCATTATTAGTATAAATTAAATTAAATTTTCTATCTTAAGTAGTTGAATTAAACGTAACTCTAAAATACACAATTAATAAAATACATTCTTATTTGCCAGTTCTGCCATCAACTATAGTTAACTACAGCTTATATACAACCAACAGCAAGGGTGTGAATTATTTGTGAGCTCTCAGCTTGTAGAAGCAAATACGATGCTCCTTTGAATGTTCACGGTAGTTCAGCAGAACAGCTATTCAAGTGAAAAAACATTTGAATTACAACTGAACTGGGAATGTTCAATGTTGCATAATTTGTAACTAGCCCATGGTCAAGCAGATATTTAATCTACATGACTTGACATGGAAAGGTGCAAATAACCAATCAAATATCAATTTATGGCATTTACAAAAACCTGCATTGTGATATTGTTTTTGGAAAAAGCATGTTAATGATTAGCCAAATGGCTACATTGTAGACATCTTTATTAGGCATCATCAGGTATCATTAAAATTTTAAAGGTGATATCCTGCCCTAAAAAATTGTTGGCATAGGCTTGATTCTTTCCGAGTTATAACTTTCCTGATTTGATTTCAAAATGTATATTTGTGGCATTCTACTATAAAACTGTTTCCAACTTTTAATTTAGTTCCATTTAGATTCAATCTGTGTTCAAGTTGCTTCACCCAGAAGCAGGTAGTTGTTGAGGGCATTCAACATGCCAAATGTTGAGAAAAATTCATTAAAGATAAGATAAAAAGGCAAAAAGAACAAACATGAATTAAACCATAGTAAATGTGTTCCAGTTTGGGATATACATCAAAGTGTGTTCCTATTTATAGAAAAAGCACCACTGAAAACCACTGAAACATATCACGTGATACGCCATCCACTTCCTGTACAACACAACCGTCGAGGACGAAGGATCGGAGAAGAAGGCTTCTTTAGGAGTGTTGGTTTATGAAAATAAAAAGACTAGAAATACTGGCAAAGGAATCATACCTTCTTATCATATTCATTTTTCTCTTTCTGGTATTTATCTACGTAAGGTTGTTTTTCTTCCTCACTCATTTTTCCCCATGCAGCTCCTCCATCCTTCGCGACATCACCGATTTTGGTTGATTTTTCCTCGCCATTTTTCACGTCGCTCTTACGCCGAGCACGAAAGTCATCCATGAAATGAAGATAAGCTGTCTTGGGTCTTTTCGGCTTATTCGGATCTTTTTTTCCTTTCCCACTCTGACCTTTCTTGCTAGTCTTCTGTTTCTTTGGTGATGCAGACTTGACACTGTCCCCGGACCGCTTCTTGCTCACTTTACAAATACAAACGAAACAGGGAGACATTTTTAAAATTAAGGAAGAATTCAAATTCAAGTTGCCGTTTACGACATTTGGGCCGTGATTTTATCACATTTACAAGTTAAGGAAGAGAATTTATATTTTACCTCAGTGTAGTATTATTGTAAGCAGGCTAGAGCTGCCTCTATAGCGTTATATAGACTAGTATATAACATAGCTAACGAGCTGTAAACAGAGGCGCGCCGAAATCAGCCATGCCATGTTTCTTGCTTAAATAGCACTTATACACAAATAAAAATCATTTAAATTAAGGAAAAAAATCATTCTTATAATTAAAATATCGAACAGGCAATTTCAACCAATTCTTAGCGGATAATAATTCGTTCTTATAATCGCATAGTCATATATAGTTCAATATACTATACGTCTATACCATAGTAGAGACTATAGATCGTATATAATCGTCCAACGCTAGTACTATAAAATTGCAACACACAGATTTTGCTGCGTATTCGCGAATTCGCCCGCTCTTACCTTCCATTTTGTTGATTCTTCCACAAAATATAATGTATACTCAATGAAAAAAATATTCTGACGAGAGAAGCTTGAAATCCTTGCTAGCTCACTCGCTTCTACTGTCGTTTATACAAGACAAAGCTTTCGTGTGGCCCCACGAGGATTCTTTCACAGAAGGGACGCTCATATCTCAAGCTTGACCCGCCAACGCGCACTGAGCATGCGCAAGATAAACAAACTGAATAAATGATGTAGCAATTTTTATGTAGCAATTACGGAAAAGTCAATATTTTTACGTGTTCGTGAAATAAAATAAAACCAGAATTCACGCATTTATAGAATAAATACTTCATTTGAAGAATGAGGATTAATTGTCGGTCTAGAAAAAAACTCTCAGGAAAATATACCTGTAGCCTGTGCCCTCGACATTTAGTGTATCAAATTTCCTATCATGCCCTATCCGGTTAAAATTGTAGCAATAGCACATTTGAGGGAATTCAAAGCTTTGCTTTTATATTACGTTAAACTTTCACACCACACGGGCAATAGAGGCCCAAGGACCGGGGGAGGCTAACAAATTCTTGGGTTTCTTGTGACGTCATAATCCCGGTGGGGTTATCTCGAAATCGAGACAAAGTAAATTGGAGTGAGTTGATTGTTCACCGTATGTTTGGCTTTGTGCTTCGTAGCAAATATACGCAATTTCTCATCATTTGCTCACTCCTGTTCAGCATAATGTCGAAACAGTTACGGTTGACCCTTGCTCAAATCACTATGAAAACAATATGTTAAACCCACCAATAGGGCCGATCAAGCGTAGACCAACCAAATTAACCAAGCCCGGGCATACTTAATATTTGTTTATTGGCGAGTTAGCAAATCAAACTGGCGTGCCTGAATATTAGACTACCTAGGACAATAAACAGGCGCATTCATAGTGGGAAATGCAATTCTAAGGAAAGGCACGTTTACAGTAAAAAGCCCACACTGCCCAAAGAGCAGGGGGCTTTCTGTCGCATAAGCGTACACGCCCAAAAACTTTGAGAGGTGGACAAATAATTTCAGCAAGAATGGCCCGACTAAACGCTGACTTCAACAAAAAAACTGTCCGAATTTCGAGCATAAATTGCCTGCTTATCACGAAGTCTGACGCCCATAAAGGTTCCCCCTAGTTCCGCGGCCTTCGTGATAAAACGAAGAGGCAGGGATCTGGCCATCCTGCAGGCATACTCACTACCGAAAGGACAATGTGAGAGTTAAAATACCGGGCCCCGTTAAGGTGGGTATGTTTAACGACAAAATCACAATCACAAAGTACACAATCTAAATCGGCATAATTGAAGAAAGTTTAGGACAGTTAGACGATTTGACCAAAATATAAAAAAGATGCGTAAAAAGTATATTAACTATATCAACTATAATAACTATATATATTAACTATATAATTGCTTTACAATATACATGAATACGAAAACTCCGAGGACAAGGAAAGAAAGTACAACGCTGTCCTTTGCCCAAAAACGGGTGCAGAAGTATCATATAATGCAATATATTGGCTTGAATTTGAAGTGTGTATAATACCACTCGAAATTAAGACCCTTTAAAATCCTCTAGAATATTGGAAATAGGTTCCTTTCGGTCGTGTACACAAGGCGTCAAAACGATACAAGTGACGAAAACGGTTTTAAAAAAAATTAAAAATTAAAATCATCGTCAGTGATCGACATTGTGGTGATGGGAAAGACCTGATTTGTCTTTACCGGAGAGAATGAGTATAGGTCCAGGAATCGTAGTGTAATAAATAAATAAATAAATAAATAAATAAATAAAATACTCTGTGTGTCATAGATTGAACTACGTTGATGAACTGGCATTCTTGCTTTAATTTTTTTTCACTGAAGTCATTTTCTTTCGTTGTCATCTTCTCTTATGCCGTACAGGTCATTTTGACTTCACCTCAGCCAATAAATTACACGATACCTTGTGTTTACTCCAATGTTTCACCTGACATTCCCTACAAAAGTGAAACATCTTGTTCATACAACTCAAACTCGGCCAAACTGTTTCTCAAAATATTCCTGGCCGTGCATTCTTAAGAATGCCAATTATGCAAATATATAGTGTGTTATACCTTTTACAGTACCACTCATTTTGACATCTGGAGCACCTTTTGCTTGCTGACTGGCCACAATTTGCACATTTAGGTGGATCACTAATCAATCCTTCAAGAGATTCTATATTGTATGTTTTCGCCCATCTAAAAGCATTGCAAAAAAACCATAGGATAAAGGTTATTCCTCTCAAAAACACATTAAATGGGACTACTCCATACCATTTGTAAAATTTTAACATTTTGTACTATTTCACATACATTTCGGCATGATTCTTTAGCTGTTGACCTGACGGATTAAAATAATGGTTTATTTGATGTTTTGCAATCTTTTCCCACGTATTTTTATTCTCTTTTAAAAGTTTTTCTCGTATTTCAGGGACCTGGAATGAAAATAGAGATAAGTTGATAGAAGTGTTGCTTTCCTTGCTCCATGATGGTACATTTCATTTGACAGATCATGATCATGCAATAATCAAGCACCTTACACTTACCTGTTCCAAAACCAAGTCTCTCTTTGCTATTGGTAATTCAAGAACCGCAAGATGCTCCAAATATCTTTGTAAATCGATAAGATTTGGTATTTGGTCAAGCAGAATTTCATTCAAATAACCTCGAAGCTGTTCATTGAAAGAGAAAACAATACATTCATGCTCTAACATTAATTTAAAATGAATGGTGGATTATAAATTTTTTCAATAGATTTAGTCGATTAAAAAAAGTTCAACAAATTTTACGGGACGAGATTCTATGGTAAAAGATAACTCAACTAAATTCAGAATTTTGATTACGGTACCTTTAAAATTTGTGTTTTATTGTAGGTGTTTAATTCATATTTCCGTCTGCATTCAGGATCCATCAACAAATGAAACAGCGAAAGCCAAACCTATAAGAAAGAAAGCGAAAATATAGCAAACACTCGTATGTGAAATAGCCATGTCTTTCACAGAAGTAATATAAACACGCACTTTTTTGCACAACGGAAGACTAGTATATTTATGTTACTGAAGTCTGAAGAGACAGCACCTGGCCTTCATTTTTGGTAATGTGCAACCTTTCTGAATCTGGCAAACGCTTCCACTTTCCGTCAATAAACTTTAGCAGCTTTCCTACAAAATTTTTGTTATAAAAATGTATAAGGGCGCTTTCTTTTAAGCGGCCAAAAATGGTCAAACCGGTCATATTTTGAATTGAAATAGAGTATTTCGTTAAAAATAAAGCGGTGAAACTCCATTTCCCGTGCTAAGCAGATGTAAATAACTGGCGATATACTTGAATGCAGAGTTCTGGAAACACTCTAAAATACCAGTAATTTGACTGAAATACAACAGAACCGGTCTGACCATTTTTACCGTATAATGGAAAGCGCCCTATGTATACTTCATAATCTCATTCTCTTGTTAACATATTTCAAATATATATACCTTCCTTGTCTCTCTTAACCCACGGAGGTTTCTCGATTAATTGCACTAAAGCCACTGGAATATCTAAAATAAATAATTAATGAGAATCTGTAAGATCGATACCAGAAGGAGTTTAGGCAAAAAGTGCATTCTAGCTTGCTGGGCCTAATTAGCCTTTCTCACGATGACGAATATATGCCGCCATTTTTTGGGTCCTTTTTTTTAAGACAAACAACGTAAGACCTCGTAACGGCGACTATCTTTTTAGGCTGAAATTTTCCTTCAAATGGTCTGCTGATTCTAAAAAAATAGCTTTTCATGTTGTTATAATTTTTAAACTTATTTAAGAAAATTAGAAGTACCCCAAAAACGTCATCGTGAGAAAGGCTAATACGACACGGGAAAGTGGAATTTTCTATTTATTCTTACCATGAGTATTCAGTATTCTAGTCATAACACTCAATGACAGACTATGAAATAAAACAATGTGTAATTAGTTAATTTTTAGCAGGAAGAACTTTGTAACAAACAGAGGCGCCTGGACCACGGGAAAGCTGCCTCCTTGGCCCTTCGCTCACTATATTATATAATTTGCACCATACAATAATTTGCACTAACATATAATAATAGTACCATACATACATTTACCATTTGATCTCAACTTTTAAGTTAAGACTATGCTATAATTACGTTATGTTCCCTTTACTAAAACTCTGACCCCACTGCTCTAAATGTCTTCCGGCGCCTCTGGTTAACAAAATCGTACGTATACACTATTATACACTACATTACCTGGACATATGATCTAAAATGTAACGTAGTATAGAAACTGCTTTCACACTGACGTTAAATCTTATCTCTTCAGCTTGATCAACCAACTCCTGTTGAATTTAAAGTGAAAAATAAGCCATGCATCGTCCGGTGGCATTGATCTCTCGCCACAGGGCAACGGAGCACGTAAGTGCAGTTGGAATAGAAGAAAGTTTACGAATGTAAAATGTTCGTGTGCTCAACGGTATTAGAGTTATAACTTATGGATTATTTGACGATTATTTTGCGTGTAGACACAGTTTACTGGTGATACCAATTATTGCAAGGCCAGAACAATTTCTTTTGCTATAATTGAAAAATAGTCATACCAGGTACCAACCTTAACAGTCGAGTTCATTTCCTGATTTTTATTTTCGTCATCACATTCCTCTCTGTGAGTAAATAATAGATAAATATATTTTAAAAGCATGCATCCAGTCCTAAAGCATTGCCCTTCGATAACGGCGGGATCCCATCCCAGGACAATGTTCTACCATGGTGGGATCCTGTCCCGGAGCACTGCTATTATTCAATGTAGGATTCTGTCCCTAGAACATTGCTCTTCAATGGTAACCTGGAAGGGTCATGCCCAGAATATAGCTCTCCAGTAACTGAGATCCTGCCCCAGAGCATTGCTCTTCATGCATTTGATTGTTTTACCAATTAATATATTTCGCTAAGTGTACCTTGCTATAAGACAAGCTATTTGTCTATGGCAGAAATCCACCAGATCGATAATATTATCACCAGCTGCCTCACAACTCTCCTAAAAATGTGCAATTCATTTCAAATAGGACGGTTTGTATAGGAAGTTCGCACACATGGGTTGTATTGTGGGATTGTATCAGTTGTGCAGGACAACATATAAGTTCAAAAGCACAGTATACGAGTTGTAGAGGTCAATTAGTGAACGATTTGCGAGCAACAGTATACGAGTTGTCAGGGAGCAAATTAGCACTGCCAATCGGCCCGTGTGAACGTTGTCTTCTAAGACTTCTAATGGCGTCTTAAGTTAATAACTTGTTACACTAAAAGAAGAGTACACAATGGCCTTACTTTATAAAACATTGTCGTCTCCAGTAGACTTATTAGGCTAACTTCGTGAAACAACTAGAAATAATAACAGGTCAGCATTAAGTTAGCCTTCTTTGCAGGCGCGGATATTTCTTCTCTTAATCATGACAAGCTTTAGACCTCAGACGGAACGAAACGAATTCCAACACCACAATCTCGAATTTGTCCAGACCCTGGCTGTATGTATGCATGTAGCCAGTAGAAACTACTCTCCTAAGTAGAAGCTCTTCCTATACGATCGTGAGTGCCCGGAAAGAGGTGGGTGGCGTTTTTATGAAAATTTTTCTCTTTCATAAGTATTTAAATTTCTATATCCAATTCAATACGTCAGATGAGATGTCAGAAACTACAATGTGTTGGGGGATAGAAATGTGAAAAGAAGAAATATTTTGGGGCAAAAAGATGTGCTCAAACAATCAAGGGCCTGTACAGTTTGAAGCAAAACTTCAATGTATCCATATTGTTTTTAAAAAGGAAATTGCATATATTAATGGTAATATAACTAACTCTGCAACAAATATTCTAAACCTTTGATTATAAATCATACCACCATGTAAATAGGCAAGGTCGTTCCAGGCTTGAATTCAGAATCAAGTATTAATGGAAGCACTTTATTTCTCCATATCTCACTGACTAAAACATCATGAATGAGAACTGGAATCTAAAATCATGCATGTAAAACAATTTTAAAATTACAAATGGTGTACTTCTAAATTTTGCATGTGTGGAGTTTGGATGTAAAATTTATAAAGATTTATTACCTTTTCGTATGAAATAAGCAACTCTTTCACGAACTCATCCGTGTTCATTGAAGCATTCATTATTGCCTTTAATTCACACAAAGAATAAATTGGCAATAGAGTTTGGGAAAAAACAGTTAGATAGGTACAGCTTGTTTCCAGGAAAAATAGTTTAACCAGTTTCATTGAAAATAATGTGAACAATGCATGACTCTAATTTCATTGAATTTGCTAATCAACAAATCTAAGATTTATTCCAATATTATATGAAATATATGATATTTGATAAAATATTGGAGGCACACAAAGCTTACAGTAGGAGCTAAGATTTGTTTGGGACGGATAAAGAAAACAATTGGCTTGTGATGACCCTGTTGGCAACCAGGCAAGCTGAAGATTTGCTTGACCACAGTTGGAATCAAAACAATACCCTTTGGTTTACTAGTCCAAATTCCAATACTCAAGCTGGTACAAATTACAAATATGTAATATTTCTCAACTCAAAGTAAAAGGCAAGTTAGACAACTATATAGTATACCTGCATATTAAGCTTTTCAATGTGTTCATGGTTAACATGCCACCTAAAGATATTCTTTACATTAAAAGAAACAGAAAGAGTGGACCATCCAGACAAAATCTTGTAAATTGCCACACATCATAACCATCAATAATCAATTTCTAGAGCTGGAGAACTGAGCCAATCTCAAACTAGCATTTGATGTGTTCTTGGACTTGGGGTAATTTTATAAATCACAAGTAGTAGAACAACATCAACGGCTACACCGTGCACCATGTATATCGGCAATCTGGATTATAGTATGCCCGATTATTCAACTATAACCCCATGCAGCCTACTTTTTGCTACATGTTTGTAAAGACTAAAGACGATCAAACAGATTGTATATCAAAATTGTATAGATTTTAGGAAGTGTACAATGGAGAATATCAGAGATTTCATTTATTGCACAATGAATAATATCTAAAATTAAATAAAATTATTCCATACTTAGCATCACCCAAGTCCTTAATATTATATGGCTTCAGTTCTTGTACATATAACTCTGCCTCAGTTGCCAATAAAATTTGGGACACATTGGCGGCCATATTGAATTAGACCGCGTATGCCACTGAGCTATATAATAATTCCTGGAGGACCGGTTCGCCACCAAAAAGCGTAGCCAAAAAGATGGCGGATTTCGGCGTTTGCTGACGCCACTTGGTTCCTTTTGCTCATGGTAGTTACCACTGACATACCGCGGTACAAGGTGAAAAACTGTGTCACAGTTTAATGATATACAGTTATGGAAGGCGGAACCCTTTGATGTTGCTGTCCCCCTGCCTACGCCATTTTAGTACAGTCAAAATGGTAAAAAAGGTCGGAAAAAATTAGTAAGAAGTTGAAAATTGGGGTATTCACTCATTTCAGTGACCTTGATAACATAGTAAAAGTCCTCATGTATCCGACTGGAGCTTCTGCCGTTATGAGGTCATGACGTCATTACTTATATTTGCGCTAAATATGGATTTTTTAAAATATGTTTTGGTACGTAAAATTATTACTTTAGACTAAACAGCAATATTATGACGTCATAAGCACGATAACATACAAAATTACCTGACACAAAGTAACAACTGGAATTTTCACAGTAAAGTTGACAAGTGAATATTATTAAAACACGTTTCACAAGAATCCTAGCCAGGGGTTCCACCCAACTCTATTACACGAAAGACTGTACACTGTCCCGATATGTTTATGTTTTACTTTTCCGCTTTCGTGGATTCGCAGTTGCTGATGGAAATTCAAGTTCATCAGATTGATTGTCTATTGACAACTCTTCGTCAGGCACATGGACATCAAATGCTTCATTTTCCAATATCGGCGAATCGGAAATAACATCAATGCCTTCGCTCTTTTCATCAAAAATATGTTCTCCATCCATTTCTGGATTACGGAAATGATTAAAATCATTTCTTTCAAGTAGAAGTGAATTTCTGTCATTGCCTGGTTTCCCCTTTCCATTGAAAAGATAATTAAACACATCACGCCGAAATGAGATGACAGTTGGTACAGTGCTTCTCGATTTCAGCTGTTTTTGTATTCCACAAAGTAAGAAATCTCTCCCTTCCTCAATAGCTTCAAGTGAAGGTTGTGGATTATTATAAGCTCTATTAAAAGAAACGTTTATCGTTTATTGAACTATGCTAACTATAGTCATGCAGATTCTGCTAGAAATATATTTAGGGGGTTGAGGACTTTTTCAAAGGGATTAGTTACACAGACCACAATTTGTTTTGATTTCCAGAGAGATAAATCCTGAAAACAGACGTCCTCGACAGGGTCAAAGGTATGATTTTTTAATACAATAGCCCAATTAATAAAGCAGCCTCAAATTAAGAACAGATCTATCCGTTTCAATCTCGATGATGAATTAAAAACTACAGTTTATCCACTTTATAGGAGAAAAGAGAAAAATAGATACCTGATTGCAGCTGCATTAAGATTCCCCTCAGGCTCCCACGTGTTTGCTAAAGAACTATACCCTTTCCATTTTACATAATATTCTACCTAAACATGACAAGTCATTAATAAACGATAATAAACAGCCCGAAAAAGTTTCCAATCTAAGTTTTTTAAGTAAAACAAGAGACAGTGAAATACAATAAATAGACTGTCGTTGTCAATGTCATTGACATTGTAATATAAATATTTTGAGCGCTCATGAAAACATATTATGCACACCTTTCTACGATGATATCTGCGAAAAATAACTCTTTCCACTTCAAAACGTTTCTTCGAACTTCTCAGCATATTGCTCCTTCGATTGTTTACCATTTTACGAAAGTCTGAGTATGGGTAAAAAACTGTTTAATGAATGGCGATGTAATCGAAAAGTCTTAAAAATCAAAAGTGCTATATCTGCGCCCGCGAGGCAACACGTTGTAACTGTGCAGAAACTGTCCTTGATTTCTGGCAATGGCTTAATATATTTTATTTCACACTTAATTTGTGTTTTAATGAATAAACGTTAAAAATCAATGCAATAATTTGGTGACTATAATAATATTGTTAGCAAGATAAGCCCGCGATACTTTCTACATTAATCATGTTTACAACATGGGGAGGCTCCACTGTTTTTTGAAAATGCCAACAGGTCATTCAGTCAAATAGACCTTTTCGTAATTACGTCAAAATTACACGGAAGCGAGGCTGAGAGGCCAAGCGATATTGCTTTTATTTAGAAGCCTCGCTTCAATGTAGTTGTGACGTAATTACCGAAAAGGTCTATTCTATATGGCGAATTTATAAACATTCCATACTAGTAATCTAATATTTCTTTGGATGACACATTACAAGGGCTTCAAATAGCAAGCAAGGTAGTACAAATTTTTATAGCGCAACAGACCCTTGCCTTGTTTGCATTTATTAAATTCCGATCATATATGACCAAAGAATATGTGCGCCATTGTGCTATTGTATGCTACAATGCATATATAATAACTAAGCTTTCTTGGGAGCTTGGAAAATTTGCCTTTTAAAAATACCAAATCATAAACAACGCAAGGGATCTGTAGAGTGTAGAAACGTATGACTATACTCTATAGCTATAAACTTAAATCCAGTTGCCAAATGCATATATTACCAGCCTGGAAAGTAAAGTGTGTACACCGGACTTGTCCGGTGTACAAACACAAATTTTGGCGTACATATGGCGTACATTTGTTTACCTTTAGAAGTAATTATTCAGAGTTTGCAAAATTGGACCAAATATATTTATACTAAAGTCTAAAAAATAAATGTATTTGGAACTTTTGCACATATACATTTCCAAAATTGGCGTACATTTACATGTGCCTGGCTGAATCGATATCCGGTTAAAAAGTAAACTTTGCAGACTGGCATATATTATACAGCTTTTGTTGCATACCGAAGGTAGAGTTTAACATATAGTGTAAATTCTGAAGAAAATAAAGGTTTTTTGCACATATACTTACATTTTTTTAACTGAGATATTTTCAATTCGCAGCGTCTGCAGACAATTGTTATTGTCAGTGCTTCCACTTTTGAACTGCCAAATCCAACCAAATCCAACAAAATGTATTCAATCTGCCAAAATTTCCGTTCAAAGGTAGTGTATGGTTCTGGCGTTAATACAACAAAAGCTCAAGCGGGATACATGAGGACTTTTAGTATGTTGTTGAGAACGGTTAAAGGATTGCATACTGCAAATTTCAACTTTTTACTATTTTTTTCCGACCTTAACAAAAAAATCTCCTAAAATTACTGGACTAATTTCACGCGCCACGCAAATTGCTCTGGCAAGTGTATTTTGACTCTAAAGTAAGGGAAAAAGGCGTTCGAAAGACGAAAATTGTTAATATTTTAAAGCTGGCTCTATCGATCTGCATTTTTGCGCCTAAATTTTAAAAACAAACGGTAAATGGTTGTTTTTTTGTAAAAAATATATGCGTTAGGTTAAAGAAGTAAGAAATACAAGCGCGAATGATTTTCTTTATATCAAGTTGATTGCCAACATCGTCGCCGATTATTAATTAGGCAGTTATTTTTCCATCCAGAAAACATCTGAGCTGATCTTAAAACAAGCATGATTGATGTGTTATTTCTACAATTCAAAACACACGAAAAAATTTCTTTGAAAATAATTTATTTTGCCATAAAACTAGCAAAAACTACATGTTTTTTATTCGAATCTTGAACTTGAATTCAAAGGATTTACAATAAACAAATACAACTTTTACCTATATAATTATACAATACTTTTTACATGAGTATAAATCCAACTTCACACACAAATGGTAAATGCTAACAGATATTAATTTCAGTTCATACATGATTGTAATATGAAGGACATGCAAATCAATTTCCAATCTAATCTAAAATTAATTATGCAATTCTGTGTGGTTTCTATGAGAAGATTGAAAGCTATTTTCCAATTTTGGATGTGAGTATTTAATGAAAAATATAAATATTTTGTGCTCTGAAACTATAATATGATGATGAATGTGTCCTAACCTTCCCTTTTACATGGAGTTTCAATGTTGTAGAATGTGCATTGCATGGATAGATTCAAGAACAAGGCTTTTTGTTGAGATTAATTACATGAATGAATTTAGACGAAGCCTAAATAATTTGAGCAGTTAATGCATAAGGGTAATATAAAAGCTTACCTATATATGAATAACATAAATTTCTTATATTGATATGCAAGCTATAATTCTGAACCATTGTCTAACCTTGCTGCTGCTGCTAGATAATTCAGTTCTAGAATTTCCATTGGTACCGGCCCAAAGGGGGTCCGAAGTGTCCAAAGTGAAATAATAATACGCATAGGAGACAACATAGGGTTCACAAATATCAGTAAACTGCGTATACGTTGTAAAACATTTTTAATAGCCATAAACTTGCTATCTTGAACTGTTGAACAGTAGAACTCAATGTCTTGATATGTCATCTGCTCAAAGTTAACTTTGAGAGATTGTTTTGCCATCTAGAAAAAAAATATGACTGTATGTTGGCGAAATATAGTCATACAGACCTACATTTATTACATGAAATACCAAACTTTGAATTTTTACCTGGCAGTTCTAGAAGCTTCGTGTGAAAATCGCACTCCTCGTGGTTGTATTTCCCGTTTTTTTCCGTTTTAATTCGTATTATCGCAGTCATTTTTAATCCAAAAGGAGCAATGTCGGATGGATAAATAAAATTTGTCAAAAAAACGAAGAGCAAAAGACCCATGGCTTTAAAATTGCATTTTTTCTGCTAAAAAATCGAATTTTCCTTATTAAAAAGTGCAAAAACACTTGCCAGAGCCTAGCGCATGCGCATTAAAAACAGGGGGACAAGATTTGCCGCGAGTTCCACCTCTGTGTAGTACTCTGTGACTGTGTCCATCACCCTCCCGATTTTTATGAAAATATTTTCAGCTTTCCGTATATATTTTTTGTTTTTCATATAAAATGGATAAAAGTGTCTCTCTTTTTCCCTGTTCAACAAATGGAAAGGACACGTAGCTTCGTGCTCTGCGTCTGACGTTGTGAATGGCTTAATTCACTTATCGGTATGGTGAATTTTCTCATTTTGCTCTTATTTTATAACATCCAGGTAACTGAGGTAAGCCGTTTTTCAACTTTTTTTACTATAAACAATTTCGTTTTTTGGCCTTTTGAGTTGGACTATAGTATAAACTGATTACCAAAGCCTCAAAACGTGTGGTACAAACAGCAAAGATACTATTTTCGCCTTTTGGGACATTACAGTGCTGTCAATGCAATGTTATATACCCAAATTTTATCATTTTTTCTTAACTTGTGTGGGGAAAAAATTAAATTCCTGGCAGTGTCAATCTTTTGAGTTTGGTCTATGTTGTTTTCATGATAGCAAACATCAATGTTAATAGGTAAACCATTCCCCCAGTGAGTCTACTATAGTCACTCTTCTATTGATCCCACCCAACATCAATTAACATGATCTGAGGGTGCTGATACAAAATAATAAAATGCTGTAAACAGTGTAAATTAATTCCACCCTCTGATAGTGAGCCCTGTTAAAGCCTAGTTAATATATTATCTTGTTTACCTTGTCAAACCCAAAGTGAAATGATCAATTATCGCAGCTTTTAATTTATTTTTTAGCTTCTTGCACCTTGCAAATAAATCTTGATCATATCTCCATTTTTATTTTTCAGGATGAAGTTCATGCATTTTATGACTGTGCATTGTTATTCTTCATTTCCATGTTATCTGATTTTGTTGTTGGCTGGTGTTTTTATACCATTTGTCATATTTATTAATTAATGAAATAAATATAAACATGCATTGACTGAGCAGTGTGTCTTCAATCTGCAGCAACTTTTGTAATTTTCTGTTTATGGTATCAACCTCCAAAGGGGTTATATTCATTAGGCTAACCAGTGGAGCCTATGGAGGGATAAATGTTATTCTTTACTATGACCAGGGGTCCAGGGATGCAATTAGAGAATGCCGAAAACTTTTAAAGCCTATTAAGGTTTATTAAGGTACAAGTTAATGACTTGAATGAAAAGTATATTATGCAAATATGATTCTTGGTTGAAACTATATTGCTGCACTTAGTATTAGTCAGCTGCCCAGCATTTTGCCTGAACTTTGGATTGTGCATAGATATAAAGTCTTGAAGACAACATCACACACTGAATACTGATTACATACTTCCTGCAATTCATCAGTTTAGGGTTTAGAAAAGTCAAATTGTTGCCCATAAATTCCTAGTTGTCTTCAAAATATGCAAGGATAGTGCCAAAACATTCAAACATTTGTAAACTTTCATGTTGGAAAGTATAAATAACAAAAATATTATTACGAAAATAAAATAATAAACCTGTCAGTTCGTGTCAGTATTAAAATCTTTAGTTTGTCCACATTTTTCGATATTTTAATATATATTTGTTCCCGCACTGGCAAAAACAGCGTGTATGACTTGTATTCATCTTAAAATAAAACTTTATTGTATGTCAGTGCGAAAAATATCAAAAAAACAACCAAAAAACATTTCAAAAACAAAAAAGATTTCACGGCAAAAAATATATAAAAACCAGGGGGGGAATTGTTAATTACAAAAACCAGGGGGGAGAATACTGCTGTAGCGGGCTCATAATTGAGCCTGGTCAGTGGTAAATACCATGGCCAAAAGGAACCAAGTGGCGTCAGCAAAGCTTCTGCGGTTGCGCAGAAGGGCGAAGTCCGCCATGTTTTTTGCTTCAAAAAGATGGCGGCGAAGTTACCGAAAAATGACGAGCCGGTCCTCCAGGAATTATTATATAGCTCAGTGGCGTATGCGTATCAGTCTTGGTGACTTGGGCCCACTGAGCTATAATATAATTCCTGGAGGACCGGCTCGCGACCAAAAAGTGAAGCAAAAAACATGGCGGATTTCGGCGTTTGCTGACGCCAGATTGACGCCACTGGTTCCTATTCGCCATGGTAGTTACCACTGACCAAGGCTCAATTCTGAGCCCGCTACAAATGCACTCCCCCCTGGTTTTTGTTAAAAATAGTATTCAGTTCTGATTATTATATTTTCCGAAAAAAATTTAAACGTCAGTCAATATTTTTGAACTGAAAACTTTTTGATCAGATATCGTTCGACGTTTTTGTGAAGATATGAAAGTCGTACACGTTACTTCTGTCAAAAACAGGAAACAAATACCAGAAATATATAATAAAACTTCAAGAAATTTGCCGAAACGAAAATGCAGTTGACTGACAGGTAAATATATTATTCATAAATTTCATTTTTTCGATAAAATTTCACCATTTTTTTTCGTTAACAGTCTTTAGATAGATGTCGTTGCTTATATATTTTAATATTTGACCAAAAGACGGCGGCACGAGAAGTCAAATGTATAGTTTGAAGTTTGAACAACTACTAAAAAGATTACCCTATAGTTTGGAAGTAATTTATTTTACATATTACATACATATATTACAGGCATTTTCTTCCAAAGAACGCTAAAAGGTAACATGATGTAAATTCAAGTCCAAAGAAACAGGGTCTAAGAATCATTGGGAGGATGAAGATGTGCAATTTCAACCAAGGGTAGCCTGCCTATTTGTTTAGCTGGATTTCATTAGCCAGAAGAAATAGTTTTTCTGTACTGAACTATATCAGCATATATCATGTATATTGATGAGCTTATTAGCTTAAACCTATAAGGATGAACTATTAAATTGAAAGCTTCCAGGAGTCAGCACCATGCAGTGGTCAACACTATAATTGTCTGACTGCACAGGCTATGCTCTTTCCATGGTATAAAACCAATAATTATGGCCCCTGTGCAGGTCATATGCTTTTCTATATTTGCAAATGATAATGCAGAGGCTGCATTAAGGAAGATTAGAACCAGGGATGTTTATAGGCCAAGATAGCCATGGTAATTATTATTGATTATATGCAAAAGGGGCTAACCAGCTTCTCCCAGATTAGCCTGCAATGACTGGAAAGGTTCTTTGGAAATGAAATAAACAAAGGCTTACCAATTGTAATATTTATTTTCTTTTAATAAAACATTGTAAGTTGTAAAAATAATAAAACAGTTTCTGTATTTAAGAATGTGTGTAGTTCATGGGTATAATAGTATTGTTGTCTCAATTTAATTCTCCAGAATTTTGCATAACATGCCTCCACTTGATCTACCAAACCCTATGTTATCCCTGCAAAAAGAAAGATATGTCAGAGATTAACTGTATGTATAATACACCCTGTAAGTGTTGACAAAATTAGTACAGATAATTTAGTGTCAGCTACTGAGGCCATGATGATGCCTCAGTTGGAAGTGTGAGTGAATTTAGGCAAGTTATTCTCAGACCTTGCTCCTTCAGATTATATTTTTGTTCCTATTGCATCCTTTATATACTTTGATCTAATATATCTTGTATGATTTTTCATGAAAAGATGGGCTATAGACACATTGATGATTGATCTGGTTAGACCTTAGTTTTGGCTCAACTACATGGATTTAAATCAGTGTAAAATATAATGGATAAACAAATATTAATAGAAATATGTTTAGTTAAACAAATTAAATGTTAGTAAATATATCATTTCTGTTTTCAGATCTTTCATAGCCGTCGAACTACGAAGCTATATTTTTTACTTGACGTTCAGAGTTCAAACATCAAAATTGCGAAAGCCTTTTTAAAACTCTTACCTGAGTGCAAATCGCCAAAAATTTCCTCTTTAATGAGTAAATTGCGGTAGGAACAAGCAGAGCAAATAGCTGCTTCTTTGTTGAAGTTGAAAAGAACCAGCAAAAAAGGAAAAAAATCCATGTTTTTGTTCAAAAACAAAAAATTTCGTAAAAACCAAACCCTGTTTTTATCGAAAACCAGGAGGGTGCTCGCATTTTTTCATGCTTTGGATCGCGGTTGGTCAGTGGTAACTACCATTGCAAATAAGAACCAGTGGCGTCAATCTGGCGTCAGCAAAGGCCAAAATCCGCCATGTTTTTTGCTTCACTTTTTGTATTTCAAAACATTAGGAGCCGGTCCTCCAGGAATTATTATATAGCTCAGTGCTTGGGCCGAGTTGTCAGACTGGTAGTAACAGTAATTATGGTGTTTCTTGGTCAGCTTGGACCACTGACTCTAGTATAGGTCAGTGGCTTGGACCAGAAACTTAGGCTTCAATTTCGTCCTCATTTAAAATTTCATCTTGCATGGATGGAATGAGACCCTTATGAAAAGCTACAGAAAGCAATTCCTCTGAATCTTTGATATCTGGATATTCACGAATCGCCCACTTGAGATACAGCGAGAACTCATTCCAGTCCACCTTTCCATCTTGATCCATATCAATTGCTTTCAATGCACGTTCGGTAGGCTCGCATCGGTAACATCCAAAATATGGCGCCATGAAGCCGTTATAAAACGCATCGAATTCTAATTGATCATCTTTCTCACCATCACGTATATCCCATTCGTCCCACGATTCTCGTATTTCAGCAATAAGATTCTGACTATGAAGTGTTTTGGGCATTTCGTCTTCAATCGCTTTAGCCATTGCTTCAGTAAGTTTGCCACCAGACCGATCAAACAGGATAGCCAGACCAACTTTACTCATGTACTCTTCTTTTCTATCCTCATGAAGATCTTCCAACATCACCTCACGCATTCTCTCTGCATATTCTTCTGTGAACTGAGCATTTTCGCCAAACAACGTTTCCAGTCTTTCAACGATCATTCTTGGTGATGCAAGCGTTGTTATCCTCATCAATGGTTTTTCTCCAAAAAATGTTGCCATACAAAAACTATCACCTCCAGGATTTAAACCCATGCAATCTAAAACAATATCTATTGCTCGTTCGCCGTACACGGGTTGTTTAGGATGTGGTTCGCAACCAGTTGTTATTCTTGTCACTTCTTGAGCAGCTTGACGTAGCTGTACACAGTTATATTGTTTCAAGACACGTTGGTTACCCAAACGAATCAGATTCAATAAGGTCACACTAGAAGATGCATGACCCAAGGCTGTTCCTTCTTCACATACACTACACCAGATACCTGTAGCTCCATTCAGCAGACATTCTAACTGACTGACTTGAGCCATCCCCCACTTCTCGTGAATGTGAACTAACAAATGGCCGTCTTGGAAACCACATTCGTTCATCTCTTTACGCACTGCAGCGGTCCAAAAAGCAAGTTGATCTGACAAGTAGTTTCCAGTTGGCTCCTCGAAGATTAAACCAAAAGGACGCTGGTTTTCTGGTAATGAGGAAAGGTACTTTACAACTTTAAACACGCGCCTTGGTTTATTAATTATGGCATCAGCGATATCACGCAGATTGATGAAAATGTTGGCGTCTTTTGAAAGGTTTTCACGAACCCATCGCATTCTTTGTGAGAAAAGTTTGTTAATTGCTTCAACATTAAATACTTTGTAGTCGATACTGGGATAAAACAAATCAGCTTCAATAATCGGATTTCGAATACCCAATTCTTTCATCTTCTTCAGGCCAATTGGAATGGTCTCGGTGTCAGCGATTCTGGTTCGATTATCAACAGACTCGATAAACTCAGTAAAGGCGTAGAATGTGCTGAAATCTTCTCCTTTCTCGGCAAGTTGACGAATAAATGTATCTCCAACACGGGTCATATGGGAAAACGATGTGACAATGAAATGTTTGAAGCCAACTTTCTTTATCTGAAATTATCCAAGAAATATAATTGCTATAATGCTATAACAATGCTCCCGTTTACTACATTCAATTTATTGGCACCGTCAGTTGAAATTGGTACCCGTACCCAATTTCATCAGTGTCCAGGCTACCAAAACACAGGCCGAGCATGGGTATTCATTTTAGCCGTGCTGATAAATTAACGGTGTAGGGAATAATTTGATCATGAAATTGCCAATCATCGTATCTTATGATTTCGGAGCAGAAGCTTAATCTTCATCAAGATTTCAAAAACCATATCAACTGCGGCAATTTTAGACAATTTTGACAACAATTTTTTCAACATCATGCATGAATGTGTACTTTACCTCTTCATAAATTTTCCATTTATTCTCAATGGTATGACCTCTAAGTTGTCCAACGGTACTCTCTCTTAAGGAGTTGTCAAGAACAAACACTTCTTTTTCACGAAGAATTTTCTGCCTCCGCTCCGCAATCTTCTCGTTCTTTTTCAGTTTTCTTAGCCTCCCAGAGAGAAACATCCCGAATTGTTCTAAAGTTTGACAAATTTCTCTTAATTTATATGAATCTACAGTGAGCTGGCAAAAGGTGACCTCAAAATACAGATCAGGGGCCGGTGTACGAAGGCTTGATAGCGCTATGCACTGGATAGTGATTTTTTCAAGATTCCGAAATATGCCTTGAAAAGTAATAAAATTTTAGCCTTGGAAGCAACAATTATTAAAGAGGATCCTCTATTTAGGAATAATAAGATTTATAACATTTAAGAAAGCCATCAAAACAATTTAAAGTTTAAAAGTAAATATATTTGTAACGTTTCGATTAATATAGATTATATATACTCAAATCTCATGTAATTTTATATCACTTGTCTGAAGATGTCTTAGGTTAAAGACGAAACGTTACAAATATATTTACTTTTAAACTTTAAATTGTTTTGATGGCTTTCTTAAATGTTATATGTTGGGCTCTCATATTTATAATAAGAATCCGTTTTCCGCCTGGCAAATCTCTAGCTACGATACTAAGATTTAATTAAAGTTTCAATTAACAACAGGCGACTACCCGGTGGATAGCGCTATCCGGCTTTCATACAACCGGTCCCTTATCTGATCAGAGTCAGACACTCAGGGAGATTTCGCGGACAAGACGTCAAAACTATTTTAATCACATACCGACAAATCGATTTTAAGGAGTTCAATCAATAAGCCTTTACCTAAAAAACCTTTAAAACTGGAAAAGGTCTTGTTTTGAACTGAAGTTTCAAAGCTAAATGTTTGGAATTCTCTACCAGGGGATGTTCATTCGTATACATGCACGTAATTTGCAAATTTTTTAGATGAAGAATTCGTGTTAAAAAATCGTTAGAAATCCTCTCAAATGTTAAATTCCAAGTACAATGCACGTATGAAAACCTCCTGTATACTTTTATCAATGTTGTAAAAAATATTTAAGCCAGATGAATTTAGAAATTAAACTTGACATAAAGTGAAAGTTTGATCTTTGATTTTGTTGATAAGGATTACGATCCATCTCCATCAGAAAGACAACTTTTTCCTGGCCAACTAATGCATGGTGATTTTTCATATATACGAACTGATTTTTACCGTTTCGTTAAAGACTGTTGCGAGATTTCTATTCTTCAGTAAACGCTCTGTGTGATTCCGTAGAACCAAAATTATACTTCTATATATATACAGGTAAGTCTCATTTAATCTCTAAATGCTCCTTTTATATCATCCTGCTAATGATATCAACGAGGCTATTATAGCCGCATTTATCGGTACGCAAACGTCCTGAAGTCCTCACACCGGCAAACGCTTTGCACACCACGCCAGAATTTTTTATTCCCACGCAGGAATTGGACATTTCATATGGAATTTACATTAATACGCACAAGATGGACGTCAACTGATGAAACGAAATACTGGTACAAATCGTTCGAGTTTGTAAAAGGAAATTAAACGGAAAAGTTATTTCAGTGTGGTTATTTCGGTGTGGTATTTCAGTGTGGTATTTTGTCCACAGCAGACAGACTTATAAAAAAAGCATTTATACTCTCATATAGTAATTGATGTAGATTAAAATATCGTACCTGAACTTAGTCCAATTATTGCCGAATGTTAACGTTCGACGCTTGATGTTTTTACTTTAGAACAAAATCAACGGAGTTGCGAATAGTACTCAAACAGCTCAATGAAGGGACTGGCGCTGTTTCAAGGTATATATTCTCCTCTTCATAAATTTTCCATTTATTCTCAATGGTATGAGCTCTAAGTTGTCCAACGGTACTCTCTCTTAAGGAGTTGTCAAGAACAAACACTTCCGTCACGAAGAATTCCTTGCTTCCGCTCCGCAATTTTCTCGTTCTTTTTCTGTTTTCTTAGCCCCCCATAGAGAAACATTCCGAATTGTTCTAAAATTTGAGAATGGATAGGCTATCCACCCGATAGTCGGATCTTTTCAACCTCCTTAAAAATGCTTGAAAAGCAATAAAATTTTAGCTTTGGAAGCAACAATTATTAAAGAAGGTCCTCAATTTAGCAATACTGAGATTTAATTAAAGTTTAAGCCAAAACGGGCGATTTTAAAGCGCTTGAAAAATGCATTATCCGGTAGATAGCGCGCTATCATACAACCGCCCCCTGATTTGATCAGAGTCTGACAGGTAGATTTCGCCGACAAGATGTCAAGAATTAAAACAGTAAAACTATTTTCATCACATACCGACAAATCGGTTTTAAGGAGTTCAATCAATAAAGCTTTACATAACAAAAACATTTAAAACTGGAAAAAATTCTAGTTTTGAAGTCCCGAAGTAAATGTTTGGAATTCTCTACCAGCGGATGTGCTTTCGTATAAATGCACGTAATTTGCCAATTTTTTAGATAAAGAATTCATGTTAAAATCGTTTGAAATCCTCTCAAGTTTGAAATTCCAACTTCCAAGTACCACGTATAAAAACCTCCTGCATACTTTTATCGATGTTGTAAAAAATATTTAAGCCAGTCTAAAAATAAAAAATTTTGAAACCAATCTAAAAATATGGCTATGCAAAAAAGTTTTATCTGCTTAAATCGCTTGCTTTTTGTTTTAGCTCACGACTTTGTGTTATGTTTACAATGAATAGATATTTGACACGACTTTTCAGTGTTTTTGTAAGTGTGGATGTACAAACATTTTGTCGAGATCTAGTCTTTGATTTTGTTGATAAGGATTACGCTCCCTCCGCATCAGAAAGATAACTTTTTTCCTGTCCAACTAATGCATGGTGATTTGTCTTATACGAAATTTTTACCGTTTCGTTGAAGACTGTTGCGAGATTTCTATTCTTCTGAACGCTCTGTGTGATTCCGTAGAACCACAATTATACTCCTATACACAGGTCAGTCTCATTTAATCTCTGAATGCTAATTAGATATCACTCTGCTAATGATATCA